GGAAAAAGATGCCTGCTTTACCGTGTGGAATCGTCCTGTATGTTTCTCTAAGATATACTACTGTATATATAATATATACCACTATATATACATATTTATACCACTATACATCTATCAGTCTACGTCCTGGGCGCCACCAGGTGCGATGAGCTCGAAGCTTTGGAGCCTAACCTGATCGCCGACGCTCAGAACCTGAGCGCCGAGGCATCTCCGGTTCAGGGGGTTCACCTTCCGGGGGTGGTTTGGATGGGGGAGGAGGACAGCACTTCCTAACCTCTTGGAGGAATCCAATGAAAAGCAAACAAAATGGAACATGTTATGAATGGAACTGACCTACTTCACTGGTCAGTTGTGAATTTGATGCTGGGATGGAGCATGTGAGCCATCAGGTGGATTGAAGTTGGATGGGTCTTGCAAATGACCCTTTTTTCAATGGTGATGTCACTTATATAATTCAATTTCTCACTTTGAAACGTTTGCCGCACAGTAGATGTCACACGTCGTCCAAATTCTATCCGGTTCTTCTGAACCATGATTTATGTGATTTGCTCCATCCGTCAGAGTTGAGCACACTATAGCACGCTAGAATTGCTAGCCACTCTGTGAATCCATGTTTTTTTTCGGCCATTGGGGTGTTTGACCATCTGGAACTTCACTTTCACATACAAGGAAGAATTGTCTTCTGGGGTGAGGATGATTATCGGAGCTTGTGACACTGGTGGACCCTATAGACATATCCAAGCATCAATACGACTTCCGACCTCCAAGGAGTACAACTTTCAAGGGTATAGGCTAGGAGATTCAGATGCAAAGAGATTCGTTAGAACTACTCTTATAATGCCTTTGTTACTATAGTAGCTTCTTGTTCCTAGCGGTAATGCCAGGAGCTACGTTCGTAGCATTCTTGCTCCGTTCGTAGCGATGCCCTTGTCACTACTTGTACCGCGTCACCGGAGTCCTTCAGGATGGCTGGGCTCCACAACCGAAGCCCAGGGATCTTCAGGGACGTCTGGCGCGGGCGAGGTGGGCCCTGGGGATGCCAGGGATGCTGAGAGATCCGGTTTCATTTCCACTTGACTGTGGATGGAGTCCGAAGGTGATTCCCTTTTTCATGTGGTGAACTGAGCTGGGAACAGAGCCGGTTTTTTTTCCCACGTATTCACGATGGTTCCAAGAAGATGTTTGAAGTCGGAACATTCAGGCAGGAATTCTGTCAAAGGGTATTTGTGCCATCGCTAGTTGCTCTACCAAGGATGACTTGTTTGGGTCTTCCTTGCAGAGAGAGAGAGAGAGAGAGAGACGGAGAACTTGATTTACAGTTCATTACAGTTCACATGCCACAAATCTCCAAATCAATCACTGAAAGTGTGTAATTATTTTCCTCCTTCTCGCATGCATGTGTATGAAAGAACGAGTTTGGCCCTGGACCTTCATCAGATCGGCTTTCCACTATCAAGTCCTTGAGGCGTTTCCACTATCAATAAGCTCTTGAGGCAAAAATGGGGGCTTCGCGGCCCTCAGGAAGAACACCGCAGACTTCTGTTTTTAAAGGTTGTGACCACCGTCTCCAACTTTGTAATGCAGACTGTTGTTGATATTCCAACTGCCCATATTGAAGAGGTCATACAATCCATTTTTTGGTGGCTTTATTGATCAACGGTCTACATTACTGCCGGCTGCGGATTCTGTGTTTTCGTTGCAGAGCCCTGGAGAAGCACATGAAGGCGAGTATTTGGGCAACAGCCTTTTAACTCCAGTGCTGTAATTTCCGGTGGCCAGTGCAACTTTGCCATTCAGCGTGACGACTCCTCGTTCTCGGCCTGAATGAAGTCATTAGCGAGCAGTTGAGGGTGAATGAAGCTTTAGCAATGAAGAATTCTTGCCACGAGAATTGCCACAGATGCAGTGTGTGATTTGCCACGATGCTATGCCAATCAAAGCCTTCATTCCTTGTGGCCATGCAAGGTTCCGATCAAGTGTTCCGATAGCAGGTGCACAGCAGATGCCCCCCCAAGAGTGCTGTCGCAATGTTCTCCGTCTTAGAACTCCATGTAAACCTTCATGGGATTGGCACATATAGGCTAGGTGCTCCAAATTGTCCCCACACTGCTCACAAATGACAAAGTCATGAGTTCCCCTTTTCGACCTCATTGTGGGCTCCCATGATGTGTCAGCGTTTTTTTCTCGCAGGTGGCATGCAGGGAGGCGGAAAGGTGCCACCTCGCTGGTCGAGCAGATCATGGAGACCCTGCGGTTTCTTTTTTATTTTGTTTCATTATCACCTGGTGACATGCCGCTACAGCTACACTTGCGAATTATACAATTTATCACTTATCGTGTTCGTCGTTGCGGACAATTGTTTGAAGGGAACATACACCAGTGCTTGGGCCATTGTGGGTTGTATTTGGCAGGATAGATGGATGTAGCGTGGGCCTTGGCGGCAAAGTAAGGTCTCTAGGTCCAAGCGACAACCGCGAGATTCCCCCAACAAACAGGGCTTTATTTGGTTGCAGAATGGATTTCCACTCGCACTCAAGTTCTGGGCCACGTGTGTGATCGCAACAGAACCAGGAGAACTTTTGTGTCCCTTCTGTTATGACCCACAATTTTTTTTTTGAACAGCCGCCAAGGCATGGTTTTCGTTCCGCTGCTGGTAATTACTAAGTTACTAGATACGGGGAAATCGAAGGCACGAACGATTCATATTGCCATTTGCCTTCTCTATGGTGCCAGGAGGAAGAACCCACCCAGCTGGAGGCGTGTGAAGTTGCTTGTGCGGTCCTCATGGATGCTTGGCATGGTATTTGATCGTGAGTCGTGGGCGCGGTTTGGGCGCCTCAAGGGGTCCCAGAATCGAAGCACCAGAGGAACAAAGGAACAACTTGTAGATCATCCATCCGCCCTGCCGCAGTGAGCAGCCAGTTGCCTTGGATCACACATGGTCATACAATGGTCAATAGCCAAGCACCATGGCCTCAGCCAGCAGCTGGGGTGGGTTGTTGCTTGGACTTGACAGATGATCCCAGAAGTGACCGAACCTCCAAGGAGCGTGGAGATGCGGCCATTGCCCTGGCCGTGATGGTCCGCTGCCTGGTGGAGCACCGCGCCACGCCCTCCAAGGTGAGCGAGCCACCGGGCGAGCAAGAGGGGAGTCCAACGGCAGGGGAGGAGCGACTGGGATGTTCCAAGCAGCTGAGGAAGCAAGGTGGATGGTCCAATGGTTTGGTTTGAGCCCGGTGGATCCACCTCCTGACCTCACCTGTTTTGGGGATCCAACTAGGCCACAACACAGCTTGTGCTTCCAATGGCTCAGCTTACCTAGCCATGCTGAATGTCATCGATTTTTCTAGCGGGCCCATAGTAAGACTGCCAAACCTGCTGGCCACTTATGGGTAAACTAATAAACTTTGATGTGCTACATGAGCATCAGACAACTGGCACGTACAGTTCCACATGACAAGGAGCCTAGATATCCTAAATGACATTGTGGCTTGATCATGTCTCCATACCTTTGCACAGCTGCACGGCCACCAAGAACACAGCACAATTTCCAAAAGCCCCCTAAGAAGTCAGTACTTCTCCAACCTCCCCTTTCACTAAAAGATCTAAAAGCCATTGGATGCCCCAGCCAAAGCCAATCTTTATCACGCATGAGCTCGCCCCTCCGCCCGTGGCCATGGCCGCTGATCAGCTGTTTCAGCCGAACGGAGTGCCTTATCAGATCGAGGACTCTTGCGAGGTTTCCAACACGGCGCGCCGTCCGTCGTGTTGGTTTTGTTCGAAGATTCATAAAGTGGAGACTCCCCCAACATGCCGCGTGGGCCTACAACCATTCATGCAACAATTGGTGCTCACACATGTAAGATACATTCTCATCAAATTGTAATCAAGTTATTTAAACATATTTATTGATATTTGTTGTCTCATTTTGCGAATCAAAATCAAGCAACCTTCAAAGGGAGAAGGTTTCGAAGTAGTTGCAGATCTTTGAAGCAAGCACTCAGGACTTTCCGTTCAAAAGCGCCAACTGGATAGGAAACCATGGATGTTCTTTGAGTTTGTTCTCTGCCAGGAAGGAGAGCGACAGTCTCCGCTGGAGGGTCCTCAACCCTTGAGATGCTTGGGATGTGCTTTGGGACCCTCGGCGACAGACCCGGCGTTTCGGCATCATGCCAGCTCCAACTGTGTGGATCTTCAGCGAGAGCACCTTGGTGAGACAGATGACGCAAGTGTTGGGGCCTGAAACAATCCTTTGTTATTTTGATGTATGTAGCGCAAGGAGGTTTCCTATTGGAGTTTTAAGTGTGAATGCTCTGACAGATGGGACGTCACGAGGATACGGGATGTGAAACAGCTTTACATACACACAATGAAGGGCCATACCTGGAGGTGCCCAAGCTCATCCAAGCTCCCCATCATTTTCCAACCCACAATGCTACCCTCCTACTACAATTCCTGGGCCATACCTTGCATGACAATTTGCTTACAATTTGCCTTGTGAAGCCCACCGATGTAATTATTATAGAATTGAGAAGGCTGGGTTTTGCCTTGGAGTTGCCTTGGACGAAGGGGATCAAGAGACCTCAACTCACGTCATGTCATACCGCAGACCGCAGACATGCCGCGCGGCCCCAAACCGTCCATGCGAGAGGTTCAACGGACCCAGGACCCTCTTAGTCGGTCGGCTTGTTGGGAGGTATGACTACCCGGAGGGCTACCGAGATTGGCTTCCTGGCCTCGCAGTCCTCAGTGTCATGTGCCTGGCTGGATACCTGATCATTACCTACACCAACAGGCAGAGTGGGGCAGAAGCCACATCCCAAACACATGGTGCGAAGGAGAAGGAAAGTATTCATGTGCGCTCCTATGTGGACGTCGACCTTCCGTAGCTAAAAGAACTCCAAAGCAACTTCAACTTTCCAAAATAAAACAAGGGCATCGCTACTAGTATCAAGGGCATTACTACTAGTAGCTAGAAGCTCTTAGTAACAAGGGCATCGCTATTAGTAAACATGGCAGGTGAAAACACACCAACCCTTCACCTTTGCAGGTCCGTCAGTTCCCTTTCCGACCTAGCTTGGGGGTTGCGCATGTTGGGCGTTGGACGCTCGGCTCAGAAAGTGATTGGTTCGGTCGGGAGCGTCGTGTCCAACCGTGCGAGCTGGCGCGTGGAAAACCATTGGAACTGCAGCCGTTTGCCCCCAGTGCTGGGGGCAATTGTTCGTCTTGGAGACCCAGGCTGCCATCATCAATGCCACTTAGAAGTGGACAGGTGAGCCGCGCTAAGAACCTGCCTGTTCATGTTTAGTAGTGGGCTTGTCATATGAATCCTTCGCGCAAGCAAAACTCTGATGTGCGTAAGGTAGCGTAAGCGTTTTTTGTGAGATGAAACTTGCGTAAGCCGCGTAAGCAAGTCGAAATTTAACATACATGTCACATGAATTCTTGAAATGTTTGGATATTATAGGAGACCTTTGTTGATGAAGCCTTGCATTGGATCTTTTTCTTGGCAATTGGTATGGTCGAAGGTGATTGGCTCCACAGAAAGAAGGGTTCTTGGGGTTCCTGTAGTCATTTATATATACAGGACATAGGCATCAGGACAGAGATTTTATTGGTCGACACATGCAAACATTACTCCTATAGCCATACAAACAACTCCCGTAGCCATAAAGTCTACCAGCAGTCATCAGACACACTATGTCACCATGCAGTTATCGGTTTTGGTGTCGGTAATACGCGTAAGGCGCGCGTAAGCTTCGCGTAAGCTGCGCGTAGGCCCCCCTCTCTTTTGTAGACGGTGGCCCACGATGCCTCCTAAAAAGCAGGCTTTTTCTGACTCGCAATGGCGCCAAAGGCAACGCATTGTCCAGACCATCTACGAAATCCTGGCTTCTCACTGCCCTACACCCGCGGACGTAACAAACCTGTTGTGTGCTGTGCTTTGCTTGGAAAACAGATGGCGCGTAAGCTGGCGCTGTGGCCGGGTGCAAGATTGTGTTCGCGTAAGTGTTGCGTAAGCCCCTTTGTGTGCAAAGTGTGCGCGTAAGCTGCCATTGTGGTGGCGTAAGCCAGGCGTAAGCTGCTGCGTAAGGAAAGTCTTACGACATAGGCAGATGCCACACGTTTTGAGCACAGCTCAGGTGTCCCCCACACTTACTGTAATTCATTCTAGCCGGTTTGGGGATCCCGACCAAAACAATCGACCTCCGTGCTATGCATACAGCCGGCCTGGTCCAAGAGGTGTCTACGTGGGAAACCCTGTTTCATTTTCGAGGTGTTCTTGGTTCGTTTGAAGGTTCGTTTGACCTCTTCGTTTGCCAAAAGACTTGCTGAGGATTCGGTATCATCTTCGGCTTGGTCCATCTACTTCACTGTTGCTTCCACTCACCCAGCGCCCCTGCACCACTCTCCCGGACAGAGCTCTACCACTTGGCACCTCGGGCAGACATCCGGCTGGTCCGCATGTATGTTCTGAGCGGATTCGTTCTGAGCGGTTGTTTGAGAAGGAACGGTCCTGAAAAGCGTGCGGATTTGAGGACATACATGGACAAACATCATCAAACATCCTATTCTGATGTTTGTACCATTTTGTATCCTCATTTTTGGCATAGCCAAATCGCCGCAAAATGCTTGCAACAGGAAGAAAAGCAAGAAATGGTTATCACCCCTCCGATTTGGTACAGAGGTGATCCAGAATTTTGGAATCCATTCGGAGTGAATCGGTGTGGATCACCTCCATTTGGCACAGAACAGATCCACTTAGGAATCCACTGTGATCTAACATTAGGACCGGGCCAATAACAGGCTCAACCAGGTATTCGGGGTCTACGGTCTACCCATCTTGACATCCTTTGACCATTGAGTCTTGAGCGATGTGAAGGCTTACCCCAAACGCTTCAAGCCTGCGACAAAGGGGGGTTTGCTCACACGCCACACAGGATTCAGCATGATCTTACGCAGGTGCGAGCCGCTGAAGGCCATTGAGGGCCCCTGGTCAATGGGTTTTGGTATGTTTTTGGTGTTTGTAGTCGCATTCTACAGGTGGGCCGGACCACGTGCACCTTTTGGTCAGTCGTGCTGCTCCTGGCAACTCGTCATTAAAAGCGTGTTATTTTTTTTCCGAAGGTATGAGTGTTGAAACTTGATCTCCATGGCATCATCACCGTGTTCATTCTAATCTCCATCAGCGTTTGCGGCAACATATGCAGGCTTTAAGGGTATATATCAGAATCATATCAGAATCACCAGTGTCGCTTTCATCCCCAGCGACCCTGAACGTATTCCTTGCTCAGCGTTTTGGACGCCTACGGCTCGGCAAACGACTCACTTCCTTCCGCGCACCTAGGGCTTTCTGTGCCTTGACATGGCCAGAGCGCCTGAGGGCTTGGCTTTCATCCACGGAGCTTTGTACCTCTTTCAGTCCTTGGCATCCATCCTAGTGCTGACGCCATCTTGGCTTCTGGGGAATTGCTTGACCAAGGATGAACGGCAGAACGGATGGTTTTGGTCGGCTGTTTGTCGTGACGGCTGTTGGTTTGGCTTGAAGACCGTATCCTTATTCCCAAAGAAGGATGACTGTGGCCATGACTCAGCCATCCAATATCGTCTAATTGTTGCCATGTATTGTTGCCATGTGTCATCATTCCATTCATCATTCCATATAGTTGCATTTACTTTAGCCAGCTGTTGGGTTGTGAGGAGCCCATCAAAGCTGGACTGCTGGTGAGCATGTTTTGGTGTGGCGCCTTGTTTTCTGCGGGCACCTCTGGTGAGTTCAACACCCGACTGCGTCTTGGCATTGGGCACATCTGTGCATCAAAAAGAATTCAGCAGGGGGTCTTGAACGCTTTCCCTTGCCGAACCCTTCTCCCGCTAGAAAGACAGATTGACCTATTTGGATGATAGATTTGACGTGACCTGCAACCCTCTATATATAGCACACCTTGCCATATCATATACCGCTTGAACCCACTTGATATATAGCTTATAGCTTATCAAACTTTTGACGACTACGCGGGCAGGCTTTATTCAGGGAGGGAACGGGGAACGACGATGACGACCAACGATTCAATTTCCACAAGCTGGTTGAACGAATGGCACTTGTGCTTGGCCCACCCGAAACCCGGGAAACCACTTTATTTTAGGGCAACCCATGGTGCTGGTCACTCCAACCATGAAGGCATGTTGAGAATCGCCTCAATTTTCTGACTACATCAGCACCAAGGCTCTACTTCTGGCGTGATTGGGACCCTGCCTGCCATGCGAAGTCGCCTCTGGGTCCCACCTGGCCATATGACGATCCCTCCACCTCCTGCGTGGCAAAGGCGTGCCTCAGCGGAACAATGCCTGCCGGGCGGCCAGCCAAGAAAAATCATCCGGTCCAAATCCTACTTGTCATGTCATTTCATGAGATTTCTTTTCATGCTGTTTTGTTTAATTATATTTCTATCATCTTAGCATTTCATGATGTGTCATTCTTTGCAGGTCTTTTTTTGGGAGCAACATGTAGTTAGTTCCAGTCTTGGGGGTTGGCTCCAAGGCTGGTGGAATGGATACTCACGCCTGGAATCTTGGTGGCATCGAACTTGGTCTGAGAATGCCTGAGATGTGGATGATCCAGCAATTTCTGGATTGGTGGAAGCTACTAGTAGAAAGGACGCTACTAGGTGGAGGCCATGGCTATTAGGTTGGAGGCCATCGCTACTAGGAACAAGAAGCTGCTAGTAGCATGGACGCTATTAGGTGAGGCCATCGCAAGTAGGTTGGATGCCATCGCTATTAGGAGCAAGAAGCTACTAGTAGCGTGGGTTTGTACAAGATGCCAGATCAGGGGATGAGAGTGCTGAGGGTCCTCAAATGTCCTCAACGCGGGCTGAGGTATCGTGGAAGAATCCATGAAGCTGCTTGGGTGTTCAGAACTTTTCGACTCAAACCTTGTCGAAGTTCTTTTGCTGTATGGTGAGTATGATGCTTGTTGTGCTGAGCCTTGACTCAAGCATGATTTCAACTTTCAACAGTCAAGTCCTTTTCAGCACAAACCCTATCTTTGTGATCGTTTGTGGCGGCGCATCGCCTGATCCCCTCAAAAACTAATGAGTTTGACCAAAACAGGCTGCTGGTGCTTTTGCGCTTGGTTCCCTCGTTGGAAGATGCGATGCGCTCCCTTTGGCTGACGCGATGCCCCCGCATGTCGACGTTTCAATGCTTGCCCTGCTGCGGGTGGTTTCTGATCCCCTGGCCAAATTAGATCAGCCGGAAAAGTGTGGCTCAAAAATTCTCACTCCAAGGAACCCCTTTTTGGTCCATTATGCATGTGAGCTTGGGTGTGTTCAGGACTCATTGCAGGACTAATTTAATTAAGCACTTTTGAGCCCTTCCTGGCTGTACTCACTAATTTTATATATGGCAGTTGTTGTATCCCTACTACCCGGTTTGGAGGGTTACTGTGAGTGTTACGGCTTAGGAGGGTTGAAAATTGACACGCGCACTGTAAACATTGCCGCCTTTTTCTGGCTGTTCAAGAAGGACCACCACTTCGACGACAAGCATGAGATATTTATATTTGTCTTCCCAAGTATCCGCTAGGAAAAGAAGTGTAGTGTGATCAGTTGCTGTGATTCAAGTTTCTACACCATTTGTCCTTTCCTGTTTCCTTCACCAAGCCAAGGCTCCATAATGCCATGGTAGTTGAAACGAACATTCTTGATCCCATGGTTGCATAGATCAGACTTTCTTTGTTTTCTGTCTTTGTCGCACTATGTCGCACTCCTTTCAAAGGAAGCTGGCAGCTTCTCCAGTCGTGGTGGTCCTTTGTGGTATGTCGTCAGTGGGGGCTGGCTTTTCGACCCGGGAAAACGTCTCCTACATCGGCCGAATCAAAGGGCAAGTGGAATCAACACGCAACCTCCTGCCTGCTGTTGGCCGATTGATCGCCGCGGTGCTTCATATCTCCCTGACTGGCACCTGTGCGTTTTTCTTGGCGGTGTCCCTCTTCAAAGGCAAGGCATATCGATGGGCGAAGTACTTGGGCTGGGCGCTGATGGTTGTGGCTCATGGAAGCTTTGATGCATTCCTGACCTTCAACCAAGCCGTGCCCTTGCATGAGTGTTACTTTCGCGCCACGTGTGATCAGACAACGCGAAAATGCACCATCGACAAGAAAGGGATGTTGCGTCTCAGTTGCATCATGAGTCCGGATGTTCCAAACTCACCCCTCCATGAGCCAATCTCGGAATCTGTTGATACCTGTAGGATACTGCAGGAGTGATTCTGAGATAGATTTGGCTTCTTGGCATGCTCAAGGCACCTTCAAACGTCCCTTCTCCAAAAATAGGGGCCCCACTCCCCCAGCAACTGATGTGAAGGACCGTTTGCACTTACAGTAAGGCAGTAAGGTAGATAGATGTATGGATGGATGGATAGATAGATAGACACGTTAAGATACATGCATTACATATGAGAATATATATATATAGACATAGATACATTGATACAAGTATATATTATTGCATATATATATACACATTCATTAAAACAAAAAAAATCTTTTAAAATAATCATATGCACAAAAAATACATCACTAAACTATACATGTCAAAAAACAACTACCATCACACCACTCCACTTCTCAGCTGGCCCAACCATTGTCACTTCCATCACCAGGGCTGGCTGCCGCTGTAGCAGTGGGGTCGATCCTGAGACCAGACGCTGCAAGGGTCGCAAGGCCAACGGGAACACGTCGGAGCTGACGCTGAGCACGGACTTCACGGACTTGGCTAAGGCTGAGGCCGACGCTGTGCACGTCATGCCGCATCCTGTTGAAGGATGTTGCGTCAATAAACGGAAAACGAGCACCGCCTCACGTTGCATGGTGGCCGCAACAGGACTTTTGGGAGCTGGCGGCGGACCGACGGTGGGGCGCAGACTGTAATCAGCTGTGACTTGGGTGTGCAAGTCGGCGGGTGTTCCGTGGTGATGAAACACTTAAACCACTCGAATCGGTCCAATTATATACACCCGACATCCCAACCACTTCCATTCAAGGTGATCCCAAATGATCCCAAAACGTTCCCTGAAAAGCCATTCAGTTGACCAGCAGTATATTGCACCTATTGGATGGTATATTTTCTAGAGGTTTGTTTGCGAGATATGCCTGCAAGGCTGTAAGTTCGGAAGCTACATGAGCAGAGAGGGATCTCATTCTTGTTGGTGGACTCGGCACTGTCCAGAGAACGACTAAAAAAGCGGTCTCGTTCAGCATGCAGCGAGACCGGCTACTGTAGTAGATAGATGATTATATATACACATACTATTGGGATCTATTTGGACCAGCTTCTTCAAGAAGACCTAAGAGAGTTCGCAGATTTTGGTCGGATAAAGTTCCGGCGAAAAGCCCAGCTTGTCCCTCAGAGTCTTTACCCTGCTCACTGGTACAGAGGAGGCGTGCTCAATCGATCAAAATTGGTGCCTCATGCACGCTTTAAGGCCCGAGAACTCCTATATTTGTGGTGCTGTCTATGTGTCCTGGTTTCCCATTTGGCCGGCTCCTATTTTAGGCAGGGCTTGGCAGAGGTGCACGAGGGTGAATGTAGATGGGTATCACTCGAAAGACGAGATTTGCGTGTTGCGAGGACTCCCAAACCATGATGTTCAGTCAATGTGCCTCAGTTCAACAAAGCAACACCGGTTGAGCATATATATATATATATAGATTCAAGCAACCAATATTCAATACGGCACAGGAAGCTGCCTTTGATGGTTGTGGCCGGGAGAAGGTGCCCTTAACCTCAGTTTTGGCAGAGCTCAACTTTTCATAGGGCAACTCCTGCAGATGTTTGGTGTGGGCGTGTGGTACATTTTTCCAGTTTGGGGGATGCATGGTCCAGTTTGCACAAGGAAAACAAAAAAACAGCAACAAGCTGTTTGATGGAGTGCTGTTGCAATAGTCTACACCTTAAGCCTTATGCCGCCTTACGTCTTATCTTGCTCGTGACTAGTTGACCAAGATTCGAACCATCCTCGCAGGTCTTCTCATCATTATCACTTTCACGCTCTTGGGTTGCTGCTGAGTTTGCGCTTGGGCCGGGAAGGGGGGGTAGAAGCGAAGAAATCCTGCCGCATGTGAACCCAGAGTGCGCCATGATATCCCTGGAAGAAACTGGGACCGGTGAGTGTGGGAGACTACCTTAGGTGCGGGTGGACTACCTTAGGTTTCAAGCATATCAATCATGGGACCTGCTTTCTCCATCAAAATGCCAGACTTGAAGGCAGGACCTCGATGCGTAGTCGTAGGTGTTTGCAGCCGTTGCTGCAGTTTGAACATGCTCAGGGTCCGTTTGTCATAGTGTGTCCTATTCGTCACCCTAGATTGCAATTGTTAACTGTGGGAAGGATTGTACTGATTCAATCCTTGCCCACTCTGGGTGCATGATTCCACATTTTCCACTGACCGAAAACGCCATGCCCAGGTTGCGCGACTCCACGCTTGGAGCGTTCTTTCCAATCCTCTGCTGGCAGCGAGGTGATGGAAACAGAATTGCCTGCCCGACCAATTCAATCCATTCCAGCAGTGAATGGCCATGACGGCTGAATCAATCACTGGCCATAGCCAAAGCTGCTAGAGCCGAATCCCATTCTACATCCATTTACCATCTCCGGCCGCGAAAGCAGATGCCGCCGCATAAAGGCATGGGTTTTGGGCGGTCGAGTTTGGGGCGTTCATGAGCAGCAGATCAGAAGTTTGGAGTTCGGTCCTTGCACAAATTCTGAAAACAATCCTTTACTGTCACACTGCTTTGTCTTGCTTGACCAAGGCTTGTTTGTGGCGTGATGCGGCACTGTTCTGTTGAGGAGCAGTCAGACAGTTCAACAGTGGCACAAAAAGATCGCAGCAACCCGGAAGCCCTTGCCGGAATTCCAAAAGGCATCATCACACCTCAAGATCGATTCAGTGGTCAGCTTCATGCGCAAATGGATGATCACTGCTTTCGTGTTTGAGTCCCTTATAGGCCCTTATAATCCCTTATATACTTCTCCCTTACGACCCGACCCACCCATCCATGTATTCGTTACTCTGACACCGACTTGGACCCTGACACCAACCGCGTCGTGGGTCAGGAGCTGTGCCATGTGATTTCACCCAAGCTGCATGCCAACATCTCCGAGCGCTCGGTGGCGGAAGTCGTCGGCTTCGCGCCTCGGACGTCGTTGGAGGAGTCCTAACCGACCCCGGTGGACCCCCAGGTCCGGGCCCCCGCAGGATGGCCGGTGAGAATGCGGAGAAGAGAAGCACGGTACTCCATGGTACTCCTGATGATATCTTATGATATCTTAGTCACAGATGCCTCCCCAGAGCTTCGGATTGGCATTCTGACTGGGGCAGGTTGCAACATACACCTTACCGCCCTTATGCCAAACTGTACCTGACATTACCTGACAAATGGATTTTCAATGATTTTCACCACATGTCATGTCACCACATGATTTGGTTGCCAAGATCGGCCTCATCATGAAAGAGCGGGGCGACCTCCTTGAGGCATTGGCAGGGGCATGAGGTGTTCCGCATCATGTTTTTCTTCCTGTGGTCATTTGTCGGTCGATAGCTTGTTTTTTATTGTCCAGAATCACACTGATTATATAACTGATTCTGATCTGAAGATTCCTGTATCTTCCTGTTTTCTGCAACGCCCTGCGTGTCAGGCCTGCCGTTTGTACCAAAAGTCTGTGCTCATGGCTTCAGACCATGGCTCGTTGTGCCTGAACCTCATGCAACTTGGATGCTCCCATGATGTTCGATCGAGCGACAGGGCGACGGGTTTACTCTGTGAACTTCCCTCTCATCATGGGCATGGGCATTGCGGGGTCAACCGCGGGGACCTGCGGTTGTTCATGGTTTGCTGCCCCTAACTTTCACCACATGCCCAATGCCAATTAATTTAGACTGTTGATAAGTAGGTCTCCCATATGGAGAGGTTTTACAGAATCCAAATCGGATGGTTTTATTAACCAACAAATCTACATAATTTGTCTCAATTCTTCAAGCACCCGATGGTTGCTTCATGCCAGTGATGGTGGAGTCTTGGCTACGGTCATTCCGAGACACCCGTTTGGTTTCATTTCCGCCTCACATATCAGAGGCAAACGGAAGGGTAGTTTTGCAAAAACCTATCCTACTAACATCGCGGAAGGCGCGGGACATTCGTAGAACCCAAGGCTGTTCGTGGACAGTTTGTGGAATGGTGGGCCAGTAGGAGAACTGACTGCAACGAAATCCCAGAAACCTTCGCAGAGCTTCGTGGAAGGTATTTTTGATCCACTAACTTCGTACAAGCGATTTTTGCTGACCCCCTTTCTCCACACACCCTCCATTTAGCCTTCAACATAACTTCAGGTTTCTTGGCAGTATATGAGTGGTGCGATATGGGTGATAATTAATAGTAATAGATGCCCGGAGAAGATGCAGATGGATGAAGAACCCCCACAAAATGTCCGGAAGGGTCTTTGCGGGGCCTGCCCGTAATTTCAAGACACATCCGGGGAGAAATGTGTTTTTGGGGGCAATGAGGCTTGCATGAATCACAGGGATGCAAGTGAAAGGAAGGAAGGCAACAAAGCAGTGTGGCAAGAAAATGCAGGCATAACAACATGAGGACGCCAGCTTTGGAAAGGCGCAAATGTATGAAACAAAATGACAGGAAAGGAAGCAAGAGAGGACAGGGACCAAAAGAGAAACAAACCATGGAAGGCCCGGTCTAATCGGGGCGACTCTGGAGTAAGCATTGCTTGTGTGTCGGGGAAGCTAAGGTGGTTTTTATCAATCCTGTTTTGACACTGAGTGTTTTTTATTCCTGCGTCCATTCAAACATTCATCATCAGTTTGCCTCCTGAGTCCAGCGTTCCACTCCTCTCATCATCTCACTCGTAGTATCTCACTAGTACGGGCAAAGATCCATAGGAAGCCCGTCAAGAAATGTGAATGTTTGCAGAGGGTGCCGACGGGACAAGGAATTGGGGATGAGAGATCTCCTGCATCCCAGGCACACCTACTCCTTGCGGCGCGACGACTTGCGAGCAGTTGCCTGGGGGAAGCGGTTCATGCAGAAGCAGCAGCTATTTGCTCCAGTGCTTTGCAGTGATTTGGGTGTTCATTTCCATGTACTTTACTGATTTGCACCTTTGAAGGAGTGAGTATTTATTGAAACTTTTGGTCTTCAGCAGCAGTTCCGGTTTCTTTATGGGCAGAAGCATTTCACTGAAGAGTGTTTCGTGTTCGTGTGACAATACCAGACATCTTGAGCAAAACTCACAACGAATTGGTACATTGTTGGATTACCCAAGGTTGCCCAGCGAAAGTTATACTTGACTTTGCGTAGAAAACCTCATCGAAAGTTACCCAAGCAAGATCTCAGCACCAAAGCAATTCACCCAAGCAAGATCCCAGCACCAAAGCACTTCGCCCACGCGAGATCCCAGTACCACAACAATGCCAGCAGCTCTACACAACCACACCTGCAAGCTGCAGATGTACTTGTAGCAGACCGATTGGAACATACCTATATACAAGATTACCACCTCCGTAGCAGCCGCAACCTGCAGATGCACTTCTGGCATACATACAAATGCCAAATGTATTGGTGCACATGTGTTACGCAAAAGATTGCTACAGAAGAATGTATATATTTATAGATATATTCTATATTCTAGATAGCTATATATGTTCATTCTTAGGTTGCCCGGGTGGTCCATGTTTCTTGGGTTTTTGCGACGGAAAGTCGCGACCACGTCCCCCAGGTGCTGGCAGCTTTGGATGGAAAGTCGCCCCTTGGACCGAGGGCGACAGAAAGCGACCGGGAAAGATCACAGTGGACTTCAGACAGTTGAGATGGCACTTGCACAGGGCGACCACGGAGATTACCACGGATGTAGTCAAAGTAGGAACATGATCTTACGATCTTAGACTTGGATGTATTCAAAGCCACCTTTGGGGATGGGGACTTGTGCCATGTTCTGGTGAAAAGTCTGAGCGGATATTTTAGTGCTGAGTTGCTCAGTTGCTGTAGATTATCTAGAGGATGATGGATGGCCTGTTTGCCTGGTGTAATCCTATGTGTATATATATATATATACGTATCTATATACATCATAGGGCCAAAAGAGGTCGGGAGTTTTGGATAGGGTGTGCCTATAATTAATTTTGCAAACGGATGCATGCACATTGTGTGGTTGCTTGGTTATTACAAGTCAGTCTAGACTGACAGTGGTTCTGGGGCAATATGTTGACTGCCACCCAGGTCAAGTCAACATCGAAGCTGCGGACAGAACAGGTATTGCTTAGAGCACTTCCATGGAACCTTGACTAGGCGAAGTGCTATTGTGTTAAGCCATTCGAAACCAAGCCTTGCCTGGATTTGTGATACCCTCCATCAGATTAACATGGACCCCCCAAACCACTGGGTTCTACCGGAAAATGGTTTTCCATGGGTGAATTCTCAGGGCCAGTCTGGGGTGTATCACTCTTTCGGCTCAGGGTCAGCGACGACGCCAAGATCTTTGGGGTCAAAGACTTCGCCGCCGAGAACGAGTTCCATGCTGCTTGGGCCGGCGAGGTTGAAGAATTGATGGCGGAGAGCTGGGGCAGAGCCCGGTCATTGTAGTTGTAGTGCGTAATGTAGGCTCTTGATTATTAACTCCCCATGTAAAGAGGCTTTTCAATTCAAATGCGCGGGTTTATTTATCAAGAGTCTATACATTAGGGGCCAAAACATTGCCAATCTTGACGCCCCCTGTGTTTCGACTGCAGGTTTGTTCATGCGCCTTATGACCAAGAGAAAATGGACACCAACAGGAAAAAGGCACACACTCGTGCAGATCAATATGGGCCCCAAACTCAGTGTGTTTGTTCAAGCAGGTCTTATGAAGGGTCTTGAGCCACGTTGTGCGTGTGTGAGTGATCCTGTGGTGTAATTCATGATTGGTGTCCTGCAGTAGTTCCTGCAGTCTCCCTGATTAAACATTGACCCAACTTGTTCTTTGCAACTCTACCCCGCTGGTGAGGATGCCTTAGCCATCGGCCTGGTGACTTTCAAGCTGCTCTTCCTGGCGCAGCCCAGAGGCTTTGAGAGCAAGGGAGAGCCCAGCTGGTTGAAGTGCCCTGCTTGAATCAGCTGCACCGGTGAGCTGAGGTGGTTCGGGGCCTCCACCCTATCTGCGATGGCCTCCAACCTACATAAAGGAGATGAATGCAGTTTCGTTGGCGTTTCAGAAGGCTTTGACAATTCCCTTGCCATACAACTTGAGTTTGCAACATGTGCAACGAGTATTCAATTCAGTCCATGCACGGCCCAGAAAACGGCCGTTGCACAAGCTAAACCTCCAGGAGCCAACCTGGACACCTGACCCATTGGTTCCAGAGCACTATCCACCTCACCCAAGGGGACCGAAGAAACGCCCAGGCGGCTGAAAACCATGGAGATTGAGTCACACATCGTCGGCCCTGGCGTGCTCTCGCTGATGGAGGACATGTGTGAAGCCCAAGTGGCCCAACTGGTCCATGCAGATGGTTCGTTCGACTTGTAACGGTGAGTCGGTGAGTCACCCTGTCCATCCGACTGAACATCCGACACCACGTGCCCTTTGTCCGTGTTGCGGTGGCACGGGTCTTGGTGCCAGGATACCTGGCGGCGGCGTAGCGAGATGGATGCAAGCATGTTGGTTGGCGCACAGAAGCACAATCAAGTGCTCAAGCGCCTTTGCGGGGTGTGCCCTGGCCCGAGAAGATGGCGTGAGAGGGTCAAGAAGCGATCGGTGAGTCACGTGCACCACGTGGAACTCCCGATTCGTTTTGAAGGCCCTGGGTATAGCAAGCAAAGAAAGGAGCGTTGTTTTCTCCGGCCTCAATAGTATGTCATGGGTCTTAACCATGGGTCCTAGTTTAAGAGATACCGTCCAAATGCATCTAAAATCCGTTGAACTATCATCATCATTTCGGACTGATCTTGCTGAGGTTAGAGAAGTGCTGCCAGGTGAGGGTTTGTGTAGTGGTTTGTGTGGAGTGTGCAGGGGTTGAGCCGGGACGGGGTGGATGCATGCGCAAGTCGCTTGGATTTTTGTGCCTGTATGTGCCGTTGAAATCAATCAACTTGGCCATGGCGTGAGATTAGTAGTCCATCACAAGTTATGAGTAGAAAGCCCGTAGGGTCGCCTCTTCACGCACCAGGCTTTGGATGCATTCACCAAGTTGGCTGAATGGATGTTGGTTCAGGTTTGTTCTGGTTCACAAAAACCATTGGGCCATCATGACGTGAGTACACCATCATTGCTGCCAGGGCCATGACCTGCACCTGACGCCAGTGCGGACTCTGGGCATATTGAAGATTTTTGAAGGATGGATTTCTGTGCAGATGCGTGCACTGAGAATTTTTTTGTTGGGCTTTGCTGTTCGTCCTTTTCTTCATTATTTTATTTGTAGGGCGACCCCACACTTAGCTAGAGAGGGAGAATGACCTGATGAGTTCTATTTGCGTTTTTGATCAAGTGCAGGGGAGGTGAGGATTGACAGAGGAGGCATAGGCTCAGCCAGGGAGATGAGACAATGGAACAAGTGTTCGATGGCAACGATGTAAGAATGCATCAGAGATGGCCACAAAATATTCGGTTGATGCCAACCCGGAGCCCATCAAATGAGGTGAAGAGTGAAGAGGGTTGTGCAATGAACATATATATATATATATACCTTGGAAGCTTTTTTCTATAGTTGCAAGTGTCTCCAAAATTTAAAGCTCTTAGTGCCTCTCAGGAATGAGAATGCATACTTCCGCTGCATCAAGGAGCGTGCCGGAATCAGTTATTGGATGTTATTGCATGTATGATCATGCATGAACTTCGTCATTAAGATCTTCAGCTTCCGTGTGAACGACTTGAAGACTTGAAGCATTGAGTAGCAAAAGAAAGCAAAGCAACTCAGGAAGGAAGTTTCGCAGCTGATTTGTAGACTTCGCTTTCACGGGGTGGGTTGGTTTCATCGTTTGTCAGGACATCCTGGCACGTGAGAGCAGCGAAGCGGTCCCCAAGGCTCCCACGAACTTCAAGCCGATGTGACGACCTGAGCCACCTCTCCCATAGTGTAGGATCAGGATGTCTTCATCAGCATTTCTGCGCAGTCCGATGCCAAGACGCTCAGGTTCGTGGTTGGGGATTCCCATGTCCTCTCCATGGCCTGGCAGTTCGTGGACTTTGACGCACGGACGAACACGTTTTGACGCACCAGGGCGACTGGACGTTGGTCGTTTTGAGCCTCTGGGGAGTGGTCCAAACACGGTTGCAAGCTTGAACCTCCAGTTTGTGGCAAGATTATGCAAGATGATGCTCCTTTGTGAGCTGTGGCCTACCAGCTTTTCTTGTGAGGGCAGACTGGTTCACAGAGCCAAGCACGGCTGTGGATGGCCTCAGGATGACCAGCACTTCATCTTGATACCTCTCCTCGTGACCGGCGTCAAACTTTGGCATCTCAGGCCCTACAGTCAAGAGATCGTGGTCATGCAAGCCACGGGGCTCTCATTTGGGGTGCTGGAATGGGCTCTCCGGCCTTTAGATATAGCATCAATATACGCGTACACACACATTCATACTGCATATTTATATATACACACGTTTATATATATAGACACATACAGTATATGTATATATATATATGTACAGTATACACGGTTTATGACATACTATGATACACGGTGCGGGTATATATATGTATATATATATATGTGTGTGTACAGTCTTACTGCGCATGCCTTTTTGCCCCTTTAGCATGTGCCATTGCTACAGATCTCACTCTTGCGCCCTGCAGGGAAGAGTCCAAGTTCTTCACAGTGTGTCTTGGAGCGGCGGTGGTCACCAGCTGTCGAGCCGTATTGTGCATCAATCATGTCATTCAATTATTTTTTGGGGGGGAGGCAGATGGGAGGTGATTGGGGATGCTGCAGTCATTTGCTTGAGCCCCTGGTCTGAAAGGTGGTTGTGCCAACTTTTGCCATGAAGACCTAGGCACAAGCATCCCAGGCATCCCAGTCCTGCAGCTGTTTGATCAATGCTTTCGCTTGATCATCAATCACCACATCATGAACAGTTCCCTTTTGAAGCACGCACCAGCACAGGCATGAAGAAAAGTTCTTCAGAAACTGCACACATTTGAAAACATGTCTTTGAGTCCTGGTCTTCCTGGCACCTTTGGTTCCAAGGTTTTCATTTTGGGACAAGTTGCAGATCATCCCCATCGAGACCCCCGTGATGTTCCTGCTGGGGGAGATCGATTGCCGTGAGGGCGTCCTCACCACCGTGCAGAAGGCCTTGGATCGAAGCAAAGCAAAAACAGAGAAGCCTGTGCTGGCAGATGGGAAGAAGTGGAAATCCCTCACTCCATGATTGAGAGCACAAGACTGCAGAAACAAGTGCGAGCAAGCCAAGGTCCTATCATGGTGACTGGGAGCCACCCCATAAGTGAGACAATGTGTTTCAATTACCGGCAGGAGTTGTCAAGCCAAATGCCAAACATAAACAACCCGGTCTATTTTTCAATGTGGGCAAATCCTTTGCAGGGGAATACTATGTTTTTTGTCCTCCCCAGGTTCCTTAAGCAACCTCAATTAAATTCAAGATAAGTTTGACACATTCAACATCATTATCATGAGAGCATGCTCCACATCAAGCTGTGTGACTCGTTGGTGGAACACTCATGCGGATTGGTCTGTGTCACATGGTGGAACACTCACCCAGCTTCAGGGGAAGTACACGAGCTTTGACGATGCCTTGCGAACCATCGTCAACGTTTACTTGGACGTCCTGGTGCAAGTGCGGAGGAAGTTGACGTCCAACCGCATCTTCGTCCACCCTGTGTCTGCTGTCATGATATGGGACGGGGACACATCGCGCAGTCTACTAGCTGACTAGTTAACCAAGGACAGCTACAAACATACTTTCCGTTTGCATGATCCGCAGTCAGGGTACTCTGTATGCCGGGAGTGGTGCAGAGTTCGAACCCTGGGCTGTTTTCTCGAACCGCTAGCAACATCTAGCGAAAGACGAAACACGGAAGACGGCCAGTTGAACTTCGCATACCAGATGAGATCTCGGTCACGTGATGCGTTTTGTGTGTTTTGGGGGGCATGTCATTGACCGAGGTGGTCAGCTGGTCATTTCCGCCCGAAAGACGGACAGGAATGGACCCTAAACAGCGTTGGACCATGGAATGTTGGATGGAAGGCTTCGTGTGACCGAGTGGCTTCGCACAGCTCGACTTCATTCGCTTAACGGATTACAGATTTGGAGAAATGCCGTCCAAGACATCCATGCACAGATGTTGCTACTGCTACTTCGTCATAAGGAGCACTCGGACAACGAAAAAACACACCCAAACAGCGAACTCTGAGGTTTCATCCACCCTCATACAATACGATGAACATATATATAATATAAGTATATGTATGCTCTCAGTTTAGATTGAACACAACGAACTCAACACATAAAGTCAATTGTATCCTGTAATTATGCATGAGGCAGCTCTCTTGTATTTCCAGCGAAGTAATCCAAATCCAAATCGTGACTATCTGATATCTCTCGTCAGAGACTTGGAATTTGATATCGCAATGTCAAAAAGCATGCGAAAACATATATGTATATATAAATACGGTGGAACATCCAAAAATTTGAAGACCTGACGGATTTCAGACCTGCTTGAATCTATTTTACCTTAAGCTTACATACCCCCATAGTATTACGATATCGAATATATTCGGGGTCAACGAGCGCCTATGTCCAAAAAGCGCACGACGCCCGCGGAAGACCAGGTTCTACGGGTTCATCAGACAATATCAGACACCATTAAATGTAAGTCGTTTCAGCACCTGAAATACAATGTACTCTCCAAAATCATGCATTGTACAGTTGTTTTTATACGACACATTTTTGTAATTATGTTCTATCTATTTTACGTTTCTCACCAAGCACGGCAAAACTTTCACCTTTCATACTTTAAGTTCCCCAGATTCCCTTTGCGCATAGCATTTTTATCACACAGTACTGGGTCCTGGCCCCAAGGCGTATCACCTAGCCAAAAGGCGTATCAATGTTGCGTGGCCTTGGGGGTTAGCTATCCCAGCGACATGTTCTAGCTTGTTTTTATTCATGTTCATCGTGCGTGGCCATGGGGTTTTGATATCCCTGCCATATGTTTGTAGGTTTAGGGCCAACGGCCACTAAAGGCACCGCCAGAAGCGGCTTAGGCGTTGAAAAAAGCGTTCCGAATGAAAGGCAGGAGGTCCATGGTGGTTCTTTGTGCTTAAGCGCAGGCAAAGCATCAGCTTCGTGCACGTGAATTCTCACACCAAGGCCAAGCGTGCTTCCTGAGACGCGTTTCCTGACGATGGCAATGAACAATCTCCTAGAGACTCGGCCAGAATGACAGATGCCGAAGATCCAAGGAAGGTTGGAATATGAGGACTTCCTGTGCTTTGAACACTTGCAACAAGGCCAACTAGTGTTGCTTTAGTTAGGCAGCGGCTGTTAGGAACTAGGTGTGTATAATATATGGTCTCAATACCTTTGGCCAATGACACCAATCACTGGATTTGTTCAGGGCTTTGCACCCATGTCCCAGACAGATGTGGTTGTCGTTCGACCTGACATGGGCGGTGAATCCCATCGCTGTACAGCCCGAGCGCCCAGGACAGCGACTGGAGCCAAAACTCCATGAACAAGGCAGACCTGGAGGAAAATGCAACGACAAAAGTGTACCAGAATGTAGATGCCCAGGATCCACGACTATATGACCCACTGAGATGTTGATCGTCGACCGGCCAGTTGAGGTTGATCGGCGCCGATCGTGTTTGGTCTTGACGGTGTGTTCAGGCCATATTCGCCCAATCGATTTGGCCAAAGGGGTTCAAGAACTATGATTTGTAGGATTTCGATGGATTGTTCACATGAGTTTATGTTTCATTTAGCCTTGCCAAGTCGGTCAATAACAGAGGCCAACGGAGAGAAGAGGATATCGGATAGTTTGTTTGGAATGCCTAGTTGTTAAAACCCAGTTCAACACCCATATCATAGGACAAAATAGGCACAAATAGATGCAGGAACAATACACTTATTGAACCATATGACGTATAGTTCAGGATGGTTCTACGCAAGATTGAGCGGGCTCTCCAACTTTCCTGTTTGCTCACAGACAATGACGATATTCAACGGAGTGTGCAGCGTACAGTATGGGAGGCCGTGTATTATTAATTCTTCAATAGGCCAATAGACGTTGAAATTATCCTCGGGTTCTGAAAGGGTCTAGCGGGTTATGGCACATCGCGCCAGGCGCGGGTGAAACTGCTCAAAATCCAGAGCCGCTGGGCGTTGTTTGTTCGTTTTCCTCGGGATCAAGACGACCTATTGGAAGTTGAATCGCAAAATATCACACCTAGATTAAGACGATGGTGCAAGAAAAGTTTGCCAGCCTGTCTTGGCCAGTTGAAAAGCATTGCCTTCCAAAACGCCAGCCAAGGCATTTTCGACAGCCCCGTGCCAGAGGATGCAGATATCACGACCTTGTCCAAATTGCAGCTTCTGCCGGACTTGCGGCTGGATGGGATTCATTTGAACCTCGACACGCCAACGTCGCCGGTCACCGCTCCGCGCGCGAGAGCCGCTCCACGTTCAACGGTGGGTGTGAAGAAGACTCGACTCAGTGGACTCGGACTCCACCGAGGTGCGAGGTGCGAAACGATACATGCGAGGTGCGAGGTACACACGATGGACCGATGGCTCTCCTTGGAGTTCTGATCTGGTGGGTCCAGGGAGCAGTGTCATTTGTGCAACTGTGTTTCAGTGTTTCAGACATTTGAACCAACTACTTGTCTTTGAAGTTAACAGCGCAATGTGTGAAGCAAACACCTGCTTGATCTCAATCCTATTGAGTGAAGTTCAACTCTCCCGTTCAGCCGGCCTTAGGAGCCCCAGCTATGTGAAGTCGCACCTGGCTCCAGCCATGCAGCAAGCGTGGAGCTGAAAAAAAATACTGCGATGGCGGCAAGAGGGCGGCTTCCAGGATGATGGCAGGAGGATGCCATCAAACAGTTTCCAAAGTAGGGTTGGTACTTTGCAGATCCTGATGATGCTTGGAGGCAAATTACTTCAGGAGGAAGACAGTTTCATCGTCATGGGTTCTTCATTCACGTAGGCTTTACCGATGCGTCGGATGTGTAGGGCCATTTTTGTGGCAGGTGCGGCACCATGAAGTTTGATCATTGGATCCAAGTTTACAAGAGATTGAGTTGAAGCAATGCACTTGTTCACTCCCAGGATTCTCTCGAATAGGGGTGTCGAAGTGGGTGTCCCCAACTTGCCACACCTGTGCCCCCGACCTCTCGCAGGCCTGCATCGATGCCTTGAAGTCTTGGAAGGCTCAGCAGATGTCGCCGCCAGCACGACCCACACAAATGGCCCCCAGCAGTCGGTGCCCTCAAACGGGGGGAGCGGATTGGTGGATGCTGCACGAAGATGGGTGACAAGAAGACGCAGGGGGGTTCCAAAACAACGGAATTGATGAGAATTGATGAACGTCTCATGCGATATATTTCGTTCAGCTTAAGCCGCACATAAGGGGGTAATGAGATTGAATCACATGGCCCACATCCCTTGTCAACTTGTAATTCTTAGAATTGTGAGGAGGCAAGTGTTGTTCTAGTTGGGGCCATCTTGTGAGGATAGCCTTTGCGCGATGATGTTTCGGTGTGAAGCAATTGTGGTCGCATGTACACCAGATACATTTCCTCACTGCGCAGTTCCACGCAGCAGTTTAAGTGTCTAAGGATGGTTAGTGCATGTTAGTGCTTTAACCGTATGTATTATATATATAGGTATATATCACATATATATATATACACATAGAGAGAGAGAGTTCAAGCATGTTGAACATATGTTCTAATTATACACCCTTAAAGTGATGAAGGGACCTTTGCCTTTCGCTGTTCTATGTTTATCCGCTCCGAATCCCAAGGCCCGAGCTTGCAGCGACCCTCGTCACCTAGGAGGCCAGAGCACCATGAAAAGCAAAACATGTCAATATCCCCAAGAGTATCAATCTTCTGTTCATGAACTTGGCTCCGGGTTGTCCAACAATGATCAAAGCCAGTCTGATTGACCTGTTCTATGCCAAATTTTGTAGGAACATACTCCGATAGGTTTGCTTGTTATCCTCCATGATTGCATTAGTTTGAGGATGTTTGAAGATAGAATAGGGCTATCAACACTTGAACACCCTGATCCCGTTGACGAACCACTCCAAAATGCTCACAGGGACTGAAGGCTCAGCCTCACATGCTGTACTCCCACGGCACCGGTACAAGAAAAGTGGCCCTTGCAGCCTTTCCATTTGTAGCCTGCCACGGTAGGGGGAGAGGACGGAGGACCATGGGCCATGCGTCATTCCTTTGGCGCAATTGCCTTTTAATTGCGAGTCTGGAAGAAATGGTGGTACATGACTTCGAAGTTTCATGACATGACGTTTCGGTAAGCCAGGCCAACGACTCCAGCACGGAGACGAGGATGGGATGTTGGGTTTCAGGGAGTCGGCTCAGAAGGAGCTCGGATTTCAGGGAGTGGGCTCTCGTTGGTGTGTGTGTGTTCTCAAAAAAGGTCTTTGATCAAAGAACTGTTTTGAAGAGGACAGGGCGTTTACTGATGTTCCTTCAGGACTGAGCAAGGAGAAAGCGATTAGATGCGATTAGCATTCCTGCGCCAATCATTGATTGTTCGGAATGCTATCTGTAGCTGCATGACGATTAATAAAAGTCATGACATCCAGTAACGACGTTGGAAGCAGTTTTTAGTTACTGGCAACAAGAAGGACATAGCATTTGATGGGTAGGGACATACGTTCTCGGCCCATCTCAATGGCATCACAATTCCGGCACAGCAAGGACGACTCAGCCAAGTTTAGAGGGATTCCGAAGATTTTTCGTTCGTGTTTCCCTCATGTGGATAATTGACGATGTATTGAGATCATCGAGTTACAGATGTTCCTTTTCTTTTTCCGCATGATTTGGAAAATCATGGAAGTGCGTGAGGGTGCTTGCGAAAAGAACAACAAACACATAAAACCGTATAAAACTGAACGTGTTACTGTAATTCTTAGTCTTGATTTTGTTACTTGACTTTCGCCTAGGAAGCCAGGCTCTCCCACAATGCTGGCACAGGCAACCAGGTAGATAGGCTGCTGGACAGTTGTTTGACAGTTTGCTTGTAGGTGACGACACAAGGAGCATAAGTGGCAGGAGCAACTCGGAAAATGTACGGAGGGATGTGAACGCGACACATGTTTTAGCTTCTAAGCCAGCACCGGTTGTTGTAGATGTTTCCCCCACCCTTCAAGGGTAGTTGAACTAATATGGCTGGGTGATGCCATGCAAACCCGAGAAGAGTGTAGTTTGCACATCCATTACTGTAGCTTGCCACAGCTTGCAAGAGAGCAACGGGGCGCGCCAGCACCGAACCTCGCTCGAAAGCTGCTGCCGCTGCCGACGTGTTACATGGAGGATTTCACATGTTGGAACTTGTGCAACTGCTGTTTGCACACATGATGTTCTTCGAATCTACTACTTCAGTGCAGTTTGTTCCATAGGGATTCACCAGGGAGTCGCTGCCGCGAAAGCCCTGTTTCTTGTTTGGGAATCCATTGGGTTGGACGTTTGCGCCCAGGCACTGCTGGCAGCTGGCAAAGTAGAGGACTGCGTGCGACGTTTGTGAAATGGAGAAGGGAACCCTGGACTGGAAGCGTCCTTCCAGGTTATTTGTTCGGTAAGTAAACGTTGGATGCTTCTCCAAGGGTCGAGTTCACATTCCATTCAAGTGGTTGTTCGAAGGCTGAATTCAGACGTCAGAGCCTCGATGCTCACAAGTCTCACGAAACATAGAGGTCTATCAAGCTACACAACAAGGGCATTTTCCTGGCTCACAAGCTACACTCTCAAGCAGCAACATGATAGGACGGGAGATTGGTTTGAACTGATGCAGAGTTTCCACCAACAGCAACAAGCTACCTACCCAGTCAGTGGATAACCTTGAACCATTTTTCGGGATGAACAGGTGGAAAAAGGTTACTTATTGTTATATATACATTTATAAAACAGTATAATACAGTATATTTTTTCGAAAACCACAATATTCCATGGAAACTGAGGGAGTCAGGCTATGTCATGTCACGTTGACAGCGACTTACTTGGATGCACCCCATGCTACTTGGAGGCTCGCAGTCCACCCGTGCTCCGAGCTCCTCGACCCGAGCTCCAAGCTCGCCGCCACGGACCAGATTAGTGAGGAAGTGAGCCGCAAAAAACAGCTGAGATCTTGGTGGACCGATTGCTGTTGGGCTGCGAGCAGCATGCCATTTCTACCTTAAACTTTTGATAGGCATTGTGGTACACATGCCTGAACAGATAATTATGTGCATTTTAACGTGGTTGGGGATGTTTTGGAGGTGGTTTACAGCAAAACAGGAGGCAGACCCATGCACATGTTGGTGTTCTGGATGGCGGCCCTGCAACGAGTAGGTTGAGGCATGAGGTAGGCTGAGTGGTTCTACGCGACACAACAAGATGCTTCATTGCCGTGCGATTAACGTGGCACAAATCAGTCAGTCCCACTGTCCTAAAAAGAGCCCACTTGTTTGTTCAAGCAGTGGTCACTGTGGCTCACATATTGCGCTTCGTATTCACACTCCGCACCAACCGCTGTACTCAAAGGTCTTCATGGATATCATCGGTTGCTTTGGAGGATTGCTGGCATATCGACTGTAGATGTTGGATGAGTTTTGCTGATTGCGAGGTTTATTGGCTGCAATTGAGCGGCGGTTGATGTTGGAGGTTGAGCTGAGCTCCACTTGGGCTGCGAAGTAGCCAAAGTGGACTGCTGACGGTGCCTGCGGTATCTTCGCGCCACATGTGGGTCAGAAGGCGAAACAGAGCGCATATGCTGTGCGTATTGTGTTCCGTCGTTTGCAGTAAGGATCATTGTAAAACAATGGATCGGTCGGATAAGTTAGCATGGCGGGCAGCTCTCTGGTAATCTGTGTTGCAGCAGCGAAGCAGCGGCTCAAACGTGTAGAAAATCGGGTCTTAGGGTGTGAGGCACCCTTGGCAGAGCTGGACATGAACGACAGCTCGACAGATTCGGGAAGAGCTTTGGCTTTTCAGTGCTTTTCATGAGTTCCATGCTGATCTGCAAGGTGCAGTGGTGAAGCCTCACAGTTCCACAACGCAAGTGCAAAGTATTCGGTCCACTGTTTCATCAGCTCATCAACTATGCACCCGTAGACTCCGTAGACCGGTTCCGACCGGTTCCTCAACCGACTTGTGAGCCCCAAGGCGACCTGAAGCCCGAAGTGGACACGGTGCGCCGCTGTTGCTTCGCCTCTGCCAACCGACGAAAGACCTTGGTGACTCGGTGAGCACATCATGATGAAGGGGAGGTAGACCAGGTAGCGGATGTTTGTTCAGATAGAATTTGTGAAGGTAGTTTGCAAAAGTCATGTCAGTAGGCAGTAGGTGCACATGCTTGATTTTCCTGATGAGGAGGATGAAGAGGATGTGGTGCGTTGAGAAAAAGTATTTTTACCCTTTGAGTCATCGTCGACTGAGGCCTAACTGAGATGCCAACGCAAAAAGTTGGTGGTTAGCTTGATGATGTGTGACATTTACCGCCACACAGCACATATTGGGCACTATCGGATATCAACTACCACTAGCAACAAGTATTTTTCCAGAGCTGATAGAACTGCTGATAGAGTTTCGTGGTGAGACAACTCCCCAAGATCCGTATGATGCAATATGGAATCTGGAAGCCTAGAAAGTTGGCAATGAATGCAAACAACCGACAAGGGTTCCTGCTGGATTCGGCTTTTTGTGTTCTGGCTTGACCGCTGGCATGTAGGTGCGACAGTGTGTTGGGGCGCGTTTGAACAACTCTTGCGTGTGTTATTATTGAGTTCAGAATTTGGTAGTTGATTTTTTTGCCCTTCGCTGATGTGTTTTTTTGCCTCCTGCCAAGGCTTTTCGAGAGTTTGTGGCTCTGTGGTAGGACAAGGTTTCAAGGTGTTGCAGTCATGCTCAGTGCTTGCAGTCTTGGGCGATGTTTTCAGTGTTTCCCCAGCGCTGGTGTCCAAGGATGCGGTGATTGCCGAAATGGAAGATGAACCAGTTGCAGAAACAAAGCGCGCTGGGAAATGGAGAGGATGTTACTGTTACTTCAAAATGGTGTCAAGAGAGAACAGCCGTGACCTTTTCATGCTACCTAATGTACAAATGAGGTTCTCCAGAGTAAGTGCGATTTGATCCGCTGTTATTGCTCTTCTGATATGCCACATGGTTCTCGTCTCCATTGACAAGAGAATGTTGAGAATGTCATGCCCAACTGGTTTTCAGGAATCACCTCTAGCATCATAGTCTCATATTTATAATAAGTATATAGTAGGCTGAGGCACTCCATCCAAGACAGGACAGGACCACGACTGTGCATGATTTTTGTGATGCAATTCTCGCTCCACAAGCACTAACACTTCAGAACAAGCTGCCATGAAGCTTTGGTCAAAGAACATGTTCAACCTGAAGCATTTCCACATCTTCTACATCACAGCCCTTGCTTTTCCCTCACCTATGATCCTCTCAACAATTCCGTACAATTCCTCTCCCAACCCTCACGCTTTGTCCAGGCTAGGCCTCATCGACCTGCTATGCATTGGTGTGGGCTCCACCGTGGGCTCTGGAGTCTTCGTACTGACTGGGCAGGTCTTGCCCATCGCAGGCCGTGGAACGGCTCGGTAGCGATGTATGAATGAATGCCGCTGCCAACATGTGACACATTTGGAAGAACTCGTGCAATCTTGCCGCAAAGGGCAAGCGACATAACTCAAACAATAGAGAGAGAGAGAGAGTCTGAGAGAGTCATGACATGCCGTGATTATACGATACTTAAAACATACTTAATATGCAACGGTGTTTTGGTTCTCACGATTCGCAATGGTTGACACCACAACTGCTCGAGCTTGTTGGCCGGTAGGCAGATGTTCGATGCAGTGTGTCCACGCGGAAACCAAGGAACACGGTCCAAATTGTCATGAATGCCGGATGATTCTTTGGCAAAGCTTGGCAAGACAAGGATAGATTTTGAGAGGCACACTGAACAACCCTAACTTTTGAATCAGGTTGTTTGCTTATTTACCTCTTTTTTGGCCCAAGCGATCAAGTCGCACGCCCGGTCTCTTGCTTTCTCGCACGAGCCTGAGATATTCCGAGACCCAATGGGAAGTGGTGCCGGCAAAGCGATGGAACCCAAGCTGGCCGAGATCACCAAAGACTTTCCAGTGAGGGCACCCTGTTTGCCAGGTGATGTGCTGGTGAGTGGGGATCTTCCAGAAGATATGGTGGAGAAGCTGGCGGAAGAGTCTCGAGCCATTCAATATGCATTTTTGAGTGTTGGGGTGCTCCATGGTGCTGCAGAAACCATCTGACACGTCCTCAACCACGGCCTTTTGAAATCATCTGACTCGAACACGGGTGACCCTCACGGGGGAACATCTGAACTGAACTTGAGGATGCAAGGTTCGTCGCTGGGCGTTTCTGAGGAGTGCAAGGGTTGGCTCTATGTGAACCCCGAGTCGGATCCACACTTCATGCCGGAGAAGATCAAGTCCAAAGGGTCCAAAGTGGAAGTTTGTCCTTTCAAACCCTCCAAGGAGCTGCAGTTGAAAGGTCAGTAACCGTTTGTTGGTTGAGAAAGTACTGAGTACCGCTTGTTTTCACCAGCTGCTGGGTAGGGCAAACATATACAACCGCACATCTTGCTCCCAGAGACCCCCACACCCAATCAAAAGACACAACAAGACGAGCAAAAGCTGCACGAAAACATGGAGTCTTCACCTTCCAAACCAAAAGACAGCGCCAAAAGCAAACAAAAATCATAGCTCCCAGGAAAGGAGCACGGCTTTGTTGCAAATCCCTGCAGGATTTGTCACCGGAAGTGGTGGAGAAGTTGGTGACGTTGGTGGACGAGATGCCTAGGCCCCTGATGATCCAATGCACCTCGGCCAACCGAGCGGCTGTGGCCTTGCTGCTTTGGATGGCCAAGGACGGGAGAAGAACTGACTGGAGAGTCGCAAGAAGGAGCATTAGCAACCAGTAGGACACCGTGGGCACAAGCCAAAAAGAGACATTGTAGTGGTATGAGGTTCCAAACCACAACGAAGGATGAAGATCCAGAACCTGCATGAAATGAATGAGTGACTGTTCGAAGTCCAGCGTCCTGTCGTGCCCTTTTACGTTCCCCTGCACGGCACACCTGGTCCCACGACTGCCTCAGCACCGCAGAGTGAGGCACCGAAGACGTGACTCGATGCACAGGAGCGCGGCTATACCCAGGGCCCTGCTGAACTCTTGGTGAAGGACCTGAGCTTGGACACTGTGCGGCCGGAGGCTCTTGAGTGGCTCACCAGCCGCTTGCCTGAGGTGCGCACTGGTCGGATCATCACCGCCAAGCGCCTCGGTGGCGTTAGCATGTGGTGGCCCAAGGGGGTCCGCAGGTCGTTGGTTTGGAGATGTGCCACAGTCAAGTTGCATGAAGTTGGGTTTTAGAGCAGAAAAAACTAGCGGTAGCGCATCATGAGCAGTGTGTGGTTGCAAACATCGGTGATGTTCTTAACATATCAGAGTTGGAGTGCTGCTAAGCCGGCAAAATCCAGCCAAGTAGTGGTGCCTATCCTGTGGGCCGGGCGAGTACTTGCCTTACATCAACCGCCTATGCCATCGAGTGACCACTTTTTAGTCCACTCAAAGTTTCACTCAAGTCTTTACTATTGGCATGCCTAACTTCAAGTAGCTCCCACTTTTTTTATCACTTAAGACTTCTCAATTTGGCACTGGCATCTCCGCTTCGGTGTCAGGAGCCCAGAGGTGCGACAGCTCTTCGACGAGGAGACCTCCACGTTGACCTACCTGGTGACGTGTCCGGAGACCTCCGAGGCGGTGCTCATTGACCCGGTGCTGGAGCAAAAGGATCGAGATCTTCAGGTTAGGAGGACAGGTGGACCATGCCATAGATGGACAGGTAGGGTGATACAGGGAGAAGAGAGAAAGGTGGTGTAAGAAGGGTGTTGAGAGACATGCGTGGGAATTTGGGCGGTGTATTGGTTCCGCGCCGCAACGGTACGTTGGACCTATATAGATGGATGATGATGGATGTCGGTATAATATGTTATAATTCAATCTAAGTAATATATATATATGTTATTATAGTTGATTTTCTTTTTTGCGTTGGGAGTCCGTTTGGTGTGCAAGGTGCTCAAGGAGCTGAACTTGAAGCTGAAGTATGTCATCAACACGCACTGCCACGCCGACCACATCACTTCTGGTGGTCTCATCCGCAAAGACATGCCAGAGGTGAAGACCATCATTTCTGAAGCCTCAGGAGCAAAGGCTGACATGCACATCAAGCATGGGGATACCATCAGCTTTGGCAAACTTCAGCTGGAGGTTCGTGCCACTCCTGGACACACTGATGGCTGTGTGACTCTCCTGCCAAAAGTTTGTCGGCGGCAGGTGTAGAATGGTGTAAAGATGTGTATTTAGAGTAGAGCAGAGTAGATGACACCAGCAAGGCACCTATTTTGCACTTTGGGGCAGTTCATTGTGACTCTAATCAATTTCTGCTCAACATCACTGATTATCATAAGTTTCTTCGCGCCCGTTCTCCCCTAACACAAAATGTGGGTTCTTGTTCTATCGTGACCCTTTCCATGTGAAATCATGCAAAGCAATTCTCATCAACGAGCCTGTGAGGTTGATGCGTTCACGCCCTTCGTGCCGTTCACATGGGACGTTGAAAGGGCCACACACACCTTGGGACTTATTCTACCCGCAAGCCTTTTTGGGGTATCAAAGCTCCAATGACCACATTTTGGAGTTGTTACGGCTAGCAGTTTGGCCAAAAAGTGGGTGGAGTAGCTCAAGTCCAGTAAGGTGTTCAAGAATGCTTTTTTTTTTGGGTCACGGCCTCCAACTTGTAGCTGTAGACCTGATTTGCTGTTTGAGTCATGGCAGCCAAGGGGTTGTGCAGGTGATGATTGCTCGTGTTTTTGAGCATGTTCTCCCACGCTGGGCCGTGCATGGTTTCAGTGGACAAAGTTGCTACCTTGAGCGCATGCGCAGAACTCCATTACTGCAGTTAAGCCTAAGCCATGGAACCCGTTTGAGTCCCCATCAGAGGAGGCATGAGGATCACCCCATTGCAATTTAAACACTGCAACACCAGCCATGGTAGGCCGATTGCGAAGAAATCACTCGGACCCTACCAAGAAATCACCCATCACTGCCTGAAGTCGCCATGGGGGCGTTGGAGCGCGCGGCTTCGAGACTGGTAAGCCCTCACCAAAAGTATGTCCTGGAGATGGTCTTCATGGCGGGCCTAAACTGGGCGGATTTTATTTCAGACTGGTTGGTCGTGTTGCAGCGCCTTGGACGGGGCAGATGGTTCAGGGGAGGGCTTGGGGTGTAAACCCACCGGACTTGATTGGTATTGAGGAGGCTGCTGATGGCATTTAAGTAACTTAATAAAGCTATAAGGTAGATTTGAGTTTTTGGGGAGGTCCTGGCGGAGGCCAACTTTATTGTTTGGCTTTTGACCGCATTCATGTTCCAGGTATGGTTGTGTGGTCCACAGCAGTTTCGTTACGCGCTGTGACGATGATGAACTACTACGACCCTGGACAGAGACATGTGAGGCACATCCTTGGTGGTTCGGGATTGGTCTGAGCATGTTGGTGGTATCCAACCTCGTGCAAGCCATTCTGTGGACGGGCTGTGTTTACGAAGTGGTGGATGAGATTGGTCTGGGGACTCAGACCTGCTGCGGGTCTTTGTTGAAAGCTTTCATGCTTTTTTGCCTCAGCTGTTGCCAACTGCACTACTTGCTGGACATCCTTTTGGCGATGTGCCTGGGAGTGCCGGAGCCAAGAGATATCCGCCGACGAGGGCCAGTAGTGTACCGGGAATTTGCCAGCAAGATTCTGGAAAGTGCACCGCAGTTGTACTTCCAAAGCTACGTCCTCTTCCGCACGGGCTCGCTGGGTGACCCGGTCATGATCGCCTCAGTGGTGCTTTCAGGGCTCTCCTTGAGCCATGGCCTCTTAAAGGCAGTGACTGCTGATATCCAGTGTCTCTACCAGCCGCTCTACTGCGTGGTGTCGTTCTTGTGGCTGGCCACTGACCAACTGGTGAGATCTGGAGGTTATGCCTTGGTTTTGTCCTCCCACTCAAGATCTTTTGGGATCTTACTCATCCTGGTGGTGTCCTTGGCATCCAGCAGCATTTACTCTTGGTTCTTGAACCGGGGTGCGAGTGAGAGTTTCTGCCTCTTCTTTCTTTGTGGCGTGGTCGGAGGCTTTTTTGCATGTCACTCACGTGGGCTCAGTTCTTTTTGCATGTTTTTGCTGGTGTGTGTTTTATTCTTTGGTGGGAGGTAGTTCAGCATATTCTACATCTATTTCCGTATTGATATGCGCAACAAAGACAAAGATTTGTTGGCATGTTCGCAAAGGGCAGGGGGTTGACCCACCAAGTGAGGTTATGTCGTCCCTATCGTTTTCTGGTTTTCGGACGAATTTCACACTGCCTGTGTGCGAGCTTTGCCGCTCCGCTGGCTTGAAATGGTCATCTATGGCATCATAGCCCACCTGCTGGTGAAGACCAACTGTGGCCAGACTCCCACCTCCGAAATCGCAGGCTTGGCGGGGCTCCTGATCTTCAACCTGCTGTGTCTCCTCTTCTTAAAGCTTTGTTTCGACCAGGAGACCGGCAAGCTCCGCACGTGCGACAGCGCCGCTCCGGACGAGGACGCCGCTCCGGAGGATAGCCCTGCCACTGTGCCGAGTCAAGGTGAGTTGGAGCCAACGAACAATCCCCATACTGCAGCTGCACCAAGCAATGCGGCCCCGTGGTCTGTCATCCCAGGAGTTGTTGATGAATCTGAGGCCGGCGAGAGATGAGGAAAGGCATGGGCGCCAGAACCTGGAGGTTGGTCTAGTTACGTTTGTCTAGCGGCAATCGTTTGATTGAGTGAGTGAGTGCCAAGAGCCATCATATCCTTGGAAGCCAGCCGGGTTCAAAAGCCATGACCATGGACTCCATGGACCTTTGGTAGCACAATGAGCAACTGACAAAACCCGCATTCGTGGGGCATAAAGTCAGGAGAATGGTCCAAGGGCATTCAGATGTGACACCAGGCCCACTTCCACTCAGATCTTCCAACAACTCCGCATCAAGAAGATGGGAAGCTCAATTGGACTTGTCATGACGTCCCCTGAGCAATCGGATCATTTGCCTTGTGCCATTGATCGTTGGTGCTGTCCAGCTTGATGATCTTGATGCTTTCAGAAAGCTTGTTCAGCTGGGCCAGGTCGGTCAACTCTGACCAAAAAAAGTCTCACCCAATCTCACCAATGACATGGAGAATCGTTCCGAGAAAAGGAGTTGCTCCATGGGTTTATTTTGCCGTGTTTGGTTTGTTCGAATTCTTTTTTGTTGATGTTTGTTGGAAATCACTATGCCGAGTGATCCTATTCTTGCCTTAAATATGAATGCAGGGTTGCTTTTGGAATACTTCTCATGTTCTTGCTTTTATTAAAGTGCCCTTGTTGCAGACAGTGCAGGGGCACACCACCAGAGCAGGGAAAGACATCACAACAGAGCTTTTGTGCAATCACAGGCCCGTGCTGCCTGAGAACAGTTGAAACATGTTGAAAGTCACTTGGCTTTTGTCCAGTTCTTGGAGCCGAGTCGAGGTCACCTTCATATTGAAGACCAAGACCGCATCCTTTGCCTTTACGGGTGACACCTTGCTGATCCGTGGCTGTGGCAGAACTGACTTCCAGCAGGGCAACCCACGGCTCCTCTATCAAAACGTCTATGAGCAGATCTTTACGCTGCCGGGCCACCTGCAGAGTGCAGCCGTGCTGGTTTTCCTTTTGTGTTAGTTGTTGAGGGAACTGATCACTCCCACTCACTCTCTCTCTCTCTCTCACTCTCTCTCTCTCTCTCTCCATCTTGATGTAACCTAGTGTGATGGCAATGAGATATTAATAATAGCCGTCATGGTCACTGGCCAAGGTGAGACCTTCATTTGCCCTGGCCATGATTACAAGGGCCGAGGTGTCTCTTCAGTGGAGGAGGAGCGACGATTCAACCCTCGACTGACGAAGTCTGTTGATGAGTTTGCCGAGTTGATGGACAATCTGGGTGGCTCGGTGATGGAATCTCAAGTGTTGAGGCTCTAGTTTGGGATCACAACAACAGTATCCGAAAAACTGGTTAGTTTCTCTATTTTTTGGCTTTTGACTTTGCAATCATTGGGAGCCCTTTCAACAAGCTGGATGATGATCCATATCCCTTGGTTTACCAAGGCCTGGCCTACCCAAAGAAGATTGATGTGGCCGTCCCAGGCAATATGATGTGCGGAGTGCAGGATGACCCATGAGATCCGTCAGGCGAAGCCTGAGATTTCAATTTGTTGTGGCCTCTTCTGACAATTGCCAGACAGGGCCGCCCTCACATGTGTCCTTCGCTCAATCATCGAAGTGACAGGACGAAAAAGGAGAGATGCTGACCCAGGGTCTGGTGTAGGGTATCGGAGGTCAACGCTTTGTAAATATATAAAATGAATAGGTCAGTTAGGGGGCATCAGAATATGCAGCGTCACTTGTTTGCGGTTTTTCTATCACGGCATTTTGATCCCATACTCGTAAAGCCTCAAGTAGCCATAATAGCAGTTGAAAAAAAGAAGTTATCCCGACTGATTCGTTTCGTAGATCTCACCCATGGCCCCCAGGAAAAAAGAACAACCAAGATTAGGACCTCCCTGGGCATGTGCGCACGCGCGCACACGCACTGGATCTTGGCCGCCAGGCCCTTCGGCCAGTCTCAGCTGGGTTTTCGCCGGCATCGCGTGTTTGCTCAGTGGCTTTGCCTACATGGAGCTCTCAGCCACGGGACCTCAGATGGGGAAGGGGCAGAGTTGGATAGAGTTGGAAGGGGATGACTGGCAGGGAACATGTCGACTTTAGGGGTTTTTGGTGGCTGAAGTGTAGAACCCGAGGATCACTCTTGGTCCTGTGGGCACTGGTGGTCACTGGGGGGATGGAATGACAGTAGGTGGTTAGGTGAAAACCGAAGGTCAAGATTCAATTGCGGAACTTCCTTTCAGACTGCGTCAAGCGCCTACGCTTCAATACTGCTTTACCTGTGCATGGGGGCTCCACTTAGACCGCATGTGCCAAGAACTTGAGCCAATCATGTTGATCATGTTGGGCATCAGGGCATCACGCCTTTGAAATGGATTCCGCCTACCTGATGCCTGCCTCTCACGTTCGGCTCGTTCGCTCCCTCAAACGATCACATCCCCCCCGCACATCTGAACGGATCGCGGAGGAACGGTTCGCGTGTTCGGTGTCGGGCGATAAGGCTCGTTTGCCCACGCGCGGCTCCTGCTACACGTTTTCCTACCATGGCCTGGGCGAGCTTTGGGCCGTGATTGGCACCTCAACCGGTGTGGCGACGTTAAGGAGGTGGTCAAGGATGGGTGGTGACATTCCATGCAGCTGGTGGTGGTGAAATGGTTTGACGGTTGCAGCGCATTAGCTTCATTCGAGATCTTCGATCCCGATGGAGACCGGCCTCGTGGACAGTTTGTTCATACGGTGCATGGGTCAAATTCTGCTATATGCTGAAAGCGTACATTTTACTGAGAAGTTAGTATGGGTTGAGGCAGGCACCCCGCTCGCTTGCGCACGCTAGAGTGAGTGCCGGAGTTGTATGACTGACCTGAGACATGTGGCCGAATGTGTCCCAAATCTGGAAATGAACACTTTGAAGTTCGCAGGACCGTTTCTCAATTTGTCTGACCGTACCTGCTGTAGCACCACCAATTCGGAATCGGGGTTTGGACCAAGGGGCCTTCTGCATTACCCTGGAGTATGGCATTTCAGGTTCCTCGGCCCAGAGAAACGGGGTGCGTCTCGCAAGACTTTGTGACAGCAACAAAAGGCGCCCAAAAGCAACTGACAGTAGGCAGTTATACCAGAAAAACACATGATGAATAATAGGCCATGAGTTACGTTCTTGAGGTTTTCATTCACCTCCAAACACTATTAATTATTGATGCATGTTGTAGCATTTTTGTCATTCTGTCCATTGCTTCACCCTTGCGAAAGCGCCACGTTTCGCACCATCAGGCGCCGGCGTGGCCCGGAACTGGTCACAGAAGATGGGCAGTTTCTTAGGCAACTCTCCGACTGGGCGTGGTGAGATGGGCGTGGGCATATTTAAGTTTCTCAGCAAATGGGCCGTTTCCTTCGACAGGGTGGGTACTTCATGGTACTTCTTTTTCTCCGGTTCTTTGAGATTCTTTGAGGACAGGTGGTTGCGTAAAGGCACCCTGCACATCGGTTTTGCAGAAGCCGGCCTGGAAAATCCTGGACCTAAATTTGAATCGTCCCAACAGAGGTGATGAGTACAAGCACACCGTCTTCTTTTACTTTGGCAAGGCCTGACAGCTGTGTGTCGATCATTTGGGCGGAGTTTTGACGTTTCAGCCTCTGTCGGTCACCACACGGTCGACCACGACTTGGGCCTGCCATGCAGCCTGTCTCTTGAGGCTCCAACAAATTGCGACGCCTTTTCCGCAAAAGTGCCTTTACCAAATACTAGTAGCGCCAGAATTGGTTGAATCAAGAACATGTTCTTTTCAACCTTTTTGATCCCTGTGGCAGGGCACCTGGCCTGCTGATGCCACAGCAGCACAGTTGGCGGACAACTACGCCAGGAACTGTTCCGCGTGTGTTTCGATGGGCCCGCTGATTTACAGACAAGAGACAGAGAAACTACGCCCAGCCTTGTCCATCTTCGGCCTACCCGTGGAAAGGCCGAGGCCGTGGCGCGCCAGGACTGACGACAACTATCTTGATCTCTCAGCTGCTTTCTTGACAGCGCCCTTCGGCCGGAGTGTAGCGAGTGTACGAGTGTACCTTCGACAGATGGCCAGGGGAGCATATATATATATAAGATTATATAAGATGGAATATCTACTTCTTAACCATAAGAACGTCGAAGAACACCGACGTATCCCATTTCCCGTGCTTTCGTAGAGGGGTCATACGGAGTCAGAGTCAGTAGGCATGGGAACGGGCTGAGCTAGTGGATGAGCTATAGCAGCATTCAAAGTCTGATTGAACGACATCCACATCACATCGAATCACACCTAGCCCTTGGCACAGGGGATGCACCTTGCTGTTGATGGGCGGCCTCTCATTGAGCAAGGCTGTGGTGAACTTTATGACTTTTCTGAAAGTCCTGCTGGCGACTTGGCATGACTATTGCTACAGTATGCTACAGTAAACACTTAACCTCAAATGGGTTCTTCCATTAATTGGTATATGACAATGGATGGCATACTAGTATAGTACGCAATAATCGTGCTTGGTATGCTCAGTTGGACCTGCAGTCACTTGGAATGAGTGCAGGTCTGTAGGAAGAGTGGAACCATCCATTTCCAGCAGAAATCAAACCTTGAGGAAGTCTGTTGACACCCACTTGACACCCTGGGATCGTTCCAACTCCGCTCTTTTCGCATAAGCCTGAGGTGATTTTCATGGTGATTTGCGGCTTCATTGGTGCCTCGCAGCTTGGCACCAGACAGAGAGACGGATGGCGCCCGGGCTGGTGCTGCTTGCCACATGGACCGGAATGGCTGGCCAGATGGAGTGCTTCCCTGCTGCCCAGGAGTGTTATTGGACCCCGAAGTTTGATGTTCGTGTTGTGCCATATGCTGCTACAAGATCGAGAAATCATTCTTTCGAGGCACGGGAGGAATACACACAGAAATTCACGCTGAAGGGGTTGGTACGTGATGGTGCGAAAGTTAATAGCAGAAAATGCACACTTCAGCTTGATAAGGCTCACAGGTCAAGCGTAGATCCCACAGCTCAGGCAGAACATTTTTGAGTCTGGAGAAGTCTTTGCACCTGGCGGCATGCTCCTCGTCAGCCTCTGACAATGATTGGATGCATGATCTGAATCATTAAAATTGCTTTTTCAAGATGCACATCACTACCCATCACCCAGACTTTTACACAGTCCCCGTTTTTGGGGGAGTAGGTTTATTCTGGGCGACTCAGGTTTCCCCCAGAAGCTGGGTCCTTCGTTTTGGAACCACCGGTCAAAGGACCCGTTTTCGGTGGGTCCTTCGTTCCGCCCGCTGAAGGCGGCGCCTTAGCATGAACATGCAAAGCGCAAATGACCGCAAATGACCAGGTTTGGGACTGTCTGGGGTCAATGATTTGGGGGACTGGAGTGGAAGGAATGGAGTGAGCTGACTCAGCTGACCCGCAAAGATCCAACCGGCACTGCAAGGCACGGAGAAGGGGCATTGGGGCACTGTTAGGATAGACATGCGGCAGTTCGGACTATCCCACATGATCCGATCCCTCAGCCACTTCAGCCAGCCAGGGCCTCAACCCTTTTAAGCTAGCTGTGGACCTCCGGAGTTCCTTCATCTTCCTCCCTTCCGCGTAACCGGAACGGACGACCCAGCAATGGTGTGATCAACGCGACGACCTTGCTCTTCTTCGGCTTCATTGGCTTCGACGAAGTGTGCTGCTTGTCCTCCAAGGCGAAGAATGCTGTGCCCCGGCGAGGACGGAGAGATGATGGTTCCGTGGGTGGGGTGGCCAATCATGCAGAGAACAACCGTTTTGGGCAGCCTTGCCCTTTACTGCCTTTACTTGAATGTGCTGTTGATGTAAAGCTGTCAGGAAAGGAGATTAGATGTAAACCATTCTGGGTGCTTTTTTTTGTCAACATTACAGAATTGGTTTCTTTTCTGTGAGATTGCTTTCTCCTTTCCCCAACCGTTCTGTCCTCTTTTGAGGGCTTGCCAGCCCCCCTGACAGTCCAAGTTCTTGAAGCGAAAGTGACAGTGCTTGATGGTACCCCTGGAGTTTTGGCTGCCATCCTTTTGCAAACTAGGCTTGTTCCGTGTTTGCTTAGAGCATTCATTTATAGAGCATTTGCTCAGAGCCCCTCCCAGCCCCAATGTCTAGGGAGTCTGGGGCATTTTCAAGAGGCCATCTCAGAGATATATGAATGACTCACCTTACTACTAGGGGCTCCTGGCCGTACTACTAGGAGCAAGTAGCTACTAGTAACAAGAAGGCTACATTTCTCCCTCCGTTCAAAGACTCACCTTGGTGCCACGACTGCCCAGTCTCGAACGATGCCCTTGGCGCTGATTGGCACGCTGGCCATCGCGGCGGCACCTCGGCGGCGCAGTGTGCGGTGGACACCGAGGAAGAAGATGGACTGCATGCACTCAGAAGACTTATGACATCTTATGACTTATGTCTTGTTGTGTTGTGCCTTGGGCTGGAGATGGTTGGCAGGTCTCGCTTTCAATTGGATTGGACCAGACCAGATCATCCGATTTGGAAAGCCAACTGCTGCAAGGAAAGTCAGGATGAAGTTGGAAACACAAAGGGGTTGCATCATGGTTATTGACTGGACCAATTCCCCAGTGGACTCATGTTTTTCCATTACGGCAGGATCACTTGACCTCATTGCCAGTGGGTGTCAACCACAGCCTGACACAGTACGTGGCATGATCACCCATGTCACCCTGATCTGATGGGGGCTTTTTGTCACTTGAACCGGGCGAACTGGGCGCCCGCACACCGGATCCCTTGCAGCCCTGCATGGAAATGCGCTTTGGCCACTTTTGTTTTGGGGAGCCTCCTGACTGAGAGCCTTCAAGATATTGGGGTGTTGTTCTCGCACTGCACTATTTCTGGTGTTCAGAGGATTGAGGAAGAGATTGAAGCAAATCAATTGAAAGAATCATCATGAATCATCCGTTGGGACGGGGCACCATGGGCAAAGCAGAGCCTGCAAGCCTCTTGTTTGAGCCTCTACTCTTTGCCTCACGACATTCCATAGGGTCGATCTGTTGCCCCCACCCAGGCCAAGCAGGCTCAGAACATGTTTGCAATGTTTGCCCGAACCAATCGGCCCCGGTCGAAACCGACCAGATGGTGTCTTTCACAGCTCAACTGGCCATCTCGTTGATCTCCCAGCCGGGCCAAGCCAGCGACTTTGGTGTGGCCTTCGAACAGATGGGTGGTCGCCTCAGGGAGGGTGGCCAGGCTTTGGGTCCTGGTTCACTGGTAGAAATGACGTACGCATGGGTTGAACTGATTAGTCCAGAGAAGTTTAGCTTCAACGTGCGTTACAAGAGTCAAGTATGCACGAACGGCAGAAAGAATCAGTCCCGAAGTGATCTACGGATGCTGGATGCACAAGCGAACCGAACATTCAGTCTCCTTCGCGAACACCCCAATGAAATTGCAACTTGAAAAGATGTTCTTGCGGTTTGAGTCATCTCAATGGAAGCCCCAGGATAAATATTATGTACATCCCGGATTGGCCATTTCCGACTTCCATGTGGGTCGGCTTTACAGTAGTATGATGTAGTATGCCTAAGTCAGAACACTTGCCTAAGTCGTGCCAAAGCCACCCAAAGCCAACCGCCCCCCCCCAAAAAAGAACACTGATTCTTGCACTCGCGGGACGGGGGGCAACTCCCCGCCACCGCCGTCCGTCTCAGGTTGGACGGTGATCTCGTGGATCGTCCGCCTTGGTGAGCTGATCTTGTTGCCACTGGTGGTGTGGCTCGGACCGAAAGAATGACATGCCGATACGCCACCAGGTACGGTACGGGAGGACGAGGACGCCCGGTAGGGTTTTGGGTTTTAGGGCTCCCATGCGTGGCTGAAGCATCCAACCATGTGCTGGAAAGATCGCATGATACATTGCAGTATGAACATTGAACCTGCTTCCCATCGCGGCCATTCAAGATATTCAAGTACGGTAGACATAAAGAGAAAGCATGAGAAACAACTTAAGGATTACCCATTTCAGTGATCAATACTGATCACTGTATGATTGTATGACTGTATGTGATTAATTTGTGCTTACCGTTGACCCGCGGAACCCGTGGCTGTCTTAAAGCGCTTAAAGGGCCGTTTGTGGCTGTTCCTGCCGAAAGCCCAACAGAGAGGCAGGTGGCGCGTGTGGACGCGAAGCTTGCCCATCAAGTTCCCTGCGGATGCGGGACAACAAGAATCAAAGGGGATCAAAAGGGATGCAAATACAAATAGATAATACAATTTAATTGTAATTCGTATTTGACGTCGATTCTTTGATTGATGTCGATCCCCTGGTTTGTAAGAGGGAGATTGCACAACAAGCCTACTTGGTAAGTCTAAACACTTGCAACAGGTCAGATCACCATTGAGCACTATTTTCGCTGTGTTAACACTATGTTGATCTATTAATAACTTAATCTATTTTGACATATTTGACACACGAATCGCCGGTGTTGGGATTCAGGACCCCTGATGCTGAGGCTTCTCAGTATCCTCCCTCAGCCTGAAGTCTCAGCGGCTATGTCAACTGACAGGCGTGTCACGATCGACAGCTGCGGTGGCGCGCCATTTCAAGCAATATGCAACATGCTAACATGCATATACATGCATCCAGTTGGGCAAAGGGAAGATGGTGATCTTTTGGTTGCACGTGTGCTTTGTGCGACAGTGCAAAGTTTGTTAAATATGCGATCATATGTGATCCATATCATATCCGCATTCAATGCCACACACGAAGGCTTTTAGCATTGCATCATGAATCATATGATTCTTGAGCTTCTTAACTTATATAAGGGTTTCAAAGTTAGTTGCAGGCATGCGTTTGATCGACTCCATATTGGATCAAGCAGGAAAAGAGGTGTGACATGCATCCTTGCATGACACATTCTTTAACCACCAGGTTGATCCCATCTATTTTCCGGAGGCAGGCCAGCAGCTTAGCAAAATAACGTTGCGATTTTGTGGAAGCCGCGCATGATGCATTAGATGAGCTATCATCACCCGCTTTATTGATGACATTTCGGAGGAGGGGGGGGCCAGAAATATAGTTTGTTTACAGTAACGTATTTTACCGTGGGAATTTCGGTCATGCCCCATATATCAACGATGCTCTCAAGCAAGTACCCCACTTAAAAGCGACAGTAAGAAAAATATCAGGCCGCAGTTGTGTGCTTTAGTTCATTCTTCCTTACAGTTAAAGACCTCATTAATGTCACATCGTTGTGCAATCAACTCTCGACCATTGCATTGGCTACCTTCCGCAGATGCTGAGGCGATGGGACGTTTGTGTGGGGCTTGGCCTTGACAGGAGACTTGGAGATGACGAGGTTTGACGGCCGGTTCGCCGCAAGAAGACAACCCCGAAAGTGAAAAGATCAGGTTGTCGGACATGACGGTGAAGATACTCCTTGTATGACGAGACCCACCCTGCAACTGTAACACTAGTGTAACACTGCAAAACCATTTTGAGAAACGAGGTACAAAACGACCCAGGACACAAGCTGACTTCAGTTTTCGCCGCGGCCACTGGTTCAATACCAGGGCCCTTGAGCCACCCCTTTTGTGGAGAAAAGACGCTCTCCGTCCGCTGTTTCTCAGTGGTAGCGGAGCTCTCTGGCGACGGCCAGGGGGCTCCGGGCGCAGGACTTCTTCAAGGCGGGGGACGCCCCGACCCTTTCTTCGCGACCTCGAGCTCTTCGTCCTTGAGACAGTAGAGGGTGACTTGCGCCCGGCAGTTGGCCTTTGGCTGAGCCCACAGTTTTCGTCACTTTGACCTTGTTTTCTTTATCTACCAGTTCGCTGGACTTCATTTGGTCGTGAGCCCATGAGCACCAGACCTCAAAGAACATGGCGAGGCGGTAATGGCACGACTTCTTCAACTCCACCGGCGGCATCACCCGCCGGCAGTGCTACGCCTGTAAGGCCTATGACCCCACTACAGCCTGATGCTCAACGACCTTCTGCAGAATCACGACTGCCCGATCAAGATCGCCTTGAATTACAAGATCCCTGGGCTGGAGCGACACGCTCAATGGCAATGCCTGAGGAACCACCTCCGAGATCACCAACGGCTCGGGACTCAGGCAAGAAATATGTTGACTACAAGCTTGACCCAGCACCTTCATGGGATGGCTCTCAACCAGAAAAGCAATTCAAGGAGTTTCATCGCAACTTGTTGCTTTGGTTGGTGGAGGCTGAAGCAAGGCTTCCACACAATTTGATCGGGAAAAGAATCATCGACAGCATCCCCATTGGCAGCAAGCTCGGCGCCATGCTTGCCCACTTGACGGTCGATGAGATCACTGCAGAGAATGGCCACAAGCAGATCCTGAGACTCATTGAAGAAGCTCATGAGTACTTGAAGGATCAACGACTAGAGCAAGCCTTCGATGAGGCCATCTTCCGTGGCCGCCGCGAACGCGGCATGACTTTGACCGCCTTCTTGACCGGCAAGAAGGCAGCCTTTGCAGAGCTTCGCAAACAAGGACTTGATCTGCTCGCAAGTTCACCAGGTCGACACCTTCTTGGACACCTGATCCTGAGGCAGGGCGCTTTCTCTCAGGATCAGAGGCAAAGATTGAAGGTGGTGACCAATGGCTCGATCGACTTCAGAGAGATCGAGTCAGCAATCCAGAAAGTGTTTGGCGACAAGCTGGATGAGTCAGCGCACTATGACCAGCACGCTGGAACACCCCGCCGATGGAGGAGCAACACCTTCTACGGCGATGATGCCGATGAGAACTATGAGGATGACCTCATGGATGATGATGGCAGCGGCATCTACGCCTCCGAATGGCCGGAGGATGAAGGTTTGGAAGATTTGATTTGCCTCAACGACAACTATGAGGCCCAGTTGATCTTTGCCCAAGACCTGCCAGGTGTGATGGAGGAATCTGAAGCTCTGGAAGCTTTGGGTTGGCAGCTTGAAGAAGTTTTCTATGAGACCCAGCACCGCTTTGGAGGCAAGGGCAAAGGCAAGGGCAAGAAAGGAAAAGGCAAAAGCCATCGCACCTTCGCCGGTGGCTCACCTCATCATGGAGGAAAAGGAGGCGGTTACCTTGAACACCGCCGGAGGTTGCAAGCAGCAAGAAATGGCCGTGGATTCGACAGACCATGGCAGCAGCGGCAGGGCTCACGCCTTTCGATCAATGAGCTGAAGGCAAAGACCCGATGCCACCAGTGCAAACAATTGGGACACTGGAGCAAAGAATGCCCGCACAGAGGCAAGACTCCTTCTTTGCCTTCCCGAAGTGCTTCAAGTGTAGCTTCAACCACTGGAGCAATGACCACTGGCTTTTTCACTCAACCGCCGAAGGCGGCGGGATTTGGACAGTTCATGACCACGACAGTGGATCCACCAATGCTTGAGCAATACATGAGCACTTCGCTTTCCGGATTGTCGTTCGTGTTTTTGGGCATGCACACCTCCGATGGCACCGCATTAGTTGACACGGCAGCACAACATGGACTCGTCGGCATGAACACCCTCACCAACCATGACCATTTGTTGAAGACCAAGTTCGGGTTGCAGGTTCAGTGGTCAGAGGAGTCCGGCGGTTCCGTGCGAGGAATATGTGGCCAAGAAGAGAAGACACAGATAGCCTATGTCCCCATTGGCCTCGCAGGGAAATCCGGAGTCCTCAGGGTGCAAATCGTGCCGGGTGACATACCGTTCCTTTTGCCAGCTTATTTTCTTTCAGAGTTGGGAGCTGTCATTGATATGGGGCATTGCACTATCATGTACATGACCATTGGTGTGAAACAAAACATGAAGAAGATGCACACCGGTCACGTCGCCGTCTCGATCGTTGAGTTTGGCAGCGGCTTCAATGCACCACATGCCACTTTGATCACCCGCAGTACTGCCTGGTCAAGAGAACCTGTGCCGTGGTCAGCATCCGATCCACCTCATGCGCACGGCCGTACAGCGCCAGCCATGGGGCCGGTGGCGACGCTTGTTGCTGCGGCTCTTTGTCTCCAATTTCCTGCGATCAGCGCAGGAGCTCATGGAGTCCACTCGGATGCCTCAGCTGCGGGATGCACGCCGCTTGCAGCATCGACGAGAGCGGCTGGAGAAGGAGGCCCTATGTTTGGCAGTGCAGGAGCAGCTGGTGATCAGAGAGGCAGCATCTTCGTCAGCACCACCCCAGGCAGATCTGACGACTGCCAGGGAGGAAGACCGTGTCCGACCTCGAGCCTGTGTGAAGGGACACGGCAAGTACCTGATCCCGTGCCTCGAGAAGAGCATCCACTGCTCCCATGCCGAGACCTCCCATGGAGCAAACAAGTATGGCACCTTCCACAAGTGTGCTCAATGCCAGCAGATTCAGAGAATGCCACTTACGTCAGTGACGGAGCTCCATGTGTGGAACCAGACGCTGGTCTTCATCCCGGACGCCTTCTACGACAAGAAGAACACCAACAAGGCGACCAAGGAGAAGAAGAATCCAGAGGAGGAGTCACCGAGCAGTCCTCCAAAGAGATCAACGGCCTACAAGAGCAGGGCCAAGCCAGTTCCACTGCCTCGGACTCCCCAGGATCAAGTCAAAGACGAGCTGGACGAAGTGGACGAACAACAGACTTCATGGCACGATGTCATGGCCAGCGAGATCCTCAGCCTGAACACATCAGCTCAGAGCTTCAACATCGGGGAGGATGTCTGGATGCAGGGTGTGCCACGCCAAGCTCATCAACAAGATTGCCACCTATGCCCAGCTGGCGAGCAGGGAATGCTGACACTGCATCGCCACATGCCGACTCAGAAGCTCATCTGGAAGTGCGACAACCCGGCATGTCGAATGAACTGGAGCTCCATTGCCAACCAGGTGGAGCCAGCTCATGGCACCTACCTGTGCTTCCGCTGCAACCGCCAGGAGATGCTGGTGATCAATGGAGATCCGGATCCTCAGAGTGCGGAACTCCAGTGCACCTGGGAGCCATGCAGCCAGCAGGCCTTCATGTTCGAGATGGACTTGGCCTACAAGAAGATGGGACCGTTCAGCATCGAGAAGTTGCAGAACTGAACGGATGGCTGCACAGCCTTCAACGACAAGGACTACTACCAGAAACCTTCATGGACCTCATGGAGACCCTGGAGTTGGACGTGGCGTCAACTTATGTAACCACTGGATGTGGTGAATGTGTGAAAGGAGTTGCACCGGTTTCAACATGGCCCACTATTAGCCGACGGGTGATCCTCACCCACAACGGTGAAGCTTGGAACGCGGTCAGCGTTTCCTCGGCGCCAGGTGACAACTACTTTCTTGGCGGCAACGTCCACTACTTGGTCCTCTATGAGTTCATGTCTGACTTCCTCGATTACCTGGTCACAGCTGAGTGCGACATGGAGGTCACTCTGACCAAACCTATGAAGGCCGAGATCAACCAAGGCCTAGATGACCTGCTCGGAGACCAGACGGTGTACTGGAATCTATGGGCTGAGGAAGAGACCGCAGATGACGTGGCCGAGATCTATGGCAGCCTCCAGGACACCAATGACGCCATTGTCGAGCTCTACAGTCCACCACGGGTCGTGGAGGAAGCTCGCAGAAGAGGACTCAGGGCAGAGCTTTCGGTCGACCTTTGCACTGGCTATGACCTCAAAGACTCCGAGACAAAGGAGCATGTGAGAAAAGAATTGTCAAGACGCAAGCCAAAGCTCCTGGTCTCTTCACCTCCGTGCACCAAGTTTTCACCCTTCCAGAACCTCAGGAAGAACTGGGAGGACTTTGGAGGAGAATGGGAAGAAGCTGTGTCGCACGTTGATTTCTCAATGGTCTGTCTCGAAGACCAACGGAATCGAGGAGACCATGGACTACATGAGCACCCAGACACGGCTACATCATGGAATTTGTCCTCGGTGAGGAATTACCTCAGCCACGACGAGATCATCTTGGTCAAAGGTCATCAATGCCGATTTGGACTACGAGCAGAAGATGGTCTGAATCGGAAGTCAACTCTCTTTGCAACTTCCTGCGACGCCATTGCAGTGAATCTTCAACGACTATGCCAATGTGAAGAACCTCATCAGCAGCTGGTCAACGGCCTTCCAAAGCTTGCTGAACGATACCCACCAAAGCTGGTTCAGGCCATAGTCGATGGACTCATTCAAGAGTGGGCTGACTCACAACATGGCCGACCTCAACGACTACCAGATCGTGGCGACATGGAGCAATGGGCTGAAGAACTTGGCCGCCAGGAGTTCCAATGGAGGCAATTTCACCAGAGCGCTGTCTGGGTGTCTTCAAACACAACAGCAATCCCTCGACAAGGACCTGGTCACCGCACTTTGCGCTGGACATGGGCCAGGAACATTTGGGACAACAAGTGGATTCAATTGGAGCGTGCGAGAAGTGGAAAAACACCTAAGCTGGAGGTGAACTACAAGGTCATCATCGTGCTGTATCACCACCCGGAATTGTCTCAGCATTTTGCAGAGATTAGCACGGTGACCACCGCAGAGAAGTCAATGGTCCTGAGAGCTCACATCAACTTGGGACACCCTTCAGTCAAAGAGTTCGCCCGGCTCCTCAAGAATGCAGGCACCAGGCCTGACGTGATACAGTATGTCCTCAAAGAGTTCTCCTGCGAGGGATGTGCCAAAGAAAAGAGGCAACCTACAAGATTGCCGGCGGCTACTCCGAAGACCTATGACTTCAACGTCGTGATCGGTGTGGACCTTTTGTTTGTCTTTGGAGCTGATGACATCAGCGAGTTGCCCATCCTGAACGTCACCTGCCAAGGAACTTTGTATTCCACCTTTGTTCTGGTGCACCCAACTCGCAGAAGCAGCAATTTGGTCTGGCAGGCCTTCACGGCCAGTTGGCTTCGAACGTTTGGTGCACCCTCGTTCATCATCATGGACCAGGGACTTGAGTTCATGGGTGCATTTGTTGAAGGTTTGGAGAACCACGGCATTGTCCCCATGTGGATTGATAGAGATGCACCGTACCAGAACGGCATCACAGAACGCCGAGGAGGTCTTTTCAAAGAGGTGTACTACAAAAGCCGTGAGCTCAGACCTCCGACTGACATCGAGGAGGTCAAGACTTTGGTGCATGAAGTTTCCTGGGCACTACAAACCATGACAAACAGAAGCGGCTACTCACCAGCACAGCGTGTTCTCGGCAAGCAGCCCTCACTGAACATGGACAGCCTCTCCAACATGTCCGAGTATGAGGTCTCCATCACCAATGATGCAGCATGGGCCAAGGCGGAGGAATTGAGACAAGCTGCAAGAAAAGCTCTGATGATGACCGACTCCAAAGAGCGACTTCAACGAGCAGCCAGAGCAAGACCTCGCAGAGCCCGGGAAAAACAGGTCTTCCAAGAGGGTGAGCCGGTCTATGTCTGGAGACAGGGGCGCAGAGGCTTTCAAGCAAAAGTTGGACCCGCCTTCGTCATTCTGCAGAAGGGCGACAGTGTCTGGGTGAGTCGGAGAGGAGAGCTGTGGCGCTGCAATCGCAGTCAGGTGTTCCCCATGGGCAACCTCGAGAAGCAGGGAATTCAAATTGTCCCACTTGAACTGCTCAAAGACAAGGAGAAGCTAAGGTTCCACAGCGAGAAGTTGGGCTTCGTGGATGTCGAGAAGGAGGGTGACCCACCAGATGAAGATGATATAGTTCGGGTGCCTTCAACACCAGCACCAATGCCTGCTGGTCAAGCAGACATTCTTCGGAGGGTTCCTCAAACACCTCGAGGACCCCCCGAAGGACAGGCACCACGAACACCAGCACTACCGGCTTCAGCACCAGGCACACCAGCACCCGCTCCTATGACACCGGCATTACCAAGGACCAACAGGTCCAGATCATCACACCAAGCACGGCAAAACAAACCCGAGAATGTCATTGACTTGGAAGAGAACACACAAGCAGCACCAAGCAAGCCCACGGCATCAGCACCAGATTCGGCACCGGCCACAACAGACAACCAGCCAGCCAATGATGGTGATGAGCTGTGGAAAGCCACAGTGGAAAACCAGTCAGCCAAGGAAGCAAGCTCAGCATCTTCCTCAGCTGCAAGCCCAGGACTCAGACAATGGGTTCGATATGATGTGGAGGCAAAGCGATTTAGAGCATCCAATTCAAAAGGTCCACTATGGGGAGATGTGGTCCGGCGAATCACGCTGGACCTGGACACTGACAAGGTGATCCGAGATGAAACCATTCACCAAGGCATGACAGTGCACCAGATCCACCAGAAGCTTCCCAGTGGTGTGCAAAGCATTGAAACCACTTTGATCTACCAGCCAAAGCCAGGACATCCCGATCCAGGCAAACCATTTCCAGATGAAGCAACAACAAAGACCACAACTGCCAGGCCAGCTCGAGACAAAGAACCAGAAGAAGATGCTCGGCTGACAGACACTGGCATGAAGCGATCGCTGGAAGAACCGGCACCAAGTGAAAGAACGGCTCACAAAAGCAGAGTCTTTGGAGTTTGGCGAGCTGACACCAAGAATGAATGGGGTGACAAGACTCTCTACCCAGTCGTGGCCAACAGCCGGGACATTGACGCCTTCAAGCTGCTGGATAAGAAAGACTGCTACTATGCCCTGAAGACCTTTGAAGATGAGTTTCCACTCCACTACCTCACCAAGCAGGGCAAAGAGCTGAATGAAAAGAACCTCACAGCAGCAGAAAAGAAGCTGTTTAGAGATGCCAAGCTCTTGGAGATCAGCAACCTCGTCAACTCCGGAGCCATTGAGCTGGTGACCGATCCAGCCAAGCTGAAGGAGATCCGTGAGACCCTCAAGCACCGGATCATGCCAAGCAGATTCCTGATCACAAAGAAGACAGGAGAAATTGGTGAAAGCTGGAAGGCAAAAGCCAGGTGGATTCTTTTAGGCCACCGAGATCCAGACAGCCTCCAACTCGAGCGATTCGCTCCAACACCATCCACCACCACCGTGATGCTGGTCCTTCAGATCATCGCTAGCCATCACTACCACCTCATCGTGATGGATGTGTCCAGTGCTTTTGGACAGAGCGATCAAGTTGAAAGGGAACAAGGCCCTCTCTATGCCAGCATGCCACCGACAGGAATCCCTGACGTGGACCAGAATGCCCTGATCCATGTCCGCACTGCAGTTTATGGACTTGTCAACGCTCCAGCGGTGTGGCGAAAGACAGTCAGGCGACTTCTCCTGGAGCTGACCTACCAGGAAAGTGTCTTTGATCCATGCCTGTACTACTTGCCTGCCATCCCAGAGGAGAAGAACAACCCCGAGGACTTCATGGTGGCAGGAGTGGTTTTGCTGGATGTTGATGACTTCTGCCAAGGTGGAAACCAGCGCCACCAAGACTTGATGGCAAAGCTGCGCACCCAGCTCAAGTTTGGCAAGTGGAAGGACCTGTATGAAAGCTCAGCCGAATACATCGGCAGAACGCTCACTCAAACCAAGGACTTTGAGATCCAGGTGAGCATGCGCAGGTACATTGAGGAGAAGCTCAAACCTGTCACCCTGGCCAAAGACCGCCTCAAAGATAAGACCTCGAAGCTGACCGAGCAGGAGATCACATGGCTTCGAGGCATGGGCGGCTCACTCCTTTGGATTGGGAAGGAGGCTCGACCTGACGTTGGCGCAGCCTGCGCTATGGCCATGGCATGGACGGCAGCTGGTCCAACAGTGGAGAACATCCTCATGGCCAACAAGACGGTCGCAGAGCTCAAGCAAACAAAAGATGCTTTCCTTCGAGTCCTGCCAATTCCAGCAAATGCAGGACTATGGGTGACGGTGGCAGATGCGAGTATGGCCAATGTCGAGAACAAGTCCCAGGGAGGTTTCCTGCTGGCCTTCGCTTGCAAGACCATCATGGATGGAGCGCTGGCAGACTTGAGCATCAACAGCTGGCGCTCGCATAAGCTTCGAAGAGTGGTGAAAGCCACGCTGGGCTCAGAAGCTTTGGCGATGGATGATGCTTTGGCCGAAGCTGAATGGCTCAGAGCACTTTGGCATGAGCTCCTGGACGAGCACAGCACTGTACTCGATGGCTCGCGACTTGGCTCCTCAGAGTCGCTGATGGTGGTCCGGCTTCCTGAAGGAGAAGAGCCGGAGGATGTGGCTAGCATCAGGGTTATTGACAAGATGACCGGAGCCCATGTCACAGACGCAAAAGCGCTCTACGAGTTGCTCAGCCGCAGGAGCGGCAATGCAGGCCAAGACAGGCGAGCTCAGCTGGACGTGGCTGTAATTTGCGTGTCCGCACGCGCACTGAAGTGCAAAACCTTTTGGGTTCCAGGTCAGCAGATGATAGCTGATCCTTTGACCAAGAGACTAGGCAATAGTGCCTTGCTCAGGAAGGTCATGGCGACAGCCAAATACGGGCTGACGAAGGAAGCTGGTGTCCTGGAGTGACCCCCCGAAGGATGAGAAACGAGGTACAACACGACCCAGGACACAAGCTGACTTCAGTTTTCGCCGCGGCCACTGGTTCAATACCAGGGCCCTTGAGCCACCCCTTTTGTGGAGAAAAGACGCTCTCCGTCCGCTGTTTCTCACATTTATATTTATCAGTACGACTGTTCTTGACGGTCTGGTGGCACCATCTTCGTCATCGTCATCCACTGGGTCCAAGGAGTTTCATGGTGTTTCTATGTTTCCAGGTCTCTTATGAATCAAAGTCTCCAACCATCTATTAACAATGTGTTTCATGGCTCCAGGAAATTCATTTTTTACTGTAGTTGTTCTGTGTTTCATGGAGGTTCCAAAGAATCAGCACTCCACCCTTTAAGACATGCACACGTGATAATGTCAGCTTGCTTTTTCCTGTGCAACCTTTCTAGTGTCTCCAGTCTCCCTTCTAACTACTTGCAGCTGCTCCGGCTATCAAACGTGATGCAGTACCTTTGTGATCGGTTTTACGCTCGTGAATCAGCACAACCTATTGAAGGTATCAACATCCTGGTCTCACAACGATTTCTCCAACGCCTGTAATTACAATGGGCAGGTTTCTTGCCAGTAGTTCCTATGGGTTTAGTTCTTCGCACCGCAGCCCGACGATATCATGTGTGCACCCGAAGTCCCACCTGTCCAAGCACGGCACGTTGATCTCACTGGCGGATGCTCTCGAGGATTGATTGCTCTCACTGCTTTGGCATTGGCCTGTCCTTTCAGCATTCTTTGGGATGCTCTTTGGCTGAGAACTGGGGTCATAAGGAGTTTCAGCAGCTTGGTGGGTTCCTCGAATGTTTTCGCCCTGCCCGTACCAGCCCTTGCTTTTGGACCGAGAGTTCCTAAGGATGCTTTACTATTAAGCATGGTTTTCCCTGTGGAAGCAACATTCCGGGACCAGGTCATGCTATCACGTTTTCTCAATGAAATCATGCCCTTTTTGGCAGCATAGCATCGTCGAGCCTATGGATGTTACAAGCTTGAAATGGAACTGATTCGGGCGGTTTTTTTGCCGCTTCACAACACCAGCGACCGGAGGCACGGTACCGTGGTACGGTGAAGACGACCTGGTCAGATATATCTCATACAGTGACTGACCGGCTCAACCACGAAGAACGGTTTTGTCGCTGGTGAAGCATTCTAAAAGCATGATGTTGGTTGGGGTTCCACAGGTCCAGATTTGTGAGTGGTCAGCGGCCTCGAAGGTGATCAGCTTGGGTGTCTTGCTCAGCTTCAATCTCAGTGACTGGGCGAGACAGCTGAGCCTGAGAATTCTGAGTTCAGCCTCTTTGGATCGGGGGGGCTGTGCTGGGGCTCGGGCCGGGCGCCCGGGTCGCTCAAACCCGGCTCTTGGACTTATGGTTCCGTGCAGCTTCTTTATATACAGATTGGGGGCGTCCTACTACCTAGCAGTCGGAAAACGATTATCGGATGATTATCGCTATTTTAAAGAAAGCCCTTTAATGTTGGAGCCTGAATAGTAAATAGGGGCTCCCCCCCCTCAAACAAACAGGGAGTCCTCTATAATAAACTATCACCAAAACAAATCTGGATTCCTGTGAGAATTCCTTTTTGTAATTGATTGTAGTATTGTAGTATTAATTACGAAAGCCAGCCTTCGTAGAAGGCGCCAGCGGAGTTGTGTTTGGCGAACGAAGTGAGTAGTTAGGGGGTCTGGGGTGGGTGGCCCGCAAAAGGTACACGTAAACTCGGCACATGCTGGGGGAGGAGGGTGCGTCGAGGGAAGGTTTTTTGAGGTGGTGATTTTTGAGGGGTGGTGATGCAAGAAATGCAATTTGCATCATTTGCATCATCTGAATGGAAAGGTGTAGTTGGCACCTTGCCAGGTATAGAGACCCAGGGTAGCTATAGTGCAGCTACCAGGTATAGTACTTCAAGTTCCCTTTCCGTCAACCGCTCGATAACCTCTACACACGCACAGCAATCCACAGCTTTGAAGCCTCATGCGCGCGGTACCTGGGAACAGAATTGTAGCTACCCTGGGTCCGTATGAATGCTATGTTGCTATACCTCTTACACACCTATACAAGTTCAAAGCACGAATGAGACTTCAAAGCTGTGGTTTGCTGTGCATGTGTGGCTCGAGAAAGATATACGGTAAACTCTGGGGGGTGATGCTTTGATGCTTTTGGAGCGGGTGGTGACGCACTCGCCAACTATACCCTTCAATAGGAACTCGAACAGCTCAAATCCAGAAGATTCTGAAAATGGCCTGGCTCCCTATATGACCCCACAATGTGCATCCTTTGCTCTCGCTTCGCAGACCTTCATTTTTAAGGTGGCCTGAACAGAGTGTTTTAGGGCAGCAAACCCTGGTCTCAGGCCACCTTGAATTTAGCTTGAAAACCACAGCTTTGAAGCCTCATGCGCGCGGTACCTGGGAATAGAATTGTAGCTACCCTGGGTCCATATATATGCTATGTTGCTATACCTCTTACACACCTATACAAGTTCAAAGCACGAATGAGACTTCAAAGCGGTGGTTTGCTGTGCATGTGTGGCTCGAGAAAGATATACGTAAACTCTGGGGGGTGATGCTTTGATGCTTTTGGAGCGGGTGGTGACGCACTCGCCAACTATACCCTTCAATAGGAACTCGAACAGCTGAATGTGGATGGGAATTATCTCTGTGTGAACAGAATGTTTTTTCTTTCGAAATTCAAGGTGGCCTGGGGCCAGGCGTTTGCTGCCCTAAAACCATTGTTCAGGCCACCTCAAAAATGAAGAACAGATTCAAACAAGGATACCTGGATAAGGCCGTTCCTAAAGAGACCTGCTACAACAAGGTCGATGGGGGGGGGGGGGCGCGAGAGACGTGAGAGGGGGGGGGGGGGGGGGGGGGGTGGCCCGAGAAAGGTATACGTAAACTCTTGGAGGTTATGTTTTAGTGATTTTGGAGCGGGTGGTGATGCAAGAGTGCATTTTTTGCTTTTGCATGGTCACCTATGTGTGGGCAGAACAAGACATGAAGCAGATTTGACACGCGGCCGCAAGCTGCTGCGCGAGCTCATTTGATTGCTTCGACGCGCAGTTGTCAAGAAAGGGAAGCGCTGGCTTTCGTTTTGCAGCTTCTCAGGTTTTCCTTTCATAGATTGTATTCAGCTTGCTTTCTCAGGTGCTTTGTAATTGTTCTCAGCAATCCTTTTGCTTTGCAGCCTCAGATCTTCAGCTCAAGAGAAGCCCCAAGCTTTCAGCAGGCTGGCTGCACCTCTTCTGGTTGAATATGATTCTTTTGCTTTCCTGTTTGGGTAAAGGGGGCTTTAGTAGCCAAGTAAAGGGAGATTCCATGCGCATTTTTAAATTTCCAGTGGAAAAAAACTTTTCACAATTGAGGACCCAAAACAAGTTTATTATTGAGGATCAGGTGCCTTCCTGGTCTACTACCTTGAAAATTTGTTTAGGAGCAATGTTTTTTAAAGGGTTTAATTGGGGAATTGGTGGTTTTGGTCAGCTGTCAGTTTTGAAGAATCCTAGAGAAAACTATATCAGCTAATGAATCATAATCATTGGCCTCAGGAGCTAAGTAAAGGGAGGTTCCATGCGCATTTTTTCGAGGGAAAACATCTTTTCACAATTGAGGACCCAACAACCAATTTATTATTGAGGATCAGGTGCCTTCCTGGTCTACTGCCTTGAAAATTTGTTTAGGAGCAATGTTTTATAAAGGGTTTAATTGGTGAATTGGTGGTTTTGGTCAGCTGTCAGTTTTGAAGAAATCTAGAGAAAGCTATATCAGCTAATGAACCATAATCATTGGCCTCATCTGTGTTTTGCTTTGCTGCTGGCTGCTTGCCTGGGAAGGGAGGGGGGGTGCAGGTGGACAGGGTTCAGAAGGAATTCAAACCCTTATTAATTGGGTTTCCAATTTAAAAATTTGGGACCAACAAATTTTTAGCATTATAGAGGAACCATTTTTCAAACAGAGGGGTCTGAATAAATTTGGAATAATTTAGCATTATAGAGGACCTATTTACTAATCAGGCTCCAACATTACCAAGCATCACCATCCATTGTTATACCCAATGTACAGATCTTTTTGAACCAGACTATGACTAGAGAGAGACTCTGCAGCCTGCCACATCTAGGAGATGTTTTGGGTTTTTTCGTTTTTCAAGGCTTTATGGTCGAGGATTGTAGCAAGATTTGAAGGCTGAAGACGCCAGGTTACTCTTGGCGAGTTCTTGTCTCCGAAGACACTGCTTTGAGTTCTTTGAGTGCACAATTGGGTTATTCTTCACATAAATTGCGGCTATGTTGGGTGCTTGGAAATAGTATGAAATAGTTTTATTCTGCAACACTGTGCTCTTGGCGCACGAGCCTTCTACTTCTACTTCACCTTGGCTTTCAATGATAATCAAGATCTTTGGATACTCAACACGTCTCAACACCATGTTAGCCATCGAGTATTGTGTGCGTGTGTTCTTCCCAAGACTTGAACTCTTGCAGAGTGTCCAAGATCAATACAAACCTGTCAACACAACAATACAACTATATATATAGTGTTTTTGCATGTTTTTGCCGTGTTGCGTTCTTTTTTCCGTCCTGCGAACTTGGCGTACAAGGAGGTGAGCCCTGACATGCCCTGACATAGGATCGTTGGAACCATTGTTGCCTTTCCTGCATGATTCTTCACTCCAGGCAACGCTTCATTGATCAACATCCGTTCCTTGGTTGAATTCGCGTGGTTGGCTGTGTTCCTCCACAAGACGAAGATAGCACTTGATGTTCTTGACATGCTTGGTGTCCCACCAATTCTGATTTAGTTTCGGTGCTTTGCACTGGGCCTGATCCCACTTCCGCTGAGGCTATGGCAATGGTGGCGCGGTGTGCCAGCCAAGGAGGGGAACCCGAGCATCGTTCCTTTGCACGTGTTTGGCGCACCACCCCGACATGTGCTAGCCCAAATGAACCGACACTAAGTGCATACAATTGCACCGATTTGTCACCACCAGCGGGTCAGAGAACGGATACAACACTGCGCGTGAAGACATGGGCAGTTTTATACTTCTTGCATGCCTTTGGGGGAGGTAAGGTAGATGTTAGGTAGTAGGACGCTATTAGTAGCTCCTGGCCTTACTAGTAGCGAGAAGCTACTAGGAACAAATGGCATCGCTACTAGTAGTGGTCGGACGCTAATAGGCTTCGGCTTGTGTCACAAATCAGTCACTTCCGGAGACGTCACATCAGGGTCGCCAAGCTGGTGCGTGTCCTTTTCGTTTCTGCCATTGTGGCCGGCTACATCAACTGGAAGGCCTTGGGACTCCCGGATGGCGCACCTGGAAGAGGCTGTGGGCGAACAGCCCATGCCAAGACTAAGATAGGCAAGATGCAGACTTGGCAGAGGAAGGGAATCAGAATCAGTTGAACTGATTGTTTGCTTTCGGAAATGGAGCAGGTTTTGATCTCTACCAGCTCCATTCCAAAGCAATGCCAACTTCGACACTTCGCCAAGTCAGCACACCTTCGGCACCTGCCAGGAGATTCTCCATGTGACCCTAACCAGCTCAACGCAGCCCGAGCTTTGGGCTTTGATCCTGGGACCAGCTTTCTCAGCCTTGACGGCTGCTCGGCTTCACCTGTCATGGGGCCTCGGGTATGCAGGGAAGAGGGGAGCGAAAGGGCTCACACGTTCACTGTGGGCAGGGGAGAGTGTTTGAAATGATGTGTTTGTAGTGTGTGTGTGTGTGCGTGAGCACTGGTCCTCAGTTGAACTTTCACACCTGCTCACCTGTTCCCGCGGCTTTGCAAGGTCTTCTTGACTGTCTACATCGCTTGCTACTGTAAACAAGTTCAGGACAAGGACCAGGCAAGGTGTTTTGGTGTTGAAGGTGCATATTCATTGATACGCACGCCGTATAATACGTATTGCATTTGACATGTTTATAACTATAATTTGATATAACTTGCATATATGTATATGTTCACATATGTATACTAATGTAAATGTACTTCCAGATGTACGGTTTGGCAGTGTGGTTGAAGAGATGCAGAGATGCGATGTAGACTTGCTTTAACTTGGCACGCTGCACGTTGAAGCCCCCAAAGCGCCAGGGTGACATTTTCAAGGCACCGCTGGTGCCATACATTCCAGGCGAGGCTGAGATGGTTTGGACAAAAGACAGTCAGGCTTTGCCTTTCAACGGGCACGCAAAGCTTGGTATGTTACATCACCTGGACTTACCGTTCTTGCAGAGCAAGCATTTACAAGGACAGAGAGATCTCAAACTTTTTCGGTTTTGTCTTCATGGGTGACCGCACCCCAAGTACTTGGCTTTTCTACACAGAGGCGCGTTGATTGATTGAATCAACATGTTTCTTTGGACTCGACAACCAGTTTGCTACCAATTTTCTTACCAATTTGGTTGGTGAGAACCCGTCAACTTGTCAACAAATAAACAGGATAAGCACTGGTGATTCATTCTGGGTGGCTGATACTTTGGGAGACTTCTTGGCTTCTTGTTTTCTTGTCAGCCCTCGGCATCTACGTCAACGCGACCCTGATGGCTGGAATTAGCTGGACCAACCACTTGGTGACTTGGTTGTGAATGAGCTTGTGCACCCTCCACTTCTATCCAGCATGACTCAGCAAACCTGAGTGCAACATAGTGCAACAAGAGAATGCTCGCGTTCTGGGCGCTTGAGCAACCCAACCACCCACAGAGCTTCGCACTTTGCATGCATTCGAACCCGGCTGAGGTGTTTGCAGCCTTGCTTGCTGCTTGGTTGCTTTTGTACCTCCTCTACCCATGTATGGCACGAGCCAGGAAAGAGGCCAAGGAGGCCCGGCCCACCGGGCCAAGCGCCGGAAGATGGGCAACGCAGGGATTTTGGCCAAACCGCTTGGATTTTCTCTTGCAGGTAGAGATCAGTCACATGGTCCTCCTATAGCTCCTGTTGGATGCTGGTAAGGAAATTGCCAAAAGATGCCAAAAGTCTATCATACATAACCTATCACTGTAGTCGATATGCTTGGCATTGTCACACTGATTGACCCTGCTAACCTGTGGAGGTGTGTGGTGATGACGGCGACCTTTAATGGACGTAGAGATGGCCAGAGGTGCTAGCCTCAATGCGTTTGGGACTTCATGATGCACCCCCAGAAAGAGGTAAAGTTGATGAACTAGACCCACATCAATCAATGCAGGTTGTGCTTGGTTTTGGATCCAGAGGTTTTGTTGATATGCGCAAAGGCTTGTCTCTTTTAGGTGCACGTGGCCTATTGACCATGATTGCGTTGAACAACTTTTCAGGAGAGGGCATGTCGAGGAAGGTGGAGTTGTTTCTTGATTTGTTGATGGTCGAACCTACAACAGCAGCAAGAGGAAGATCAGGAGGACAAGGAAAGAGGAGCCATAGGATATAGGAGCCAGAGAATCGGTGTTTCAGGAATTATATGTCCAGCATTTGAAGTTGTGCTAGTCTCAGTGTAAGGATGAAGGGCAGCAAGCAGCTGTAGTAGAAACTCCTTGGGAGCAGCATGTTGAAGTTGACCCAAGGCTGTTGATGGGATGAAGGGTGAGATGGTCATGGATGGGTTTCTCAATCCTGACCCTCTCGTAAGAACTGTAGATGGCCTGCCAGATGATATCGAAGATGATTCACCTCCATACAGAGGTGGTTGGTGAGTTTCTATGTCACTCTTTGGGATGCTAGGTCATAGTCTTCCCGCGCTGGTGCCGTGGAGCTGGCTCCAGTCTTTTTCGCTGAGCAGCAGGGCTGAGGGATGAGGCAGGGAGATATGGACAAGAACTGCTTGCGGGAAATGGCTCTTTGCCGATGAAGATAGGATTGTTTGCACATGGGTTCCAATTTTCCATGCATTTCCATGTCTATGCCCAGATTACAGTTTATGCACACATCCAGGCCCACTTCGTCGTCATTTGACCCTTTGACCCTTTGCTGCCTTGAGCGAAGATATCTTCCAGAAGATGTCTAAAACGGGTGAGAAGCTGTCGACTGTCTCACCCTACGATGGATGACAGAAGAGACCACGAAGGTGGTCCATGTTGCTGTTGTGACTCAGCTCAGCTCGTGTCGAACGGAAGCGAAGACGGAAAGGACATGCTAAGAGGAAGACACGGATCCAGCTCAGCAACCAACCCGTGTGTTGGACCCAACCAAGCCGCCAAAGTGGCAATGAGGTCACCACACGCATTTGACAAGGTCACTTAGGGATGGCAAATTCCGGCAATGTGTATTCTTCCAGATCATTGTCATAAGCACAGCATCTATAGTAGCAGGGAGGCTTCTGCAGAGTGTTTTTCCCTTACTGTAGCGTCCTGGCATCCTTCTCTTGCATGTGGCTGCACCCCACAGGCTTGAAAGCCTGCAAGTTTCAGGACTGTGAACATGTGGTCAGTACGTATCGACACCAGTTGCTCAGACCAACAGGATGCCACTTCAAGAAAAGGATTCGAATACTGGAAGGAATAAGCGCTTCAAAATCAGGATGAGGTCACAACCAATTGGATTTTGCAACGAAAAAACTGGTTTTGATTTCGATTTCTTCACTCACCGTACTCACAGTCCGCCCAGCGGGGCTGCTTTCCATGCTTCAACGTGCTGCATTCCACTTTACAGTGCTTAGCTGGCCGCTTGCTCGGTGCAATGAGTGTCATGTCTGATTGGGATCTCCGCCATCCACCCCCTGAAGCGGCTGCTTTGTGCTGAGCCACTGGGAAAGAGCATCAGACACATCTTTTGGACACTGCCGCCGAAGCGACCGCTTTTAGCTACAAAGTAGCAGGCCGTCACCGACCTATGCTAAGAGTGCATATTGAGTGCGCGAGAAAGGGGTGAGGGCGGATCGACACGTTGACTAGAGCCACATGTTGATGATAGACAGTAAATGCTAGCAAAAACGAATCAGCATGTTCCTGAGAGGGGGAGCATTGTACACAGTTTGAGTGATACTATTGCAGGATAGTGCACGGATGTGCCCGCGAAGACGACCAGAGCACCCATCAAGAGCAATCCACATCTTGGAAGCAATCCCGCCTCTGGATAGGCATGCGACAGTTGTGAACCTCAAAGCACAGTAGGTAGAACGGTAGAACTCAACTTGTTTTGGAGTTTTTTGGTATATGACTCCTCCTTTTGAGGGAGAGGAATCACTGACCATACATACATATATATATACATATACATTCATGTATATTCATGTATACATAGTCGTGCTCTTACAGACTTATTAGCACCTCTCTCATTCTGCACTACTGGCCCGCTTTTTTGAGAGGTTTTCAAGTAGCGAACCACAGCGTAGGACACAGCATGAACCTGAAATGATCCGACCGATGCACAGAAACATAGCAGCTAAACCGACGCTCACAATCATCAACAAACAAATCAAATCACTCACCTTCGGCCAAAGAAGCTAAGAGCAGAAGATGTCAGACTTGACGGCTGGTCAGACCAACCGGTTGTTGCTAGTCGTGTTTCATAAAGCTGCTCACTTCTTGTATTTGTTCAGTTCGCCCGAAGTAGACACCGGCAATGGCCAGCTGAAAGCTTGCTCACTAGGCCGCATGTAGTAGGATCTTGGGTTGCTTATTCTCCTGCAGAAAAACGCAAGCCAACTACCTAGTAGCAGGTCGATTACCTGGAAGCTGCTTAGTTCCTGAGCTCACGATTCACCTTTGGACCTTTTGTCCACGAGCGCCACTGCAGGAAGTTGATGGAAGTGGTGTTTCGTGGTTCTTAGTGCAGACCGCGGAACTGCGAAGAACGATCCACCAATGGTGAAACTGAGAAGATCATGTTTCCCGTGCCCAGACCTAAATACGGCGAACGGAGAATGTTGGAACCATGAACCTTCCGTTGCAGAACCAGGCCATGCCGAAGAAGTTCCCACCGCATGTGGGTGATGGCCGCTTCCAAGTGCAAGACAAGTTGGGGGAGGCCACTGCCAGGGGCCACTTGCCGCTGTTGGCGGAAGCTGTTGGCTCGCGACACCCACCCACCCGGGAGAGTCCGGTGTTTACTGGGTATAGAGATGAGATATGAATAACGGTTCTGCAGTTGGCGGCAAGTGTATTTGGCTGAGGCGAGCCAGTTGGCTTCCAGATGACCTGGCTGTAGCCTATCCGTGGGGATCTAGATCCAAGTCAATGCAGTCAACTGCCGGAAGAATCCGTGGAGGAAACTTGCCGATGTGTAGTCCCACCAGTCTTTGTCATTAATTTTTGGGGCCAGCCAGCAGGGATTTCGACTCCAAACTTCCAACAAAATCAGTCATGAATCTTGGATGATCAGACGATCACTCAGCTTGGAGACGATGTCAAGACCAGTATCAACCTGCGCAGGGCTGCTTTGGAGCAGTCTTCCTGGGAAAGGACCGGAAGTCCGACTCTCCCGTCGCCGTGAAGTTCGAGGCTGGGACCCGCGCGCGTCAAAGGAGCAGGTGCGGCGGGAGAGTGCTGCGGATTGCATCGAAGGAGTCAGTTCCTGTCAGCCTTTTTTTCGAAGCATGTTAGTCTGCCAGTCCTACTGGTTGACATTGGCCGCTTCATGTTACGTAGGTCCGCCTTCAGAACCGCCAGCCTGGGCCAGCCTTCACGACGATGACTTGCTAAAAAATGTCCCAGCCAGGGCCAGTCCGCCACAAAAATCCAGGGAAATCGATTCCAAGAGCATCCATGGGTGCATCAGCACAGATTGGCACCATAACAAGGTCATCAGCCAGCCAGGCCCGCGACGCGACGCTCTCGTGGAGCCTCAGTTCGTGATTGAAATCCCGAGAACAGCTTCACTGCCTGGTCACGGCAAGGTGTTTCGACCACACTAAACACGGGAGCGGAACATGGAAGTTTGCGAACATCCAGGTGATTTGGAGCCCATTTTCCACCAATTGCACTATTCTTGGTCGATGTGGACGGCCAGGACTCCAATTGTGGCGCTCCAGGGAGTTTGGCGTCCATGGCCCCAGCATCGAGCGGAAGGGCGTACGTTGGCCGTTTAGCCACGACTGCAATCACCGCAGAGGGATGGAATGTTCTGTGGATTTGAGCCGGGCTTGCTTGACTGGAACGAGGGTTTCAAATCATGTTTCTTCCAAGCAAGCGTGTGTTTTTGCGGAACACGGGCATGACTCCTGAGGATGGAGAACCGGCTGTTGAAGCAGCTGAGCGAGCCTCGGAGGCTGAGAAATGGGGAGATCCCACTGAGATTCGAACAGGAAGATGAAGAGGATGGAAAAGGCTCCAACAATTGGGCACAAGATGGCACAAGTATAGCAGTGTAGCCCCCTCCTCCATCCTCCTCGTACTCGTACTTCGTTGCAATGGACAGTGTGTCATCATTCCCAGTTGCAAATGTCAGGAGTCGCAGATGGGGACGTGCCCGTTACCAAATCGGTTTGCTTCGGAATTCCTGCCGCAGCCAGGCCGCAGGGCTTTGCAGAGGTGCACCCGGGGTTTGGTGGGGCAAAGACGGCTCCTTGGCCGGCCCTTGGCCGTTCCTTGGGCTTGGTGTTCTTTTTTTTGGGGTGCTTTTGATGGGGGGGGGGTCGTTCATTATCATGTCTTTTTGTGGGAGCTGTTTTGGTGTGAAATTGGAATCTTGCGACGCGTCGGATTGTGATTGAACAGAAGGTGTGTTTTACAATGTTCATTGCTCTTGTATTCCAACAGGATGACCGATATTCATTCCCTTCCCTTTGTTGATGCTTGAGCTAGTATGGTGCAGTATTTTTTGTCAGGAGAAAGCGGCCAAGCTCAGTGTGTTCAGTAGCGCTTGACATTAGCAGCATTTAAATAAATATATAGATATATAGTATGTAATTCATTTATATATATATATATTTGCGTGCATTTAATGCGCCTGGTCAAGCCAGACGTGCAACTTATATAAGCGGTTGATTGGCATTGATTCGCATGTTCCCTAGGCAAACCAAAGAGGCATGCTTGTTGTTGGGGCCTCCATGTCATCACGATGGCAGGTCTTTTTCTTCGGCAAGATTGGCAGCTTTACCTGTATGGCAACTCGTCATGAAGACCTGCACGAATTGGTGACCAGTTCAACTCATTGGGTTTGGGCCCTTTATTGCTTTTGCTGGCACAGCTGTAGACAACAAACTTCACAGAGGATTCCAGACCAAGAGAACCTTTTCCATCACCAGGGGGGTTTTGAGCATTGTGGGCTTCACGCATCTTCACGAGGGAGTTGCTGTTCTTTTTTCGTTGGCCTTGGTTGGTGATTAGTGGTTCACCGTTCAGGCTGTTCGAGACGATTCTTTTGGTCACGTCGTTGGTCGATGGTCAGTAGAAAAGCTTGGCACGTGCCAAGGTCATGGAATTGTTGGGCAAGCTGGCTTCCAAGCAGCGTGTTTGCCATCGCAGACCTGCGTAGAAAAGATAGACACAAAGCAAGAAAGCAAGGAGACACTTGCACCATTTTGTAACCACACCAGAGAAGGAGAGATGAGATGAAGTCCCACTTTTCATCAAATTTTCCATAGGTCGCTGGAGGAATGCATGGAGGCTCGTTGGCAGTTGCCATGAGGGAACCTGTGCTTCCTTTTGGGATTCCACAACTCCAACATGTCAAGAAATCCTTCAACTTCCTGCCACAGATCAGTTACTTCAAGAAGAGCAGCCCAGCCAGCACAGTCAGCACAGCTCCATGTAGCTTTGTAGAATGTTCAGGCTAGAATGTCCCCAACTTGATCCTCATATCATATCGACTTACCACAGGACTCGCCAGCAACAATTCACTCCCTTGGCACAATAGCAGGCATGCAAGGGCAAAATGGATCCGTGCAGCGCCGCCCGAATTCCCAGTGGGTGTCTTCGCGCCGCGTTCGCGCCGCGGTGCGCCCCGGTGCGTTTGCGACGGTGTTTCGCCTGACTGTCTTGGTGGGGCGAATTCAGAGCCGAAAGTGAGTGATGCGCTTGCTACACCAACCAGCCCACCTTGGCTTGATTCCTGCAGTTAGAATCGCTTCGGGCATCGTCGGGCTTTGTTTCGTTCGTGTCTCCTTGTGCACACTGAAGGTTCTGATCGCTGGGAGGCTCAGCTGCTACGGCGTTTTCTTTTGTCATGAGAGATGCTTGACGCCCATTTGTTGGTGGACGGTTTGTTTGTCGCCGTAGTTAGTGCTCTTCAGTCTCTAGTACGTGTGACGTTGTGGAGGTGGTTCTTGGATGTTCTTGGTGGATATAGCCGTGGCATGCCATGGCCGTACGTGCATCCACATGTTGGTTGACGCATAGGCACTCAGAAAAAACGACTGAGTTCATTGGATTGGACCACTTCAATTCTCGGTACCAGTGCCACCACGACTGATTTATCACGTCTTATCACCCTTCGGCCCACCCCATCTCCAGAGCGCTCTTTGATCTGGAGCCACGAAGCCGCCGAAACACCCAAGGCCGAACAAGCCTTGAGACGTATCGAGCGCTGTGCTGAGAAATCACCGGACCGGAAGTGTCACAGACCTGGCCACCGGGAAAGGGATTCGGCGATTCGGGGCAAGTCTTGTGTTCCGTATATAATATAATATGCAACCTCGTGGTTGCCACTTTTGGGTCGGTAGTATTTTAAACATTTAAAACATCCGCCAAAAGAGCGCGTTCGGGTATAAATGCCCGTGGCTCATCAATAAACTACGCCCGTATTTAGAGTTATTTAAAAAAAGTATCCCGCAATATCCGGTATAGACACTAGATACACTTATATGTATTAGTTATATCATGTGCATATAATTCTCACCTCACCCATGGTGAATCTCAGCGTTCGTCATTGTTCTGCAACGGCACTAGGTATTTGCACTCCAAAGGAGCGGTCAGCAGAAGAGAAACATGGGACGGGCCGTGATATGACGTGGTTGTGGATTAATTTTGAATTGAATTGAATATTCCAGGGTTTTGGCCTCCTTCCTGAGCAGACGTGAGGTTTATGATGATGTGTGATATGATGTACTGCATCCTTTAAGCGGGATTTGACGGTTTCTCTCTTCCCAATGTTCAATCCAAGTGCCCAATCTTCTATAATGCATCGATAAACAATTGTCAGATCAGATCTTATTCGAGACTTTGAGAGACGTTAGCCCACCCTCAATTGCCCTGCTCGCCACCTTAGATCATACGCCACTGCCGGGTGAACCCCCCAAGTGTCACTCCCGCGTGTCGCCGCTGTCAGGAGTGGTTCATCGAGACATTAAACCGGAAAACTTCATGTATGGCCGGGACGGCAAGGCGGACAGAAGACAAACGGCCGGACACCGAAGCGATGTCAGCGGTCGTGATGCGGTTGGAGTTCGGTCAGTTGACACGACGACATGCTGGATGAAAGCATGTGCCCCTGGTAGGGCTGTCGGAAATTCCTCGAAGTTTTGTGAGTCAAGTTGAGAGTCTCGCAATCCATTCACTGCACCTTAAGGCGCACCAATATTATGCTTTGTTGATGGAAGAATGACCCAAGCAATCCCAAGGCTGACCCGTTTGATTTCGTAAGGATTTGTTCATCTTCTCAACCTGTCCCAAATGCCTCTCCATGTGCCACCATCCAGGAGTGCATCGATGATCCAATCAGCTAACATTGCGGCATACAATAATTCGGAACAACCCAAAGTATATACCTGTAATGTGTGCTCGGCGAGCTCAAGTGCCTGCGGGAGCATTTTAATACATTGACATTCTCATCATACATCGACTTTTCCGGCAGATTCATCAGTTGCACCTCATTGACTTCGGCTTGAGCGACACCTACTGGTCCAGGCTTGGACAAATTTTCCGACGTCGTTCCAGGGCCTTTACCCTGAAAGCTTTTCTGCATAGACCAAGACAGAATATAGTGGAAGATGTGTGGAAGGAGGCAGATAGAGAATGGGAGCCAAACCATCCAACTGCAACTGCGGACCTCCGCCTCTTGCATGCCACCATCCATCCATGCGAGCGCGAGCGGCAGCCTATGTGAGGCGCCATGTGTCTCAGAGCGGCGGCAACAGTATGGTGGGCACCGCCCGCTATTGTTCCATCAACACCCACAAGGTGCCGAAATGTTGTTTCGCTTCAAGTGACGCCCCGAGCGAAGTGGAACGGAGAACGACCTTTGTACACACTCGGTCGGTGACGTCGTCCTGTGCGCGACGTTTGATTCGGTGGTTTTTGTTGTCACGAATTGTTTTGTGTCCGCTCTCCATGTCGTTCTCTTTCGCCCAAACTGGTCGGCTTCTACACCGAGAGGGTTGCACCGGAGAGCGGGGCATCAGACCCGATCAGGGCATCAATCAGACCCGCCGCGATGATTTGGAGGCAGGACGTGTGGTTAGCTGTAAGCAGATGTTCACAGATCACAGCTGATAGATGCTCACAAAGATACTGTTTTGCGCACGCTGGTGGTAGCCTGTTCTGTATTTCTTTTGGTTCTCGCCAATTTTGGGCCGTGGTGCAGGACGCTCAATCATGTTTTGAGCGGGTGGGATGGGAGGGTGGGATGGTTTGGGGCAGGCTAAAGGCAAAGGAGAAATGGAGAGACGAACTCTGAGTTCCTAACACATTTGGTTGTTGGATATGTTTGTCTTCAGGAGATCATGGTAATTACATGTATGATTAAATTAATTACCATATTGTACCACTGGTGAACCATGAATTTCCAGGCCTTGATTCCATGTCTTCAGCCATCAGCACGGCGTCATGGCTTCACACCCTACTCCACCGGGACGGTGGAGTCGCTTATGGGTTCAGGGTCTGCGGGATCTGAAGGCCATTGCCCACATGCTGATCTACTTCTTGCGTGGAGCACTCCCTTGGTCTGGCCTGAAGGTGGCCGCTGTTGGTTGCAGCTGTTTGATGGTCAATCGGTGTTTTTTGTTGGGGCCAACAGGTTGCAGAGCCAAATGGACAGTAAGCAGAAGAACATTCATGTGAAGACCTGTAGTTTTTCTTTCGGTGTCCACTAAACTTCCCCATGGCTGTCCATGGCTGTGACTTATGTGTGCAGCCATCCTCGAATAGACAGTCAAAAGAATTATGCAAAGCCGAGCCGCTCGACCAGCTTCTCAAAGAACCTGCAACCAGTGGTAACTGAATGGTCACGACACCATGTAGACATTTCTTACTCAGTCTTACTCAACGAGTATAATTCCCACGTACAGGACGTGACTTGTGAGCTGTGCAGGGTGCCAAGACGGAGAAGGAGAAGTATGAGATGATCGGCAAGAGGACGGTGATGATCGGCTTCCTCCCCCTTGCCCTGCTGGTTTGGACGGAGGGCACGTTCGACCTTTGTGCGGCCAAACATGAGAAACACCGACTCGGGCATATCACCTGTTGCATGAATCAGCATCCGTACTCCGCAATGAAGCAAAGGCCAAACAAAGTCCAGAGATCCCCGGAGGCCCATTTGTAGAATGTGGTGAAGTCCAGGTGCACCGCAGTGCTGAGGGCATTCCCTCATCGCTGTTTCAAGATTGGCATCGCTATTCTCAGCGCATGGACAGAGTGGGAGTGGTGAAACTACAGCCTGCACGACATAGAACACATCGCTTCAGATGAGGATTCACCGGGTGTAAAAGCATGTAAAAGCAGGTATTGCTGGTTGATCCTGGTGGTGCCCTCGACATCGCTTGATGCCGCCAGAATCCAGACTTCTTTTAAGATAATGGAGGATCCTCCAAGCACCAAGATGCTTGACCCCAAAGCCCCAACCTCCTACCATGAAGGCCACAAAGCACCACAAATATGGATATCAGCACGTAATAATGTGGAGATCCAAACCTGAACCACTCCAGACGTGTTCCCCATCCCGAAATTCAAAAGAGCAGCTCCCCTTGTTTTTGTTCAACAGTGCAGCTTTTGGTGATTTCGTGGGGTCTTTGGGGGCCTGCCAGGAAGGAAGCCACTCCTTTAGATGAACTTTGTGCTGAGCACTTAGCCCACCGACAGACACATGACTGGTTCCATGATCCATGACTTTACTGGCATGGATTGGGCTCCAGCCCGGAAAAGGTCACTGGATCATGTTGGGAGAATAGAAAGATAAGAAAGTCATAAAGACTGCAGTCACACACACATTAGTTAGTTTCAGTAGATGACCAGGTGTTTGGAAGGGCACACTGGCCTTTTAGAGCACAGGCCAATATCAACTTCCATCAGTTGTCGGAAAGTGCACACGTTGTCACACGTCCATGCACGATCATGCACGGGGTCCTTCAGGGCCCGTGGTGCAAGATATGCCCCAGCCTGTGCCACGACTCGTAGCACATGACAGAGAGGTTTTGAGGATGACTCTCCTGCATTCTCCTGCCAAGTTTGGTCGGCACAATAAATGCGTGCAATTCTGATATAATACGTATTACAGTATATCTACATAGTATATGTATACCGTATGCCTGTGTGTGTGTTACAGGGTGTTCGGTTTGAGGACGTTCTGAATTTTCACGCGGGATTGAACCATTTCCTTGACTTGCAGCCCTTGAGGCTGAGATGCCCAGCGCTTTCAAGCTCTTTCTGAGCTACGCCAGGCATAGAATTATAAGACCCAACATGGAGAGGTCTCCATTCTGTTGTGCTACGAACCCCCCAGGGGTTTTGTCAAGTTCTTTGCTGCGCGTTTGGCAGGAAATTGCCTTTTGCCGAACGTCCAGACTATGAGCGACTGCCAGGGGACACAACTTTATTGAGGAGGGAGGGGATACAAGGTTTGGAAGGGCAAAAGGTCTCAAGCTGGGTCCCAAGCTGACTGACGTTCTAGACATGCTAAAGGTATTTAAAGGTGCTTCTGGATGCTTTATGGGTTGGTGGGGCACTAGTTGACCACGCGCACCTAACAAACCAGTCGAGAAGGTTACCAGTTGCATGAGTTGAATGAACATCTTGTACATTGCCCTACAACTTACAACTCGTGGGTATAGGAGACAACAATGGTAATCAGTAATCGGTTGAGCTTGTGGTCCTTTGCCGGCATCATTTCCCAGCAAAAGACCTGCAGACTCCACAGATATCATTTCCCATGCTGAGGTCGCACATCTTCAGAAAGGCCGGGACAGAGCGAGAATCCGTCCGGGGCCTTGCGAGTCTTGCATTGATCCAGGGCCTTGACTCCTTCCTGTCCGAACGATTCTCCACTTGGATGGGGCACCCCTTTGGTCACAGACACCGTGTCACAAGGGCATCGTGGACAGCGCTTCATGACTATGCGACTTGGTCGCAGCTGGTTTCAGGTTCCATCAGGTTCCACCTGGTGTACTAATTAGCCCAATCTCAGATTCACCCAGATTCCCTGCCGCGGCTCCTTGGGTCGCAGGCGAGGGAAGAGCTGGGCATTACCAGCGACCATCAGTTGCAATGGCTGGATGAGTCCACGCTGAGCCATGCTCCTGGAGGGTTGTCACCACAATCGAAAGTAACGAAAAGCCATTGAAGCTGTGATGAAAGTAAAACACATCACTCAGGGAATAGTGGATTCATGGCCGAACTTCCAAGCAACGCCTTAAAGAACATCCTGTTCGGTTTTGGAGGCACCTATTGGACCTTGCTTTGATTTGAGAAGACACTGGTGACTATGAACTGTATCGACACCATTGGGGTGACACATTCTTAATGAGACCCACAAGACCACAGACCCCATGGTTAGCTTTCTCAAGGTTCCAACCTTTGCCCTTTGGAGCCATATGTGCCCCATGGGCAGCCGGATGACAAGGCGGGTGTGCGCCGTGACTGCCTGGCGGTGGGAAAACGCTGACGCATTTGCTGTACCGGCCGTGCTGCCGCAGATCATTGTGGATGATCCAGACAGCGGTCGGTGTGGTACCCCAGACGCCTGAGCAGTGATTGGACATGCTTGTTTGTGTGTGTGATCTCAATGTCTCACTCCGATGCCGTGCAATTAGAAGTTATATGTTGAAGTGGTCGTGGTGTGTGTGTGTGTGCGTGTGTGTGTGTGTGCCATTGCTGTCCTGTGGACATATTCATTTACAGTATATATATATAGATGTTTGAGGTTTTGGCAACCACTTGTTGTGCATTCTCAGCACTGGGACCCTCAATTGCACCCTCTCATATCTGTCACTTTGGGATACTGTTGCAGGCCAAAGCCGCATGTTTGTGGGCGTGCAAGCAACTCGTTCATCCAACCAACATGAACAAAGCCCTTTCTGTTACCTATGCTGCGGAGGTGCTTTCCCTTCCTGTGGAGGCCGTGTTTTCGGAGAAGACTTCCAAGTCACCAAAGGGTCGGAAAGTCGACTCACGTGAGGGCTTGAAAACAAATTTAACCAAGAAAGATCAAGAAACATTCTAAAACCACAAAAAGATACAGACACCGTACAAGATAGATTGCAGGGCTGTGTAGGATGTTGCTTTTTATTCTTGTATCCTGGCGCTAGTGAGCTCGGACACTCATGTTGTATAGTAGTATTATGTTGTATTATACAGAAATAGTTGCCAAACATATTTGGCAGCAAGTTGACCGGTGATCCAGATGTTAAAGGGAAACAGCCTGGTGACCGGCAGGCGGCAGGAAGAGATACCCGTGAAGGATAGCCATGCCCTCGGCAGATTGTTGCTGTAAAGAAATAGTACACCAGTACAGTACACCTTGCCAGTCTGACTGACCTAGAGACTGAAACAACGTATATAACACACCAATTTCCATAAGTACTCCAAAATACACACCCTGGCCTGGGCTTTGTGCCATGTACTCATGAGTTGCTGAACTTTCAATTGCTGGGCTGTGCATTTGACGCCAATTCGCACATGCCTTTGATGGTTCAAGAAGAGACACTTGACTTGCAATACCCGCGCATACTTGAGCACAATCTCCAAACCACTAAGCACAAGTGGGACATGTAGCTAACCCAGCTTGCCCTGGAGTTGCACATATGCTACACTAGTTACTAGTTAGTGAGGTCAGGCATTTTGATCTCATGCCTTTTTCTCGGACTGCTTTGAGACCGCCCAGAGCAACATGATATAAGATAACATAAGTATTAAGTAGTATTTAAACTACTGTATGTTATCTTATGTTGTTATACGGGAATTATCCTATACAATACTGTTGGAGTATATTATATCTACCTGAGCTATAGTGATACATATGTATAACCAACCCGAATCTAGCTAATTAAGATTGCAAAAGGGGATGCTTCGCCTTGCTGCCTTGCTTCTCCAAGGTGAATAGATTCCACTCGTGAGGCGGTTGCTGCATGGAGGGGAAGAGCTTTGAGGTCCACTTTTGGCCCCCTGGGCCCTAGATTCCCACCCAGTCAGTGGATAACCTGCTCAAGCCTTTTGGGGGGATTGATTTCCCACCCAACAGGTGGAAAAAATTGATTTGTAAGGGAAACTGAAGGAGCCATTGGTGCTTGGAACAGCGGGTTGTGATGTCAAAGCCCTTTTCTCTTCGTGTGTCAGCCACCGGCGGCTGCTGGGTGAAGATCCAGATTGGCCGGAGCTCTTGTCCCGCCTGTGTCGGAGGGGATGCCAGTTGACCCATCATATCACAGCGACAGACTAGCATGGAACACCAGACCAGTATGATTCTGCCCTTGCCGCTCACTACCTGTTTCACGTGCATAGATGCGTTCCAGATGCGTTCAACACAGATAGTGAAAGACATGGTTTGTCCCTTCTAACCAGGTAATTATATGCTTGTATGACCCTCGTGCAAGTGTGACGCATACCTTTTGATACCCAGGCCTTTCACAACATCGGATGTGTACCCTGCGATTTGGTTTTGAACATCCCCCGATGCGCAAACGCGCTGCAGCCCTCCGAATGTGGAACCATGTGGAACTCTTCTAGGACTGCAGGTATGTTTGCATACATTTGCACTTTCGCATGGATGGTGAAAACGTGGGTGCTGAGATTCTTTGTCCCCTCGAACTGAACAGGTGGGGCATGGCAGTCCCGCAGTAGCAGCATAGGTCTTTTGGTCTGTGTCCCATTGGGATGGCATGGCCCAAGGCCATTTCGAAGCAAGGCGGTCATGCCACCATTGAAGCAACGGGCGTTTTTCGGAGTTTGAGGGCGAGTTGCGGTACGAGCCGTGGAGGTGTCCAATGACATGTAGTTGGGAGCAATGCAAGCGGAGACCATATCGACAAAGAACCCCAGTCATCGCTGCCGTGTGGCGCGCCAAAGGCCTCAACCCTTAGCTGTTCTGTTCTCAGTTCCCGGGTGGGGTGTTGACGGTTATAGGGAGTATACGGATCGACGGATCTCGAATGCACACCTCCGTTCAGCCTCCAGCTCGACGCTGTCCTCGCTGCCACGCACGTCTCCGCTCAGCCGCCACACGGCCCTTGGCTAAGCCAAGCGCGGCGTCTCGGACGAGTCTCCGGGTGAAAACGGAGCGAGAGCGGTTCGAAAGGTGGCTCAGCTGACGTAGAAGTGCCACATACGAAGACATGAATCTGTATAAATACGGCAGCATATGTACACACAAGTGCACACGCACACTATGTATTAAAAAAAAATATATATATATCAATCAATACGATATGCGTTTATTCAAAGGCTTCGCACTTGATCATGGTCAGAAAGCAATTGATTAGATTTACTGCATGTAATTAGTAGGTTCAGAATTAAAGCTTTGAAGGGATATTTAAACCAGCTCTGTTGATCCCCAAGTTGGGAATATCGTCCCCAGTGTCGGTATCAATCCAACTCCACTGGGTGCCAGCACTCAGTGGCGCGAGTGGCTTGGTGGAAGGATGGGTCTGGGATGGTCTGGGTGAGAGGTCTCATGGCAAGACATGGTGAATTAGAGACGGTAGACTCAAGTGACTCAATAACCCCCACCAGTGGGGAAGCGGTCCAGTGATGTCCAGTGTCATTCTTTCGGCTCGCCATGCAGTTTGTTCGCAGTTGGATGCATGCGTTCATGGCTGCCGATGCATGCTGCAGATGCATGTAGCTTTCCATGACAAATCAGCACTGATCAAGACTTTCCGAGGGATGCCAGATCCCGCAGCCACCCACCCAGAATTCCAAAAGTTCAAGCAGGCGCCCCTTTGTTGACGCCGAACTCTGAACCCAACACATCTATCAATCACATTTTTCTATGTCATACCCCTTGTGACCAGACTCTTTGCATTTGACTTCGTCCCCAACCGCGCGCCGAGCGACTGGGGACCCGACAATGGATTTGAACTACTTGGACTACCTGGGGATCCGAGTCGCCCTCGGCGCGACGTTGCCAGCGCTTGGTCAAACAGATCTACCTGCGGTGACAGCGAGTGAGGTCGAGGCTGAGGGCTGCCGGTCATGGTGTGGCTGGTGTGATTTGGGGTTTTCCTCAATATGCTCGGTGAAAAATCTTGCGCATTTGATGCATGCGCACGACACTACTATATAATACTTAAAGTGTCTTGTCCCAGAGCCACCAAAAGGGAGAGCCAATAGATTCAATAGGAATGCCACTGCCCAAACTCTGCAAAAGGATCCAGAAAGGGCACCTGAAAGGGTGTGAAGGGACCTTTTGTAGCATTGGACTTGCTCCATGCCCCACCCGAGGCCTTTGAAACCCAATCGGACGAGGACGAGGAGCTCTTTCGCTCTGGGGATCTCATCGTTCCATCTACCCTGAAGAGTGAGTTCTTTGAGGCCAAGCTGGGAACATGGTAAATCGATTCTTTTTGAAAGCTCAGAACCTTCAACTGGCTGGATTGGAAGCCTCCTGATGTTGAAGTCCACCATCTCAGGTGGACTTCTCTTTGCACTCCGTGGCGCCTCCCAGCTTTGCCGCCAGCGTGATGGCGTTGGATGGGTGCTGCTTGCCACTCGCGCAGGTGCCGCCACCGCTTTGATTTCGAGATGGCTTCGTGTCACTCTGTTCCACTTGGGTCAGGACTTGTGGTTCCTCCTCGAAGATGTTTGGCCGCAAGAGGAGCACTGAGGGCTACTGAGGGCTTGCAGCCCTCAAGGCGCTGGCACTAGTGAAGATGGTTGAGGATTTCGCGTTTCGCATGCCTTTGCGGCCCAATTTGCGTGCCCCAATGCCCAATGCATTCCTTGGCCTTGGCCCATGCCTGGAGGGGTTCGTGACTTCTTCCCGAATTGTCCAGTGCCATCGAAGCTGGCGATTGAAACTCAGAGTTTGCATCCCAACCCTTGCTAGGTCTGGGTTTCGTGCGGGATTTAGAGACATACCAAAAAGTGGCTCCCCTCGATGGAGGCACCTGCCACATGCGGTCACCCATCCAAAAAAGATCCACAACTCTCAAGAAGTGAATCCGGCTCCCCACTTGGTTTTTGCAACAGGTGCATGATGCAAAGTCCTACGAACTGGCTCATATTTCATATTTCACCATCCTCAGGCTGCACACCGTAGCCATAGCGCTCGCACTTTCTTCGGCCGCTTCAAGGGATGCTTGTGACCACTGAGGATTTGAGCCTTTCCGCGGTGGCAGAGGTCCTAAGCTGCTTCCAGCCACTGCAAGGCTTAGAGAGGCGCCAGTTCCCGAGTGAAGATAAGAAGGATTGAAGGAACCAACATGACGGGCATCCAGGTTTGGGTCTTCATTGACTGTCTTGGGCTATCGGATGGAGTCCAGTTTCGGTCTTGGCGTTCCCTCAATTGAAATTTTCTGTTCCTACTATAGGCGGGTCTCTATTTTTTCTCGGTGCGCCGCCTTAATCTCGCCCAACAGCAAGGGACGAGGGAGACAGTTGCTCTTTGGTCCTGTTTTGGGCAGTTGCTCTTTGGTGTTCTGATCTTTTCTTGAGCTTTTGGGTTCTCTCCTTTCAGCCAATGCAGGCAAAGCTTCCTCTCTGCCCCAAAGCTGCCACGGCTCTTGCGGGCGGTGCCGCCTGCCTCGGCGCTGTGCAAGACCTTTGCTGCTGCAAAGGCGCCAATATGACCGACGTGGCTGAAGGTGATTCTGATGGAGTTGGAAACGCCGGCATCGCTGAAGTCCACATTGAAATTCATGTTTCCCTGCTGGAAGGTATATAGTATGGAAAATCAGGTTAGCGCCATAAAGTCAAGGGGCTGACAGCAAACACCCCGTTTGAAGCAAAAGAAATCATTAAAGCATAGCCTTCCTCACAACTCCCACTGCATAAAGCTCATGTCCCTGGTTTGATGAGAACAGGGCTGGAGGGCAGGGCAACCAAGAAGGCCCATACCCTGACACCAAGATCACCAAGAATCATTGATTTCAACCTTCCCTCATGTTAGTTCTGCCGCTTGGAAGGTGCACGGCTATCGAGTCGCTTTCAGTGGTCCCTGCAGCATCTTGGCGGCTCAGTAGGATCATTTTTGGGCTGGGCAGCACAGATGTGGTGGTAACCGACCTGCGAGCAGTTCATGAGTATTTTTTGGGACGCCTTGGTATTCTTGGTCACCGCATCACGCTGCATACAACGTGACGAAGGGCAGTGTCGCTCATTTTGTTTCGCCCATTGCTCATGCAAGAGATGTGAGCATCGAAGATATCCAAAGGGTGGTTTAAGAGTTCTGCAGGACGGAGGGTGTTGGACATGTCGAGCGGTTTGACTGAACTTCCTGTAGCATTTCCTCGATCATGCTTCGTTTGAAGCCGCAGGTGTCCCATCTAGGATTTGTTCGCAACACTTTTCACTAAAGGCAAAACAGTGTTTTTCGCAGGTGGGACACAGGTGGAACGCCATTTTCCCATCTAAAGGCATTCTGTTAGCAGATGTCGTGCTCCACCTTTGACCCACCAGATGTCGTGCCTTGGCGGTCCCACCGCAGCGGACCCGAGGGTGCGAAGAATTCGTGTGCAGCTACTTCGATGCCATGAGACTCAGCTTGGTTGGTCCAAGTTTCATTCACCTTGGGGCCCTTGGGGGTGTCTGTTGTTGTTGGTGTCTGTTGACGTGTTTTCAGCGTTCCGCATCAGATCCAACCGCACTGGCAGACGACCACACTTTTTTTCAGTTTCGACGTCGTCGATATATGATTGTCATTTACTTTGCATTATCTGTGTAATTTACTTTCCGATTTTGTTGCTGCGACGATTTTTTGTTCAGCATATTTAAGTACCTTTCATCCTTTTCATCCTTCCCCAACACTTTCCCTCCTGCATCTCGCCAATATCTGGCATCGCCCGCAGCGGCGCCCGCGGCAAAAAGGTGCGAGGACCTGCAGCTGAAGTCCTGCGACTTTGAGAAGCTTTATCTCCTCCATGAGGCGCCGGAGTTTCTCTCGCCCTGTTCCACTCCCCTTCGCCTTGGTATCGCCGCTGCCGGTGCCCAGCAGAGGGGTGAAAGAGCAACAGACCGGACATCGTTGAAGTCCTTTTTCAGGGGGTAGTGATGGATGTTCGCAGTGGTGAGATTGACTCATTTGTGGTGATCAATTTGCCGTGTTCATTTGGTGTTGAACTTAGACTCAGACTTGTTGATTGATAAAACATGATAAAACCCTACAAAACCCTCCAGGATTGGAGATGTATATAAAGCTTTTCTGGAAGGGTGGTTTCATTGATCAACAGTCTAGTCTAGCTTCGTCTTCCAGTGGGACATTTGATGACCGTCGATTCATCAGTTTTTGCACTTTGGTCCAGCCAGCGTACACACATCGTAAGAAAGCACGCACCGTCTCGCTATACAAGAGGGGTAATCCGGTCCACCTATTAATAAACACGGGCCCCCCCTATTTAAAAAAACTCGATCGCATTTTTTCTAATAGGGGGTCCCTGAAATCGGGGGGGCTCCAAAATAGGGTCACCTGGAAAGAGTTTCAAAATCAAAAAGTAATCCAGAAAACAACAAAAAATGTATATATAATTATCCTTTATTAAACTCGTATCAAAAATGCAAAAAACCTCCAGATGGAAGGGTCTTCCTTTCCCCCTACAAAAACCTTCATTAGAATAGTTATTCTTCAGTAGACTAGCAGCTAAAAGCTTTCGAAAGGTGATGTCGCTCTGCCATGCGGTGTTGCATGACCTCGGTGGCAAGTGCGTTTGCGTGAGTCCGTGCCATTGGGGGAAGGAAAGCCTGCTGGTGTAAGCGAACCTAATTTTAAAAACAAAATATCACAAAAATCGACCATGTTGGTAGTTTAGTAGCGGTTTGGAAGGGCGGTAATTTAAAACCAAATATAAACCGAATTTAGGGGTTAGGACGTGGTGTTGTTGATTGGGGAGTGTTTACTAAAAGGTGCCCGGGATTACTTTATTAGGTCTAGTCTTGTTCAGTCACTTTCAGCAGAGCTTGCGTGTCACGGAGGCGCTGCCTTCAGTTTACAGCTTGCATACTGCAACTTGCCTGAATCTTTGGACGACTTATCAAGTGCGAGGCTACAGGTTACAGGACTCACCCCTCAGCATCACTGCTCAATATTCCTTGAATTCGGCTTGCGCAGGATCGGTGGGAATCCAACCAAGAAAACTTGTCCATTTGGCCCAGACTGAATGAGTTCCATACTGCCTGGCGTCACGAATCGTATCGCCCAGGACTCTCGCTTGGTTCTGGGCAGCACCTTTGTGCGCATCCAGGAGTACTACGAAAGCCCAGATGCGCAAATCAGACATCATGCCTTCGAGTTGGATCAGTGACTTGAATTGACTAAGGTGGGACCCAAGCTCAGCTAAGTGTTTTGACGGAATTCATCACTGAAAGATATCCCGCTATCTCTACAGAATGATGGCCTTGAGGCCCTAAATCAGCAGGTCATTTTATAGAGAACACCCTATTGCGCTCACACCCCGACATTTTGTAGAGACCTGGCCCAGCATTTTGTAGAGAAATGCAGTTTTTCCCGAATGCGTAGCGAAGGGTTCTCGTTTAACTCTGGGGGTCTGGAGGTAGAGTCTTGTTCGCGACCCGTGGTTTGTATGTTCGCCTAGCGTCAGGAGAGTCGTGATTTTGGGGTGTTGGATGTGGCCGTGCCATTGGGATTTGCGTTTCCGGGTGTGGCATCGAAGCTCTGTTTTCGTGACAAGTCTCAGGTGAAATGGCGATTTTGGTGGATGGGAGTGTGCTCAGCACGGGTCGAAATCATTCCAAACGTGTGGTGTGGTGCACGTTTTGTTGAAGCTCACATGAGATGATATTGTCACTTTTCGTGGCAGGCGCAGTACTTTGTGCGGATTTTGAGGTGTCAGCGTGGAAGTGCGATTTTCGTGGCAGGCGCAGGAAATCGTGAGGTTGCGAGGTGTGACGGAGGTGACATTTCGTGGCAGGCGCAGTACTTTGTGCGCGTTAGACGTGTGGATGCGGAAAGATTCGTGGCAGGCGCAGGGAATCGTGAGGTCGTGAGTTGTGGTAGAGGTGAATGTCGCTGTCACATTGGGATTGGCGTGTGAGCGGGTATTGTTTGGAGGGGCTGGACTCGCGAAACTGCTTGGCAGGGCTGCGTGATGTGTGTGCTCCGATGGGTGTTTCCGCTTGACTTTTGGAGAAAGTCTCGTACGAAATGCTCGTTTTGCAGACTTTGACATGTGAGTTTTGAAGGAAGTCTCGCACGAAACGCTCGTTTTGGACTTGACACGTGACTTTTGGAGGAAGTCTCGTACGAAACCCTCGTTTTGGAGACTTGACGTGTGACTTTTGAGGAAGTCTCGTACGAAGCGCTCGTTTTGGAGACTTGACGCGTGACATTTGGAGGACGTCTCGTACGAAACGCTCGCAGGACTGCTCCTACAAGAGTGTCCCACAAGAGTGTCCCACAATATTATACTACAAGAGTGTCCCTAGAAGAGTGTCCCACAAGAGTGTCCTATAAGAGTGTCCCACAAGAGTGTCCTACAAGAGTGTCCTGCAAGAGTGTCCCACAAGAGTGTCCCACAAGAGTGTCCCACAAGAGTGTCCTACAAGAGTGTCCTACAAGAGTGTCCCACAAGAGTGTCCTATAGTGTCCCACAAGAGTGTCCTACAAGAGTGTCCCACAAGACTTTTTCTACAAGAGTGTCACACCAGAGTGTCCCCACAAGAGTGTCCCACAAGAGTGTCCTACAAGAGTGTCCTACAAGAGTGTCCCACAAGAGTGTCCCACAAGAGTGCCCCACAAGAGTGTCCTGCAAGAGTGTCTCACAAGAGTGTCCCGCAAGAATGTCCGACAAGAGTGTCCCATAAGAGTGACCCACAAGAGTGCCTATAAGAGTGTCCCACAAGAATGTCCGACAAGAGTGTCCCATAAGAGTGACCCACAAGAGTGTCCTGTGTTTCACAAGAGTGTCCCTTAAGAGTGCCCTACAAGAGTATCCCACAAGAGTTTCCTACAAGATGTCCCACAAGAGTGTCCTACAAGAGTGTCCCACAAAGTGTCCCACAAGAGTTTCCCACAAGAGTGTTCCTACAAGAGTGTCCACAAGATTTTCCTACAAGAGTGTCCCACAAGAGTGCCCCACAAGAGTGTCCCACAAGAGTGTCCTACAAGAGTGTCCCACAAGAGTGTCCCACAAGATTGTCCCACAAACGTATCCTACAAGAGTGTCCTATGAGAGTGTCCCACAAGAGTGACCCACAAGAGTGTCCCATAAGAGTGTCCTACAAGAGTGTCCAACAAGAGTTTCCTACAAGAGTGTCACACAAGAGTGTCCCACAAGAGTGTCCTACAAGAGTGTCCCACAAGAGTGTCCCACAAGAATGTCCTACAAGAGTGCTACAAGAGTGTTCCACAAGGAGTGTCCTACAAGAGTGTCCCACAAGAGTGACCCACAAGAGTGTCCTACAAGAGTGTCCCACGAGAGTGTCCTACAAGAGTGTCCCACAGGAGTGTCCCACAAGAGTGTCCTACAAGAGTGTCCCACAGGAGTGTCCCACAAGAGTGTGCTGTAAGAGTGTTCCACAAGAGTGTCCTACAAGAGTGTCATTTGGACATATGTATAGCTTTTCGAACGTGTTTGCATTCGGGTTAGTGGACTCCATCTTGTTTGAGTTTTTCGACCCCCCACCCCTATTTTGTAGAAAATGTATTTTCTGGCATTCGGGGGGTCATTTGTAGAGGGGGTCATTTTGTAGAGAGTAGACGCGTGTGTTTTCTACAAAATGAGCGACTCCGCCCCTCCCCCTTTATTCCAAGGGGGATTGAAAGATATGAATATATATATATATGAATACAGTGTACGTAATGTAATGCAATGTATGAGAAATTTGTGAGTTATGTTTTGACATGGTGTTCTCCTTCCCAAGTTGAACGGTTCGTCATGGATCACAATGTTAAGTCTGTTTCGTTTGTGCTTGGAGTTGTGAGCCCAAGGTACAAGGATTGGTACCGGAAGCGGCACGGGAAAGGCTTCGACTACTATTTGGAGTGGCCAGGTTTCAACGTTCCCTCCTGGGTCTTGAATGACCTTCGTGATGGAAAGGCCGGGTCCTGCAGACCGCTTCGGACCGGTCCTGGTTGCCGGGTCCTTGTTCATGGCTGAAGTCCGTTGGGTGCCCGGGAGGGGGTGTCAGGGAAATTGCGTGATAGGTGGTGTAGGGAACGTTCAGCAGTGCGGCCCGAAACAAGAGTTCGGACCTTCAAGTTGAATAAGCGATTGGGAGACCAAGCATTTTTTCGCAAATTTCATCCAAAAATAGGTTTTTTGCATGGTTTTGCCACTTGTTTGAGCTCAGAGGTTTGACGGACTCAGAAGATATATCATGATCTCACATGTGTTTCATTTGGATCCTCAGTGGAGGTCGGCTGCAAGCTGCGGCCCCAGGAGGAAGCACTCCTGAAGGTTTGGCCATCCTGTGGTCAGTACCTCATCGGCAGCTGTGAGGAGGAGAGGGGGGGCCACGGGGGGTCCAAGAACATATATATATATATAAGAAGACTTACAACATCTTACAACTGTATTATAACTGGGTTCGGGTCGAGTGGCCGTAGTAAGTTTAAGGCCTTACAGTGGTTTCGGAGTAGCAAAAGGGGTTGACATTGAACCCTATATAAAAGGGAGACATCTTTGGGTTTGTCCCATCTAATTGTACTCTGAAACCACCAGAGTGTTTTGCTGGTGGGTTTCAGGGCAGCCGGCTGGTGAGCCAGACCCGGACAAGATAGAATCCGTTTGGTTTTGGCTTAACCTCTAAGCATTTGGTTGATTGGAGCATGCAGCATGCCCATTTTGTGTGTCTCCTTGAGCACCATGGAAGCAAAGAGGCCCGCGACGATGATGTTCGTTTGATGTTTGCGTGTTCCATCATTATTTCACCGCCTTAAGGCTCGTCCGGATGTTGCTTTCCCCCTTGTTTTGAAGGCCAGGAATCACTAGAGTTGTCAAAACAAGTCTGAAGATATGTCATCAGGGGAGGCAGCTCGATCAGGAATCACTAGTTGTACCTTCACAGTTTCAAGGAATCACTAGTGAGTTGTCAGTGGAAGCAACTCAAATTTTTCTGTCCAGACTCAATTCCAGTTCCCTCAACGGTGAGGAAGTGGCTCGACGTCAAACATGCGGAGTGGTAAACTCATCGGTTTTCATGACGTATTGCGATCCGCTCGATGATATGCCTTTGTAAGACGTTGTAAGTCTTTAAGTTTGCCAGTGTGTTCTCTCTCATTTTCGGTCCCACCTCGAAAAAATACACACTTTTTGTCTGAGTCATTTTCTGAGTGCTGTTTCAAAATTGAGGGAACGGGCTCGGGCTTTGCTTTTCTTGGGGCAGCAGGACATGGAGACTCTTCAACATGAAATGGCACATGGGCTCTATGCCACCAATGAAGCCTACCGCGAGGCTGTGACTCAAAGTTCCTCGTCTCGCAGAGGTGTTTCTTTCTTTGGGGCTGGTGAGATTAGGATGAATGATGAACGTGTCCTAAGCTATTGAGTGGAGGAGGGTAAGGACAAAATTGTGAGTCTGGCAACGAGGTTTCTCCTAACTTGTGGCTTCAGGCCAACCCAAAAAGAGTTGATGTAAGTAAGCACTATGCCGAGATGGTCTACGGCAGTCTGTGGCCATCTATGGCCTATACATATCGGGAAAACATTTCCTCGTCTACCTAGACTACCTGAGGGGAGTCATCAGTCATGACCAGTCATCAGTCAAATAAGTGGGACACCTTCTTCTAGCTTCAGAACGTTGGTGAATGAACATCGTTTTTGTTTTGAGGGGGGGTCCCTCCCCAAAAGTGGCCACGGCAGCCACGGCTCCACCGAAACCCACGGCGGCTCGACCGGTGGCCCAAGGTTTGGAAGACCTCCCGCAAGGCCGGTGGCAAGTGAGCCGGCAGCGGCTGCTGGAGCTAGGTGCCTCCGAAAGACTTTCGGTGTTGTTCCTGGTGTTACCCGCTGTTTCTTTGGATTGGTTGCTTGACGAGTGACTACTCATTGGGTTTCAGAATGTGTTGTTGGCTTTTCTTAGTCTTAGTCTCTTGAATTGCGAACTTTGCATATGGCGGACAGTTCTTAATGAACCCATTCCCAAAAGTGGATTTTTGACACCCCCACCTTGTTCCAGTGGCAGAGCTGACAAACCAGTATGGCAGGTGTCCCAGTTATGTTCATCAAAAGGAGGCCGCTTGTCTCCGCTCCAGGCTACGCAGATGACCCGGCGATTCTGAATGATGAGATCCAAGCTTACATGGTCGAGGGAAAGTGCCGCTGGGTCGATGAATGCGGATCTTCGCTGCTGGAGACTGCTGGGCCAACTGGGTATCGGTCGGTGCCTACTAGTTGTCACATTGCGTGCAAGGAGTCAGGGCCCCTCCTTGGTCCAACTCTAGATTGATCGGGGGGGTCCTTCAGGGCACGGAGGTTTCCTATGAAGCACTGAGGCTTCTACGAGGAGGGCGAGCTTGATTGCCCTATCACAGGCCACCTGACTGCACGTCAAAGGGCAGACCCTTTTCATGTTTTTCTCATCAACGGGTCTTAAGCGCATAGCCGTTTTGGCAAGTAGCAGAGGCCGGTCCAGACCGGCCTGCTCGTCCCCCAGGAGAGGTGCAGGCCGCGATCCGGCGGAGCTTTGAAGATGCCAGGAAAAAAGGATGCCACCCTCGTCGTGACTAAATGTGACTGATAAACTTCAAAGACCTGAAAAGCGTCTTGTTACTACAGGTGAAACGATTCCCAAGGAAGCCTCTAGTCGCTAGAAAGCTTTAAAATTAGTTATGGATTGGTTTGCTCAGTTTGCTCATTGCCTCCGCTTGTGGACACATGTAGACGGGGCATTTCTTCACCATTGATTTGTTGTGGAAAGCAGGGCCACCAGTGTGAGAAGAGTTGGCACAGAGCATGTTGACATGAGCTCCCACTTTCATGAACGCACTTATGTTTGGCTCTCAGCCCCGTGCTGTCGCACCGGGAAGCTGCAGGCCAAGAGGGAGAGCCACAAAGCAAAGACATTCAGTGCGCCATTGTCCTTCACTCCTTTGTCGGGCAGTCCTTGACTCCTCGCAACCGACAAGACAAAGGAACATCACCGGGACTTCCCATTGCCTGGTGAGACGCCCGAAGACATCTCCCTCATGGTTGAGGTGTCCACCGCTGTAGAATTCGTAGCTGAAGTAGTCAGTAGCCCCCCATGGCTGGTGGGAGACTCAGCCAAGTCAAGCGGCCGGAGTGCACATTGAAAGGGTCAGCCTTGTCCACATCGGCTCAAATCAAAAGGATATTTGTGATTCGGAAAGGCAATGGCTACAAGGAATATCAAGGAATGCTGTTAGCTTGGATGCATGCCGATGTACCCAGCTAGTTGTTTGGATAATTTGTAATGCTAAGCAATGCTCAGCCCTTGATAACTCATCAATCAATGAATTTCCAGCGGAGTGCACTGCCCAACAACTCACGTTGACCCAGCAGAGCTGCTGGTGTGCAGCGGGAGCCAGGTCATTCCGGGTCCATGTTGTGTTTCCTGTCTCTCCGGGAAGCCAGTAGCTGTGGCTCAAGCGCATCTCGGACAAAGATTCCAATGGCTCAGGAGGGAGCGATTCGATTGGAGATACATTCATTCAACGTTTTATTGAGCGAACTTGGGAACATTCAAGTCATTCAAGACGTGATAGAACTTCGCACCAAATGCAGAAGCAGGGACGAGGGACTCGATCAGAGCAGCTTTTTGTCGATGAGCTACAAAGCTCATTGTTTGAATTGAGATATGATTATGATAGTGTAGACTCTTTCTTGATCTATACAACAACCCCTTTTGGATTGTAAAACCGTTTCAGGCTTACTATAAAGGGTTGAAGTGTAAGGGGTTGAACTAACTATAATCATAAGTCTACAAGACGAAACGGATCCTACTTGAGCACCGCAAGAAACCTCCCAAGATGAACCAAGTAAAGGCCTGGTCATATGGAACTTGGGCGTAAGCAAAAATACCCGAAAAGCATAAGGTTGCGTAAGGGAGTTGTGAGACATGCATGTTGTGTAAGCTTGCCATATGGTTGCAGTTTCACCTGCAAAGGGGGCCTTCGCGTAAGCTTTTTTTTGGGAGTATGGTTGTGTGAAAATGCAGATCGATGCATAAGATTTGCGTAGGGTCTTCTCCAACATCCGTGGTGCGTAAGCTCACATTGTGGTCGCATAAAGCGTAAGCAGGAGCGTACGAAAGTTATATATATATATATACGACATAGGGGTTTAATCATACGTTTTTTGCACAGCTCGCTCGGAAGATGTTGAAAGGTCCTCGGTCCTTGGAAGATGTGCTCCATCTCATGTGGGGCGCACTCGTCCCTGAAGGACGGCTACATGAGAATAGAGGAGGCCTCTTCGGGCGAATTCGCCAGCAGTCTCGCTGGGGTGCCGTTCCGCACCGACTTCCGCACCGATCTTCCTTCGACTTGGATCTCGAATGCGGTGACCCTTCCGGTTCGTGTCGCCACCAAACCTTTGATGTTTTTGACAGCTTTAAAGGCTTTAAGTTACTACGTTGTATAAGTAAAAAACATCAATTTTTGCATCGTGCCGCGCACGGTTTGCTCATTTGGGGGATTGGCCAGTTTGGGTGAAGCAGGTTATTTTTTGGCAGTGCTCCACCGAACCACTAGACTCAGACAATCTTCCGATGGAGATACAGAGATGGATGGCCGTTGATTCTCCCAAGGACTGTTTGATGATGTTCGATGTGATGCCAGTGGGCGCTGGACAAACTTTCAATCGTTTGGAATCCGAGTTTGTTTTATAACGTTTCACCCTCAGACACTTGGATATGACATCTCATGCACAGGCGCATGCAATTGCCACATCAGATTATATAACTATACATCATCCTATTTGGTCTAACTTTTCTTTGCAAAACGAACTGCCTTCAAACACCGCTTGGGTATTTTTGCTCCTGATGCTTGCATGCGCAACATTCGGGGTGCCACCATGTCCCCTGTCTCCCCTGCCTCCTGTGGCCCTCGAGCGAATGTTTTCATACTTCTTCCCCCCGGAACTTCCAAAGTCTTGGGGACCCCTCACGAAGGGAGTCTTCGGCCGGCTCCCTTCCCAGCATTCATCGGGAGACACCCAGATTCTCAGATTGTTCACGGGGTGTTCTCCAAGATATACCCTAGGCTTCCACCCACTATTAAAATACAGTAATAGGCTTTACCGAGCCAGCTAAGGATTTCACACAACAAAACCAGTTGAACCATTTTTTAATTAATGGTCTTGGAAGGCTAGGGTATATTTAGACCCACCTTGTAGACCTCATGGGAGGGGTGTCGGATCATTGGCGACTGCCCAGGAACGGCAACACCAACCTGTTGATGGAACGGCAACCCGTTGACAATGAAACATCACGAAAGTCAAACATCGCATACTCAAAAGTGGGTTTGTAACCACCAACTGAGTGCCATGGCTCCTTTCCTCAAACTCCTCAATCTCGTCCGTCCGCCAGGGGGGCAACCCTGCAGCGCCGGCGAGTGGATCGAAGGCGGGGGTGCGGCATCGTTTCCAAACACAGACTAACCCACCAAACCTGTGGTTTGCAAAGGTTCGCAGAAGGGCATGGTCAGTATATATGTCAGTATGGTTCCTCAAAATTGTCATTTGCAACGTCCACATGAAGTCGGGAGGAGAGCAAGGATGAGCAATGGACCTTGAGCTAGAGAGCTTCCGTGCGTGATTGTGTGCGTGGGAACCGGAAGATGCACCGGCTGTCACGGGCTTGCCGTTTCTGTTTCTCTTTCCAGGGGCGCAAAGCGCACGAACATGCAAAGTACCACTGCAATCGCACCATGATCAACTTCGGACTCAGCAAGCAGGCGGGCTTTGGTGTTTTGCGCGTCCTGATTTGGCCCCAGGGCATGCCAAGAGCTCCTAACCAAGGATTCCAACAACGGGGATTCACATGGTCGTTTGGACGCCGCTTTTCCTCATGCCAAGATCCCTACTTTAGATGTGCTGATGGCATTGCTGTTGTCCAGTGGCCTCAATGAACGACGCCTCGTGCTCTGAGCACCGTTTTGAGGGACATCATTGGCACAGCCATGCCACGCCAGAAAAGGCCTTAGTGCACATTTCATTGAATCAATATTCACTTCAAGCGTTTCTTGATGTTTGATTGCTGAAGGCTGCAAACTCATGGCCCAAATGTCAGAAATGCATATGGCTTTGCCCCTTGGGCAGCTTAAACATATGGAAGGATCCTTCCAACAGACATGTCTCAGGACGTGCTGCCCATTTAAATCAGTGCGTTTTGCCCGTCCTTTTTCCGCCGGAAAGTGCCAGGTGCCCAATAAAGATAGCACCGCACGCGACCACTTGGCCAATGAGAGGACTTTCTTGGCTTGGCTCCGTACCGGTCTTGCCCTCTCAGGCCAGTCACTGGGCGAGCAGAACGGTGCTTTGGGAAGACTATGGGATGGCAACGGTTCAGCCAAGTACAAACAATGGATGGCAACGGTTTGTGGTCAGCCCGGGCAGCATGCGTGTGGCTATATTAGTTTTCATTTTTTCCCTCTCTATCTATCTATATTCCTATTTGTCTATTTACCTATTATCTTTCCATCTACCTACCTTCCATCTACCTACCTATCTACCTATATATCTATATTTATTTATGTAGCTATCTAGTACAACACCTAGGACCTTTGCAATCTACAAATTTGCCGTTGTTTGCCATGATCTCGGTTGTTTTTGAAGGCGCTGGCTTTGGAGTGATCAAGTTTCTACCTGGTGTTGGCTTCCCAGAGCAGTGTGCGGTTTCTAGAAGCCAAGCAGCCATTGGCAGGAGCAATCCGCACGAGTTTTAGCCTTATTAGATCATTGATTCCGGATGCTCCTCAACCGCCTCGCAGACTAGATTATTTTCAGTACCCTGCAAATAAGTTTGACTGTAGATGCTGTAGAGGTAGGGGAAGATGGACAACTGTGAACACTGCTGCAGTAGTGCATCCCCCCTGAGGTCAGCACAAACCTCATCCTAGGGTTCTTTTTGATCGGCGTGGGCATTTGCGTCTTAGCCTTCGGAGCCCTAAGGCCCGTTCGGAGTTGGGACCTAACTGTTTTTTTCCCGTCAAAAAGTCCCAACAAGGCCCGTTAAGGTCAACGCTGTGCTGACCCGGTGAGACACAAAGATCGCTCAGGCCCAACCAGCTGTGACAGCAGCTCAGGAGCTCATCAATGTTTGATTAGACTCTTGATGAATAAAACCCTCCCCCATGTTGGATGCACGAACTTGCGGACCGTCAACGAGAACATCTCTTAGAATCAATCAACCATTTGCCTTAGTGGGTGCCAGCCTCCCATGCCTGCCAGGTACTTCGATGTGATGGAAGCCTTGGAGAATGGCGTGTTCGCCATCGACACAGGCGTGTTAGCGTCAAGAAGTCCACCTGGGATGACCAACCCATTTGTGGCACTGATGACCAGGTCCTGATTTGCAACCATATCATGAAGGTAGCCTAGTAAGGGCTACCTTGAGGTTGCTTTGCGAAGCACAGGGCTAGCTTGAACAGCCTGCTCGGGACCACATATTGATGTATTCCTGGTGAAGTTCCTGGTGACTCTCTACCTTTCGGTGTTTGTCATGACCTACAAAGGCAAAGCATCCTAAACTCCCAGGTGTTGGCGATTTGGACTTTGGAGGCACACCAATTGGATTCCATGTGAATGCCATCAAGCCTCTCTGGCACAGGACTCAAGAACGGAGTGGTCTCTAGGACTAGGTCTCTATGGATGTTTCACTACAGTATTTCTTCCCTTCCACCCTGTGTGCCCCATCCTGCACCAAACGGGCCACGCGGCCATCTTCGGCACCGTTGTCCCCACCACATCCACCACGGCTCAGGGGGTGTGCTACTCGTCTGTGGCGCTACAGCAGCTCTGGTTCTGATTGCACCTTGCCCTCACCGGCGCATGCAGCTAGAGAAGATCAATGAAGCACGATGAAGCTAGGTCTCTACCGACGTCGTCAGACGGCTTTACTTCCTCTAGACGTCTAGAGGGCGGCTGAGCCTGGCGGATCCCATGGGGTCATGTGGGGTCAAAGTGCACCAAGGAAGGATTGACTGCATTCGTGCTGTGCTGTGACCGAGGCTTTGGTTCTCGGCATTCTTCACATCAGGCGGCACGAGAATGACATGCCATCCTGACGGAACACACTCCGACATGGTCTTTTCGATCCATTGTCCTATGCATTTCCTGCCGACGTAGGCGTTGCCTCCAGTGCGAATCAGACACTGGGAAGGGATTTTGCTGAAGGAACGGCCAACTTCCGTGGTGCACCGATTGGGAACTCCAAGCCGACCAGCTGTGGGTGTGACACGTTTCATAATCAATGATTTGGGAAACGATTGCGCCAACGGAAGAGCCGAGAGACGTTCGATCCAGACGGATGGGTTCATGAATTGAGCATTCTCGGAGAAGGAATCCGTTGTTTTAGGAAGCCCAGCAGGCAAAAAGCGTTGCATCGCTGCATCTTTTGGCCAATTTGTCGATCCTGAGCTCATTAAAAAACAACAACTAAAGCAACCCGGTTTTATGAGCTTTTCCACCGGCTTTTTCTCATGTCGGTCTTGGGTCTTTCAGGTGTGCGGGTTCTGAATTTGGTCCAAGGGCGGCATGTTGGGGGCATCTCTTATATATTGGCCGCAGCTGATTTGGCTGGGCTAACTAGTCATGTCTTCAGCCACGAAGATTGCAGCGCCTTTATCCAACTTTCCTATGTTGAGGCTGCGAGTAATTATCAGTGATTAACAGTGGCAGCAACCTATGATGTTTGATCATGCATTTCAACAATACTATCCGGAAAAAGCCAGCTCCAATTCATGACAAGTATCCTAGTCATTTTGACAGACTGAGGACACAGAATGTGAAGTATACTGCCCTAGCCCACCCATGCCGATACTACTGCTTTGTAGCCTCCCCACAGAGGATGCGGTTCCATGCAAATTCCTACCCCATAGACCCCTATACCACCCTATACCATCCTATACAACATCAGGCAGACCAGACCAGGGGCTCCTAGATCGTAACAAGGCATGCGCTCTCGTGAATCTACATGCCTTGGCGACATGCATTCACGCCATGGTGAAACATTGGAGATGCAGGTGGGCCAGGACTAGCTGGATGTATTTGAGAACAGCGTGGAGATGCGTGGAGGTGGAGGTACTGTTGATAGATGAAGCCCAGCACCACCTCACCACTACTGACCCCATAAGTGTCGTGTAGCAACCCCTGCACCCCTCATTCAATGTTGGCGCGCAACTGAGGAGGTGGTGCAGGATTTCGGAAGTTCAACATGTGTTTTTTGTTAATGTGTTTGTCTTTCTCACTGTGGTGTTCCCAATGTCGTTAAGGGGAGGGGGGAGAATGAGGCAGCAAGGAAAGTGTGCGCAAAGCGGTGCAGGATTTGTCCATCAACCCCTTTTGTGAGATTTCGACGCAAATCCATCAAGAGGACTGCGGTGTAGAATTGATGTAGATAAAGAGGGATCATGGTGATGGTGATGACGAGGATGGCGGAAGAATAGGGTACCAACTTCCACTTGGAACTCACCTGTGGTGACCATGATTTGGATTTTGTGATTTAGGCGCCCTATATGGCTGCTGGCAGCCTTGCTGAGCTTGAGAGGACGCTGAATGAAGCAGGTTGCTCCAGTCTACAGTTGGCATCTCCAGATTCACATGGGCATCAGAGAGGAATATCTCAAAGCAGATTCCCCAAATACTTTCAAATACCATTAATCATTATTGTGTTTGTCACTCTTTGTTCCCAGCTTTTAGAATAGCGTACCGGTTCCGCCGGTTCCGCCGGAACCCTGCAGATCACGTGTAAAATTGCAGGAGCGCTTCCTCCGGCACCGCCCCTTTTCGCATTCTCTCCTGGAATGAACAAGTTGAATGACTTAGCTGCAGCTTGCCTGAGGCTGAGGCGTTTCTCTATTGGGAGCAATTATTAGTAGCTTCTTGTAATGCCAGGAGCTACGTTCGTAGTTTCTTGCTACCAAAGGTCAACAGTTGAAGGCACGTGGGTCGCCTTCTGGGTCGCCAGACCGGAGGTTTACTGTACCTGGGGCACGGCCCAGGTGCTCCGATCGACGTCTCGTCCGGCTAGATCAGCGCCAGACTGTGTGGAACGTGTTCCGAACGAAGAATGCGAGCAGTGGCCATTTGGCCAGCCATACTTACTCGACTCAGGAGAAAGGAGATGTGGATGGGGCCTTGCATCAGTTGCGAAGGGTACTGGCAGAGCTGCCAAGCGGACACAGGCGACGCCGTGCCATGTCATGTGTTTGTTCAAGGAACCCCCCAGGTGCACTTGAAACAGTGACCATAGGATACGATTCTACAAGGCAAACAGCCTGTTTGCTACTGTGTCACTTGTATCACTTCAACGAGTAGCAGAGTAGCAATGGATCGTAGTACCATTAGATCCTCAGGACTCTTGTGGATCTCAATTGGCGCGCAAACTCTCCATCACCAGCAGTCGAAAACCATCATGGCCCCAAATACATGATCTAGCAAATGCATCCAAATCCCACCCGAAACGTCGCTGGGAGATTTCATGAACATCGCTGGGCAGCAAATGATTCTTGCACTCGGCGTGTCCGAACAACGTATGTCCAGCTCTTGCAATGCTTTGCCATACCCCAAGGCCAACAGTCCAAATGCGGACTGCCTTCAACACTGGAATCAAAGCCTGCGCCAATGCTGGGAATTTGAAACAGGCCAGCCTTTGATCACTGTGTTGTTCCAAAGCGATTGCCTTTTGGCATCCCAATGTTCACCTATGGTCTCCCAGTTGAGGTTTGGAGGACGCACCTCTTGATGAAGACTGACGTTTGGTCCGAAACCCATCATCCACCAGTGGCGTGTGCGAACAATAAGTCTACCAAGCCACGGCCACCAAACATGAACGATGCTTCGTGCGTATTTGCCAGGGCAGGACAGATTTGCAGGTCTTCACACCGGCTGCAACGGAAGAAGTAGCTCCTTCAACGGAGCATCGGAACTTCCACGAATAGCATCTCCTCACCTTAAAAGCGCTCGGGAAGAAAGAACGGCCCGGCAGGCGGAGCGGCTCTTTGCGGAGATGCTCCAGCACCGGGTGGCGCCGAATTTGAAGGGCTTGGGCCGCTAGGAATGTGGATGGTGTGGGGTGGGTGGGTGTCAGGTGGGGAGAGGAACCATGAGGAACCAGGAACTGTTGACCAAAGACGTTGAGCCTTGTTTATGCCAATGGCGTTGTTTGCGACCCCAGAGGAAGTTGCTTTTTTTTGTTGGTCTCCGTCTTGCCGCTTGCCGTCTTGGATTACATTAGCATCATTAGCAGGTATGCATGTGGGTTGATGTTGATGTTTGATATGTTCCGTTGGAGGGAAGGGGGGTAGGGGGGCTAATGATGTTGATTTAATTTGGATATATTTGGATGTGCTTTGAAGATGATGTCGCATGTACACACATATTTATGGGAGCCGCCCACTGCATGTATGTCAGACGTGACGTGACTTTAAAAAAGAAAGCATAGCAAACCAAAGACTGCTACGAAATAAGAGTCCCACCTGAAACCATAAATTGAACACAGAAACTGACTGGTGAGGGTGAAAAAGTGACCTGGAGTCTTGTAAAAATACAGGATTTCAAGAACAACGTGTTTTGGCCTCCAAAGATGAAATCGCAAAAGACCATCATTTATTTAACAAAATCCATCCTTGGCAAACTCGCCCAAACCCCCCAGGGTCACTACGTCTCGCCGCAACGCCTTGTTGATGGGATGGGTTGTCGTTGGTGGTCGTCGGTCTCGACCTAGGGAGACGGAAAGCGAACGCTGGAGGGAGACCTCCACGCATTGGGGGGACACCAAACCTGCGCACATGTAGGACCATGTAGGACCGTAGGAGACGTAGGAGTGCTGATTGCTGAGTGCTGATATGTGCTGATGCTGGCTGGAGGGGCTAACCATTAAACTGCTTTCTCGCCTGCATTGGAAAGACAACAGGTTTCGCTTGTTAAGGTGCTCCATAGTGCCCAAACCGATCGCAAGATTGGCAAGTCCTATTCCCATGGTTCTCAGGAAAGATGATGGAAGCTGCAGCTAAAGTGGGCAACCTCTCTGGCGCAGAGCATTGGTTCAGGCCAGACTGTTTACCAATTATTCGACCCTGAAAAGGGCTTGCACAATTTGCCAGAATTTGATCAAATTAATGTACATAGAGGTTTATGGTTTATGGCATTATGGTTTATGGTATAACTGTATAACTGAATGTAGGGCTTGTGCTTGAATGTACTTTCTTGGTTTATGGTTGACTATTGACAGTTGCCAATCGCAGCAGGGTGTCTTTCATGTGATGCGTCCAGGCAGCACGAGCGCTATGGCCTTGCCCACGAGAGTGACGAAATCGACGCTTGGCTTTGAACCGGAGGACTGGCCTGAGTCGTTTGGGCAGCGCCGTGGCAGCGCCGTGAAGACGGCCAGACATCCTGGGTCGTTCCATAGGTCGTTCGCAGTGGCGCCCAAAACCAATGAGTCGCCACCCATGACCGGACCGTCGCGGGTTTGGTCAGTGGGACCGAGGCAGGTTCTGCGACCTTAGGGCCTTAGGGTGGATCCTTAGCAAGATGGACTTCTTCGGTGCTTCCATTTGTCAGGTCATGGGTATTTTGGGGTGGTCGTTGGTGTCATTCTCATCCATGGTGCGGGTGAACTGACCATTGCTAGCTTTGTCATGTTCTGGTTCCGTTTGAATTTGTCAGTGACAAACATCATGGAAGTGCATGACATGTCCAGTGGCAAGATCATTTTCCGCTTCAAACAGGGGATTGTCCACTTCCATGTTTGGAGGGAGGGTAATCCATCTTATTTTAAACTGCCCGTGCTTCGAGGCGAACCATTGGACTTCAAAACATCGGACTTGAACACTTGGCAAGAAGTGTTCATTTGGCACAGCTCGAGGCGCGAGGTCAACTCATCCAAGCGGCAGCCAAGGCAGGCACGTGGATGATGCACAGGGATGTGGTGATGGGGTGGGACCGCGCACGTGAGTCAAGCATTCGCGTATGGAAGTTGCACAAGCTCTGCTGCTAGAAGTTCCTGAGTCATGCGACGATATAGCAAGTGCCGCTCCAGATGGATCAAAAAGCACATACAAATTGATTAAATATTCAAACGTGCGAGATGGTTGCCACTGATGAATTCTCAGCATCGAGAATCGCAGACCCTTGGGTCTCCTTATGGGCCGATCCATCTTCGAGGCACAGGACCTGAAGGCGGCCGAGGAGTGGTTCCAGGCCGCTGATGGCCGGGCAGACACAGAAAGCACGGATGTGACATATGTGGGAAGGGAAGGCGACAGACGAAAAGCAGGCAATGAAACAGCACGAAACAACAATTGCCCTGCTTGTCATGAATTCTGATACCCGATTTGGCTAGAGACTATAGTGTCTTTGGAAGAATGGACAGTTTGGTGAACTGCTGTATATTTATATACCGAGATGTTCTGCGTGGTTGCACAGTAGCCGTTGGTACAAAAGTTAAAGCCTGGTTTTGACACTCCCATGCCGTTCGGAAGGAAAAGTCATCTCCAACAAGGGGCTCCAATAGTTAAAGTTTTGTTGAAGAGTTGGCAGTGCTTAGACGCAAAGCAGTGAAACATGATCCATTCTGCATTGGGAAGGGTGAGCAGTTCTCTATTGAAACCAACGGCAAGAGACCGGTCAGTGCAACGGCAAGAGACCGGTCGGACTTGCAGGAACTGCTTCAGAAAGGTTTGCAGCCCAGTGCCTGGACCCTCGCGGCACTCTTGGAGGCCATCGCCCGAGACCGTCGTCCTGTTTGCCCGGTGTGCAGAAGATGGATGACCAGTCACCATCGCAGAAGATGGGATGCTCGTGTTTGGCCCATTTGGCGAAGCTGACAGCCTTTGTTTGTGGCCCTTCCAAAGTGGCACCTCTAAGTCCTCTAGAAGATAGAAAGGCAAAATCTGGTTGTCCTATCATCCAGAAAAAAGGTTCAAGTCACCAGATTCTGCCTTTAGACGCTGCTCCTTGGTGAGTGCCTGTCTTGATCCAAGAACCAATCCATGTTCACAATACAGGATGCGACAGGATGCGCCGGGAAGGTCATCCATAACTGGCAAATCAAACGGATATATAAATATATAGTATTAAATAGTACGCAAATATTGATATGATATGGTGAACAATGGCGTATTCCAGTGCCTCATGAACGCTCATGAGCACACGGGCTGCGAGAAACTCCCGGCTGAGTGCCTGGGTGGCCAGGCTTGTGCGCGCGTGGGAGATGTGGGCAAGGCGAAGTCTTTGGTTGCCAAGTGCACAGCTTTGGGCTGCCTGGATGCAGTCCTGGATGCATGCCTGTTTGAGAAGTAGCAGGGCCGAGACATGCACAGACATGCACAAATCATTTGTCATGGGATTGCCCAACTGAAATTTAGACGAGAGTCGAGCAACAGTGTGACACATGTCGACGTAGCCGGTGGATAATTCATGCCTTCCACTGTTTGAACAGGCACCCTCCCTCCAACAATCATGAAGGGGGAAATGGCCCTTTGGTACAAGAAAAGGGTACAATGGTGTTTGCATCCAGGGTCATGGTGCTATCCACTTCCAGATCATTGAAGGGAGGGCACTGCATTGACATAGGATGTTTTGAACAAGCTTGACGTTGAAGGCTAAGACTGTGTTTTAGACCTAAGGCATTCGCACTACAGATCTTCACGAGTTCCTTTTGCGGAAGGCGCACGGTGGCTCCACGGTGGCTCTATACTGGTAGATCAACGCGAACGGTCAAGGTTCCTTGTACTTTCGGGCATGGCTTGACAGGTAGGAACTTTGCTACCTGGGCTTGACAGGTCTACGTCAAGAACAATGATCTGGATTCTGCTGAGGAACAGTTTCGTCAGATTTCCGCGCCGGTGCCTGGCTCACAGTTCTGACCATGTGCGGGGTCCGCCAGAGTTTTCCATAAGTAGCATAAGTGCATAAGTGTATCTTGCTAAACAGGCGGGCGAGTGCGCCTGAACTCGAAGTCCGGTGATCACTGGGGTGACCACCAATGATTTCGGTGAGACACGTTGTTTTTGTGACTTTCGAAGCTGGAGAAGGGCAAGACTCAGAGGTTTCAGAGGGAAGTTCCAAGATGCAGTGATAAGATGTGATAAGTGATAAGTGATAAGGGTAATTGTTCAGAGTTACTGTACCATTTTTAACTTTAAAGCACCGATCTATCGCCCAATACCCCTTTGTCTATCGCCCAAGGATCTCAAGGACTACGCCATGGTCATCGACGCCGCCGCACGCTGTGGGAACCTCACCGCTGCAGAGCAGTGGTTCCGAAGGGCTCAGGCGGGCGCCAAAGCCGAAGGTCGCACTGTGGTGGGCGCCTTGGAGGAAGCGATGCTAGATGGGTGGGGCTGCTTCGCTCAATGAGGAAGGTTCGTGTATATTATATATATATATATTATATACATATATGTTTATTATATTAGTGTATCTTTGTTGTATCATACACTGTCGGGGTCTTGGTCCTGTTAGCAAGTTCACATCGTTTTGGGTGCTCTTGAATTTCCATCACATCACACAAGCAGTGGAAAGCCAAAGGTGTTGGATCTCTTCCTTCTATTGTCCTTCTGCCAGTTTGGGATGTATCACATTTGGGATCTTGGCGCCCTGGGGACGCCAAGTGAGACCCCTCAGTTCCGCCGGGGGAAAAGCGGCTTGAGTCGGCTTGAGGAGATGAGCCGATGTTTGTCACCCTGACGCTTGGACTTGCGGTCGTTCTCCGAACAAGGGAAGGGGGTGGCTTAAAGACACTCCCAGGAGTGAGGGTGCTAGAGAGTCTATGGATATCTATGGTCCTTTTGGATCCTTTTGGCAGGATGCTTTGGATGGCACCACCATGTTGAGCCATATCCAGATCCAATATGATCCAAGTAATTACATGAATCCTCACCATGGGGCGTCTTCAGGGATCTTCCTTTGTACATGTTTTATTGTTGGGTCATGGTGGAGGGGAAGCCCCACAATCATACCCCCCTCTGGAACTGAGTTTCCTTGCTCAATAATTGCCTTTAGCCCAGCCCAGCTTACCTGGAATTCGGACATGTTGGGTTATGCTTGTGACGCCCGATCGCCCTGCTTCTTTGATTTTGATCTCTGCGTGAGGATGTTTGCAGCCGCGCGCGCCGCCGAGTTGCAGCGCTGCGAGGAGTGGTTCCAGCAAGCGCAGAAGGCCAGGCTGAGACCCAGCAGTGCCATGTACACCGCGCTGGTGACCGCAGCTGCGGCAGCTTGGTGACCGGCGAATTGTTTGCGTTTTTTCCCCCCACTGATGGTACACTCCTTGTTTTGATTGTTTTGGCCAGTGGCCAAGTGGTCATCCAACAGCGCACCCCTAAGTGGCATGCATATAGGTCACCGTGTTTGGTCTTCCCCTCTTAGCTCTTATGCCATATGCTTCCGAGGTTCACCTCGACGACAAGCTTGGAATCCAGATCGATTTGGATGCATAGAGAACCTTAAACAGTGGTGGCGTAACATGGCTTAACAGAAGTAATTCAATGGTGAGGACGGCCTTAACTTAACCGTCAGGTTCTACCAGTTTCTCTTGAAATTATGTCCTTCAATACCTGATTACCCTCCCACCCCAAAATGCTCATCACGTGCTCATCACTATTTTGCAGAGGCCTCATCTCTCAACCTATTCACTGGAATTGAAGGTGCTTTCCCTTCATCCCAAGCGCCCCATCGATTCCCATCCGTTCTATATAGTCATAATGATGTGGCGGCATATCCATCTCCAAAAGTCAACCTCAGGAGGCGCTTGACACCTCTGCAGCGCAGCGCTGGCTGCAAGCTTGTCCCCGGCCCTGGCCACCGGAGGTTCTGAACACCGCGCTGCGGGCGGCGGGGCCACTGGGCCGGAGGCTTAGGCGTGGGAGAGGCCCTTTAAACAAAGGGATGTTCAAGGATTTTCATGGACAACTATAAATATGGCATAATACTATTGCTTGTGTTTTCGTGTTGGAGGTTTGCAACAGGCCACGCCCAACTACTAGAAATGTAAATCTTCCAAACTCAGAGAAAGTTGATTGCCATGCCATGCTAGTTTTGGGGAGGACTGCTAAAGCACAATTGGCTTGAACTGAATGCAGGTGTTAATTGGTTGAAGTGAAGGATAGTATATTATTCCGAAGGAACTCCTCCAATGATGTGCGAGACAGTGTTCCACTTGTTTTGGACAAGAGCCTGCTAGAGATGGAATGTGCTTGTCGCACGCAAAGATTCCTGATGCCCTTTGAACCTAATTATGGGATATTATGGGTTGATATACAGGGCCCGACATATCCGGACCGAGGGACCTTAGCACGATACCAATCACGCCGACTTTCTCGTCGTGTTTGAAACCTTTGGTGACACCTAAGGCTGGGCCTATGAATCCCAGGTCTGATTTTGTTGGGGATCCACGAAGTTTGAATCATCTAGCTACTACGGTGGAGGCCATCGCTATTAGGTTGGAGGCCATCGCTATTACATTCTACATCCAAAGCTTTTCGTGGCAATCGGTTCCCATCCAAGGCTGGTGGGCGACGAGGCGCTGGCGGAGGCTTGGGCGAAGCAAGGCATGAAAGATGGGCTGCTCGGATGGGACGATGAGCTAGGATGAGGTTGGTGAAAAAACCGGGATTTTAGGATGCATCCATGTCCCATCTTGGGGTTTTGATGGTTTGAGGTATGAACATCGCCCTGACGTCGGATTTGACAAATATCAGGCTTCCGGTCATGCTTGTGAACCGTTCCCAGTAGTATGATCTCACAAAATGCAAGAACTATCGTTATCGACATGAATCTCAAGCAGACCATTTGAGGCCAAGTGTTTTGAGTGTTATCAAGAAATTGGACTTTGCCTCCTTCGGCGATGCAGGATCCTGGTTGCTCTTCATGTCTTTGTGTTTTTTTTTGTGTGTGTTTTTTTGTTCATCTATAGTTAGATCGTTCTTGTGTTGCGGTCTGAGCATGCGTGAGAGTGGACCCAGAAGCGCTCCCCAAACGGTCATGTTTGGGGACATGTAGAGAGTCCATTGGGGGGGCAATCAGGAGAGAGACAGAGGATTCAATTACATCGCACCAGGATCTTGGACCCCTCTTGTGAGCACTGTGACGACGACGTGTGATCCTTGCCAGATGCACCCAGCTCACAAAACGCTGCCTTTAATGATCTGAAATGCAATTCGTCCAGAATTACCCATCCTGCCCGAGTACCATCTTCACACAGATTTTGGGTGCACCGCTCCCAAGCCCCACGAAACCTCCCCGCCGAGGATGCGCTTGGACAGCTACTCCTACCGTGCTTTGCTGACGGGCGCCGCCCGCAGTCAGGATACCAAGGGGGCCCAAAGGTGGTTCCAGAAAGCGCTCCAGGAAGGGGAGGCCGAGAGTCGACATAGCAAGCTAGCAGCTTGTGGGAGGTGTGTTCAGGATGGGGGGTGGAAGGATGGGTCCAGGACGGGTTAGGATTTTATAGGTTTAGAGCAGTTCGAGGTCGGGCCATGCTGCGGCCATTTGGAGTCCTTTTCTTGCACGTAGGGGGTTTTGGTTGGGACTATGCCAAGACCATCCAACACTAATACAAATATGTACAGTGCGCAGTAGTTAGCGTTCCGCTCACTGTATATAGTTATGTGAAGATCGGGACATGTCGGACATGAGTGTTGGGATCTGGCATCTGGGACAATGAAGTCAACCGCCTCTGTGGGGAGATCTTTGGCCAAAGGGGGATGACATGGGATGACCATGGCCCTTAACCTAGGTTCAAAGAAGCTTGCTACATTTAGATGTGCATAGGGCCACAAGTCTGGCAATGTAGAAAGAACTGTTTCTTCAGTAAGCGCCAGCTGCATTTGCAGGCTGGCAAGTGGAAATTAAGCTGTCAACAAACAGGTAGCAACATGTCGAATCAACTGCATGATGCAGGTGTGCTTGAAATTTCACTCATAAGATGTCTCTTGCCACCATGCTTAGAGTGGAAAACACTCATGACATCACACGACTAACGTTTGCAGTACCCACCTGCAGATTTACAGGGACCTTGAACAACTGGGCAGATGAGAATTTGTTTTGAAGGGGTCCATTTTCACGGTCCACGTTCATCTGCAGGGGTAATCATGATGATCCACTGTTACAGGATTAGCTGTCACTGTCACTTGTGCCGCAGGTGGAGGTCAATACTTGCAATGCTGCGATTCAGGCAGCTGCCCGTGCAGGCTCAGGGGACCGGCTTTCTAAATGTCTTGCTGCTTTGGCAATCGCTGAAGTGGATGTCAAGCAGGCACAACCACAAATAAGAAGGTGTTTGAAGTTGATTTTTGTCTACCAGGTGGGTGCTATGTTCGTTCTTGAGAGTGATTTGTAATTCTTGCAGGCGATGTCCCTTTGGCCAAAGAGATGCTGAAGACCATGAACCAGTTAGTGGTTCAACCAGAGCCTTGGATTTGTGACATAGTCCGAGGCATTCTCTATAGGACAACAAGCTGACTGATGTCATGTCATTCCCGCCAGCCGCTGCATATTTCGCCGCTTCAGCCGCTTCGGAGCTAGCTGTTGCTAGCTGTGAAGCTGACACTGCCAGTTTTCCAAGTTGACACATCAAAGCATGACCTTCACATTTGCATGACATCTGCAGGATTATCACTCTCAGAGTGCCTTTGTATCATGTTTTCAGCACGAGAACAACAGCGCAGAGGGAGATGTTTCAGGATGCCGCGCCTTCGGCTTTATATCACCTGCTTGAAGCATTCTTACGCACTTGGATCCTCTCCACTGTGCCCTCGAAGATCCTAGGATGCGGTGAGCTACCAGGGCTTGCTGACCTCTGCATCGAACGCATGCAGCTCGCCTGCCTTTGAGCTGCTTTTGGGAGGTGAGGGGCTCTGTCAAAAGGATTCCAAACACTTACATAAGTCGACTGGTTCTTAACCTTGAATAAAACTAAACCATGACTTCAACAGCCAATGCATGATGTTCGTAACTTCAGTCATGCATAATGTTCGTGACGCTCATGCCGGTGACGTTCGTCATGTTCGAGACGTTGAACGGATCGAGACTGGAGACAGACGCGGTGAAAACCTGAAGTTCATCCCGCAGGGTCTCACCGTTTACGAATCCAGACTTCGCGCGGCCAAATTGACAAAAAGATGGTGCACTCCGTGTTAGGTGTTAGGCCAAAAGGGTGGCCTCCAGGATGCCATTTCGTTTGGCCCTTCGCCGCCTGTCTCGGGTCCGAGGCGACTTGGCCGCCTGCGAGGCCTTCGTGGCCCAAGCCTCGGCCAGCGGCGTGCCCGTGCGCTATGCGCCGGTGATCAGCTGCGCGGCGAAGGTTCAAGGCCTCAAGGAAGCAGAGTGGCTCGCAGTGGTCCAATGTGGTTGACAATGGTTGACACGTTCTGTCAGGTCTTCTGTTTGCCCGAGAAACCTTTGTACTTGCCACAGTTCCTCTAGTGCATCCGTATTGCATCCTAATAGATAGACACTCCGTGATACTCCCATATATAAAGTGCACGTCACATCCAAGCTTGGTGTCCTTCTCGATGCTTCCTCACCAAATCCACCGGATTTTTTGGCTGGGCGACCCAGGCGTTGGTTTCAGGAGGCGCTTCATAGCGATTCAGTTGACCTGTTTGCCCTCAACGCACTGGTCGCCGCAGCCGCGCGGGTGGGGCAACTGGAGCTGGCGGAGCGGTATTTGCATCTGGCGCGGGAGATGGGCGAGGCCGGGCGGTTTTGGGTTGGCTCACGTGGAGTGGGGGTAGCAAATGATTGGAGATGGTCATGGCATGTCAGGGCCATAGTTTGAGTTCTGGGGATTCGTGACGGAGAAAGATATATAAGTACGAAGGGATATGCAGGACATGCATATGTGTTCGGAGAATGCATGCACATGCGACTTGTACAAGACATTGGGGACCGTTTTCTCATGAAAAGGAGGTCAACCAAGTGGAATTGAAGGGACTGAACTTGATGAGAGAGCGCCCGAATGATTAAGGCAAGCTTTAGATTGGTTGCCTAGTTGGCCAATGAGACATACATCGACATACAACGGGCAGATACTTTGGCTACGAATTTCAAGTTGCAGTCTCTTTACTCTGGCCGATCGAGCGAAGGAACCTGACATTGTTACCTACACCAGCCTCATCAGTGCAGCCACCACGAAGGGCGACCTCCAGGCGTTGGGGCACGGGCCGATGGCTCTTCAATCAGGGCCACTGCCCAGTGCAACATCCCCTTGCCGGCCCAAGGTCGATTCTTCTAAAGTCATAGGTGCGCCAAGGAGTTTCGAAAGGGCGTTCATACCCTTCAATGTTTCATGTGTTTGGCAACTTTGGGGATCGAAATAGCAATTTGGAAAAGCAATCCGAGCGCTCATGCCTTCCGTTGGTGCTTTATCTTATTACAGGTTGACCGAGTGGATTGTTCCTCTATAATTACGATATTCTCCCTCATTGTGGAGAGATTTGGCAGCTCAGTAGTTGATACTGACGAGCGAGCCTTCTCACGAGGCTGCTCGAAAGTATGTGGAAGAAGCCACAACGCAAGGACAGCTGAAGTGAGCAGTGTGGTGAGCAGTGTGTGAGTTGTTTCCAAGCGCTTGTGATTGTGCGGGGGCGGTTTCAGAAAGGGAGGCAGGCACCAGGAGTCCTTCCTTCAAGGTTTGCCCTGCACTGAATGTAACACAACTACAATCAGCTGTATCTTGTTCGCTGCCAGGCTTCGGGAGCCGTGATAGCAGTGTTTCCAGTGTGCTTTGTTTGAATACCTGGACTGCATAGAAGAGTTTCCAATGGCCGCCGATTGAGTACATTGCTTCACTTTTTCTATGCAATTGCGGGTCAGCATGCTCAGCATACCTACAGTATCACACAGTGAAATTATTCGTGTCCAGTGTATCCCACATCGTTTGGACTTTGTCAATCAACCTTTGACCGTTGCTATGGGCAGCGGCGCGTCCAGCGGGGACCGCAGCGTGGATGTCAAAAGCTTTCTCGAAGCCTTGCTGGGCGAAACGTTGTTAGCCTCCACTGGAGTGGTAGAGACTGACAAGGCGCCTCGCGAGCATTGGACCATATTGTGGCTTGTTGGGTGCCGCTAGAGAAAAATGAAGAGATGAACATACACACATACGGTACAGACACAGATAGATAGATAGATATAGATAATGATAGATAATAGATAGATAGATAGATAGATAGATAGATATACAACAAACATCGCATAAATTCTGTAAATTAAAGATACTGAAAACGCAGCTCCGATGTTCATCACCTGCTGCTTTGTTGTCAGGAAGGTTCAAGAGCAGCGGGCCGTTCGGTATCAATTTGCTCACCCCTTGCAGGCCTTCACTGGCAAGAAGCAGGTGGGGTTGCATCTCGGCGAGATCACAGTGCCACTGGGGTGACATGTGGGCTTGTGTGACTTCCTCCTGAAAGGATAATACATCAGCATACAATGTAAAACGTCTCTAAAGGCCTAGAGTTCTGAAAAGCCCTCCAGGACCCCTGTGTTAGCTCTCTCCTTTGAGCTTTCCACGATTGTGCAAGTGCTGGACCACTTGCTGACTTGCTGTAGTCAAGAAAGGTACTTTGCAGCCGAACGGTATCCTCGCTGCAAGACCTTCACACCGAAGCTCAAACGGGTATATGAGATTGTCAAGGACCAGTTGGAAGCTTCTGCAATGAAATGACACGCAAACACATGAAATGAAAGCAAGTACATCAGAGCAGAATCAATCCAATTGCAGCTGCTCAAGAGCCCGAGTTTGAAGGGACGCTGGTATTGTATGCGATGGGGAGCAAGAGGTCAAGCATGGGAGCAAGAGGTCAACAGCCCAATGTCTCACTCATGCACGCCCTTTCATCGGATGCACTGTGAAAATAGAACCTGGAAGCCGAAAGCTGCCTTGTGATCCTTGAGTTCCTACCAGGACAAGGGCCTCGAGATCGTCTTCTGCTCCTCCGACAAGAAGCACGAGCTTTTTGAGGAGTTCCGACAGGAGATGCCATGGCTGGCCCTTCCCTTCGAATCCAAGGACCCCACCGGAGGGTATCTTCGCTTCTCCGTAAGGATGAAGGATGTCCAACAAAAAGGATGAGGACTTTGGGAGGGTAGCTTCATTGCTTCCTAACATAGCATATTTGACGGTTTGTTCAAAGATATGTTTCAGAGAGTGGTTCCCTCACTGTTCTGTATAGCAGATTTGTTGGGGTTGTGGTTTCCTTTGTAGTTTGTCACGGTGTTGCTTCTGCCGCGCTGATCTCATTTTGCAGGACAAGGTCATGGCTCTCAAGCAAAAGTTTAAGGTGAGCAGGGCCAAGCATGTTTCGTACAATGGGTCTTCATTTCTTGGTCCAAATGCATAGCAAAGTCCCCTCATATCCTGATATCCTTTTGTGGATTTGGTCTTCTTTCTGGGTTTTTGTTTGAGTTGGGGTCGACGGTCGGTATTGTTACTGTGTAGGTTCGTACGTGATATATATATATATTTATTTATTTGTATGTGAAGTCTTTCATACAGGAGGTTTCCCATCCAACGGTGGATCTACTGCAAAGATGTGTCAAGCTGACAAACGTCTACATGTATACAATTGTTTGCGCATGTCACTCTAAAGAACATGAAACATTGAAATCATCGCCACTGATTTCGAGACTCCAATCGTGTACAGGTGTTGCAAGGATGCTGCTTTTCACAGCGGTAGCGCCCATAACCCGGTAGTGCGGGGATCAGTGCCCACAACCCCCGCAAGGGATGACCAAGGAGGTCTACCACGCGACCTTGGCCCGCATGGACCCTGGTGCCTTCAATTCTCGCCGAACGACCCTGGAGCGAACCGTTGGAGCCTCGTCACACACGGCGCAGGTCACCGCCCTGCCCCGCTTCGTCCTGGTGGACGCAGAGACGGGCGAGCTGATCACGGAGGATGGGCGCTCCTCGGTGGAGCGAGATCCCAAGGGAGAGAAGTTCCCCTGGAAGATCCCGAGCTTCGAGGAGGCCTTACCCAGCCAGTTTCACAAGGGCCAGGACGAGGGGGATGAGTGGGATGAGTGGGAAGTGTTAACGTGCAAAAGCGGAAAGATATTAATTTTGGATGGAACGAGTGGATTGATTAGTTTATCTAAGGAGTTCATTCCAAAATAAGAGCGTGCAGAGTCTTGCTTTTGCATTTGTTGCCCTTTAGGAGACGGTTGGGAAGGAGTTCATCGAAGGAAAGACCGTGGGTCTCCTGTTCTCTGGCGGCTGGACACGTCAGGGCGTCGATCTGGCCAGCAGGCTGGCCAATTGGTACGCCGGTGCCTCGACGCGTCGATGGGCGTGGGGAAACTTGGGAGTTGCATGGAGTTGCCGTGGGTGTTTCTTTTTGTTTGTCCAGATTGTGCCTGATGTGTGGGTGATTGTGTGGGTGTGTGGGACATAGCCTCAGGATTCTCGAACGGTCTGAGCTGAATTTCAATTATTGTAGAGCTTTGAGTAGAAGGTTTGGTTAGTTTACTGTATACAGTTCATGAAAAAACGAAGGATATACATATTTGGAGCTTGGATTCAACCAAGCCATGCACAATGGAAATCAAAGACTCCTGCAACGCATCCACTGGACCGCTTTGCGCATGACCTTGGAAATGCATATCAATGCGTTGAACAAAGTACCGGTTAACAAGACGGGTATGAGGTCTTTGGCCAGTGGCTCTGTTTCCAAGATCGGAATATCGTATCATCGTATCGTCAGCCCTATATATTTGTATGTGTTTGACTCATGTCACCTTCATGTTTGGTTTCCTTCATGCGCACCCACGACCTGCACTTCCGTGCTTGGCACTTCTCCTCCGAGGTGTCAAAGCAGACGTTGGCGACAAGCGGCACAGCAGAAGTAGGGTCGAAAGTCCACCGAACGCGGGACAATGTGGGTACGCACCAACCACCAAGCAGGACGCGCACGACGGGCAAAGTGAACCACGCCCCAAAGAGTTGTTGAGAAAGGGTTGCAGTCCAGCCCCGGCCACGGCATGGCTATTTTCTTTCAAGAGCTTTATAGACCATTATAAGTACCATTATAATCATCCACTGAAAACCACTCTAGACAGCAAACCCAATTGGGGGTGGCATGCGAGGCTAGAGTTTGGAACCATCTCGACCTGCAGGAAAAGGGGTCAACGACCAAGGAGCGACGTCACTGCGACCTAGAAGACCCTTAGGCCCTAAATCTATCAACCCATCCAAACTTGACATTTCAACCTGTAAAGCAACATGCCTACGACCCCAAGAAACTTAGGTTTGAAATCATCTACTGTGGCTGTGACACTGACGAGCTGATGATGACCGACTTCTATAAGAAGCAGCAAGAAGAGGGCGGCACCTGGCTTGCGGTGCCCATGTCGGAGCAAGGTTTACTGGATCAGTGCTTCGGCATCAGGAAAGTGCCCGCCTTTGCCACTTGACCGGTTATGAATCAAGTCGGATCATGGTGGGAAAACGAGCCGATATTGTAACAGGCCTTGTGACTAGGAGGCCGACAAACGCAATATTAGGAGCCCATGCTCGGTGCGTGGGGGCTCCGCTTTGCTCCAAGGTGATTGTGGACGCGAAAGGGCAGATCATCAATAAGAATGCCAAATGCATTCCTGATTTGCCCGCCAAGGCCCAGATTTTTTGGGGGAAGCCTGGCTCCGGCCACACAATAAGTGCACATGGGCAAGTGACGTATTTTAGCGAGCGACCAAATTTAGCTTTCGACCTCTTTGCGAGACTGTGCCATGATGTGCCATGCGTATGCATGTAGCCTTTCCTATGCGCAGAAGCCACCTCAACAATAGTGTGCGGGGTTGTTGGCACTAGCTTTGGATTTACAGCGGTTTTACAAAGATTTACAGTGGACTTTAATTCATCGGCGCGGATTTACAATGATATACAGTAAATACAACAATGCTTTGTTTAACTGCTGGAATCTAAATAATTAAGTCCACTCAGCCCCTGAGTGCGCGCAAATCTCCCAGCCCACCTTGCAGGCATCGGACTTCCCTTTCCCGCCACCGCCCATTGGGCTTTTGTCATCCTCAGACGAGACTTGGTGTCAGCTGTGGGTCCTTTTGGGTGGGGTTAGGTGGTGGAATTCCTGTGGAGATCATGGACTTGTGCTTGGGATTTTAGGTCATTTGGAACGTCCATGTATACATACTGTATATATACTCACGTGACTATCATTTTGTGATGTGTTTTGGTTGTTGATGTTGACCTTTTAGAGGTTATTTGGGCTGACCAAATCCCACTCCGGACTCCTTATTTCGAATGATCGCAGGCCCCTGAGGACCGAACAATGGGGTTTTAGAGTGGAAATGAACGGACCGTACCAGACCTTCAGGAGAGCGGCTTGGTTAAGTTGGGATGGGTATGGACGGTATGGGTGGGCTTATCAATAATATCAATCATGATGAAGTGGCCACATGGCCTTAGGGGATTTGTGGCGAGAGTTTGCCTCAAAATAAAGCCGGGGAAAGACACTGTAAAATCAGAAAACGGAAACAATTGAAGGGTGATTACGTTGAGGGGTTTTTGCTCCACAAGGAGATCCTCAAGCCGGCCATGTGTCTTATGCTGGAGAATTGCGAGGAGGAGCTCCAGAACACTTGGCATTTGTTGATTGCTCAGGGAGGAGTAGTGTCACAGGAAAGAAGCCAACGGACAGCTTATATGGCAGTGGGTCAAACCGGGACACCCTGGTTGACCACCAAACATGAACAGAATGGACTCCTGGGAAGGTCAACCTACCGTGGATTAAGGGATCCCGGTTTTGACCCGCAGCTATATGAGTCTTATAGCCTCGCAAGTTTCTAAGCTGCCAAGCCGATTTGTGATGTTTGACGGCATCAAACATGGTGAGACGGTCAATGTTTTGGTAAGACATTTGTACAGTATACATTTGTAGTGACAGATTCCTGTGACTAGCCCCTTGAGCAGAACTCTTTTTGTTTGTTGGGATGCTTGCTTCCTGCTCGGTGGGCTGGGGTCCTTAACACTTCTTTAAAAAAATATGCACAGTTGTATACAGCTTCACCAAAGTGCCTGCAGGGCTTTTCTGCCCAGGAATAAGATCATACAGACCATGAATCCAATTGCGGAAAAGTATGTCAAGAGTCGTGGCAGCACGCGGGGTGGGACGGATGTATACACTGAATATATTATATATAGTAAAAATACATATATATATATACATACACATACGCATAGCCCAACCTGGCATGCAAAATGCTGAATTCAAGTATCAAGACCACTTGATGGTTTGGCCCTGGCACGCTCCGCTTTTGATTTGCCGTTGGGCGTTTATTCAAGATATTCAAGGATCACTGATTCTTTCATGCTGCGGCGGCAGGGTCCTCAAGCTGCTGCGTTTGAGTACTCGATGCCAGTGTATGCTCGGTTACCTTCCAGATCGCATCAGCTCATCAATATATATGATGATATATGTAATATACTGAAGTATAAACCAATATATAATATGCTTTGGACTCTCAGCTCGTCTATACATGACTCCGAGTCAAACCGACCCCATGCGCCCCATTGACCTCGGCGCATGTTCCCGTTGCTGATGTGCAACCTCGCGCTCGCGCCGGAACCATCCGAGGGCTGGTGAACTGCTGTTCTTCGCTGCCCGGCGGGTTTCGCCGGTCTCAGCCACCTTCCGCACCATGGCCAACTTGCCACAAGCAGATGAGGTGCGGCACGTGGTGGTCGCCGAGAGGCGCCAGGCTGGTAGAAATGGATGAAGGAACAAACTTGGAATAAACCACCTCTTGTTCAGTTTTGACTGTTTCTGTTTGAGATGAAACTGTAGATGGGATTCTAGAATGGGGCCCCTTATATACTTCAATAAATAAAACGAAGGCCTTCCGTAGCTCTCCCCATAGGGGCGTGTAATGGGGTGTGGTAGCCACATATCTCTCGGACCCTCGGAAATCGTACGTTTTCCTAAAGGCCAGGCGTTCAGATTGGGCAGCGGATTTCATGCTTTAGAAGGTCGCTTTTTGTAGATGGTCCTTTGTCAAGCTCAGCTTTGGCCATTTGCAACTCTCGTCCCGGGATTGCTGAAGAACATCCCTTAAGGCCTCAGGGATACAATCTTTGGGACGTAGGACGCATCCCACTTCGAGGCAGTTGATGTTGATGTCAGGCATTTTTCCCGTTGATTCCTTAGGCCCTGCCGTGCACCTTTTAGCTTGTGTGATGATGGTCAAGCAGCAAAAACTCCTACCCCTGGCATCCATTAGAGCCCTAGAATTTATGATTCGTGCTCAATTCCGGGTTCTAATGGACCCATTAGAGTGCTCAATTGCATTAGAACCCTTTTGCCCTTGCACTTTTACACAATCAAGCTCTGTCGACCCTCGTTCTGAGCCGCTCAGGTGACCCGGCAGGAGGAAGATTTCGACAGCGACCGAGGTGACGAGGAGGTGAGACAGACAGCACAGGTTTGGACCCTTCATGGGGAGCCAGACGCACTCCTGGACTCAGAGTCCAGAAGTACAAAGCCACACCTGTTTCTAGAGGAAAATGGTCTCCCTTAGGGGGCCATGGCTATGCCATCCACTTCCACCATGATGATTCCAGTGAGCGTACCTACCGGGCCAAACGGTTGCCCACTGGCCGGACCCGCGAGCAGTGTTTCTTCAGATTCTCTGAGAGATGTAAGAGGCACTTCTTTGGCACATGAAAGTGCGATCAAGGCACTTCTTTGCTAGTCTTTGCTGCTCTCTTGATCACCCGTGATTTGGTGGTAGGTTGTTTTCTTCATTTGCCTCATTGGTCGAACCGGTGCCTTTTAACACCAGGTTTGGTGTGTTTGACGTACTTGCAGAACCGGGATCAGGAGCTTCCACCTGCCAAATCCTTCAGATCCACCGGCGGGGGCCACCTTCGGGCCTCCACCTGCTGGTTCGGGGGTCCACCCTTCAGCTCCGGAGCTCCGGAGCTCTCGGAGCTCGAGCTCGACGGCCAGGACGATGAAAGCGCCGCTTTGGCAGCTGAAAGCGCCGATGTACCCAGCTTGATCCTGGTCGACCTGGCCTCTCGGCCCTTTCACGACTTCCTGTACCTTGAGCAGCCCCTACTGTACGGAGGGACATGGTCGTCGGGTTTACCTGACAGAAGCCTGACAAGCTTGAATTCAGGCATTCAGGAACACAAGGTTGCGACGAGCATTTGTTGTACACACGGTGTGTACACTAAAAGTTGTGGTGTCATCCAGTAATTAATGTTCAAACATTGTGGGCCATCAAAGTTCAGCCCTCCCACCCAGGCCACCAGTGGCGAGATCTACGCCGGACGGATGTCGCCTGAGATGAATGGCGAGGGCGTGGAGAACATGATCAAGCTGTGGAAGTCTGGGGAGCTCCACACGATGATGAAGAAGAAGAAGACCAGACGGTGAGGTACCGAGTCTCAAGATGTTCTTTCTTGTCTCGTTTCTACAGGTGTTCTCATCTCTATAGTCTTGGCATGTCTTGGCTCTTTGTAAGCGAACGGACATCCTGCAAGTTGTTCCCTTCTTGACGCACAAGCTTGATGCTTCATGACATGTTCTTTTGGGGGGGGGCTGATGGATGAGACCCCTCTGGAGGTTTGCCATGGTTTGCCACTTTTACCAGGAAGATGCCAGCCGGTTGAAGCTCAAAGTAGCTGTCACCAGGCAGATGCCATGTACAAAGTTGAGTGGCATAATTCAGATTGCACGGACACGAGCATTGAACGATGAGCCCTTGGAAGCATGCAAATCATTCTTAAATTCAAGAAACGATTTGCGCTACCAGCAACAGGGCGATTGGCAGGTTTGAATGCCTAGATGCAAAACAGAGTACAGTAGTTTTTTTTTTCTGCAGATTGTGGCACCAAATCCTGCACAACCAACGAGCCTGGCCAAAACCTGCAGGACTCAAACTGGACATGGTCATCATGAACACCATCATCTCCGCCGCCGCCCGTGCGGGTGACCTGCGCTTGGCCAACCAGGTGCTCCGGCAGGCGCTCCAGCTGGGTGGCCTGACCTCCAAACCCGTCCAGACTGCGGGGTGTGACAGAACATTGAGCTTAGCGGGGGGAAGTCACGGGAAACATCTACTGAGCATCAGTATCTTTAAGACCATTGGGTTTCTAGAAGACAGACTTGCGCAAGGGGTTTGCTTGTGAGGGCATGCGCAAGGGGGCTAGTCCTAGTCTTCTTCATTGCAACACCCAGGCTTGGAAAATGTTCAGCGCTTTTGAATTCTCAGGTGCTGGTTTGCATCCTGGTCCTTGCTTCTACCCTTGCAGATCTAACCCTCACGAAGATTGACAACCTTTGAGGGCCCTGTACCCTGTACCCAGTGGTTCCATTTGAAACTCAGTTGGCAGACCTTTCTGGTCTTAGGGTTGGCCCTCGTTGTTGAGGCCCTCGTTGTTGAACCCTTTTTCAAACGTTTCAAACATATTCTTGCAGCATTTTGGAGCAATATTTTGACTTGGGGAAGTGCAGAGTATTACCAATCTCAGAATGGTTTATACCTACCCGGGTCTTCGTTGTGGGAGTCTACCCAGAATGTGCTTGGACACGAAAAAACGTGCATATTTTCCAAGAGTGCAAAGGCACTCTTGGGGCTAAACTGTGTGTTTTTTAACCACCACATGGCAACCATGTGTAACGCCTTCTTTGGTTTCAAAGCCAAATCCCCGAGCTTTTCGGTCTCAGTCTCGTCATCCCGCACCCAAGGTCTGAGGCCCAGCACGGTGACTTTTGGTGCTTTGATTTCCGCTGCTTTGCGAGCAGACGACTTGAAAGAAGCGGAGAGTTGGCTCGAGAGCTGCCGCGAAGAAGGGCTACAACCAGGCGGATCGAGAAGGGCTCTCTGGGGCGGATCCCTCCCCCCGTGCCGGACGGACCAACCATTTGCAGAAATGGGCCCTTTTTGTGTGATCTTGCTCATGTTTTGTTCCAAAGTGTGGATAAGTAGTGGGCATCAAGTAGCTTGATAGGTGTAGTAGACGACATTTCGCTGATAGGTGGGGTGTGCTGAGTTTGACCGGGCATTGGGTGCCTCATTTGGCCGACGTTTATGTGTGATGTTAGTGTCGAATGTTAGTTCGGTTTGTGGTTTGCGTGGTGTTTGGTCTTCATCCTAAGCGTTCAGGTGCACCAATGATGACACCGTTTATTTCCTACGCAGCGCGGCAGAAGGACCTTGCGATGGCAGAGTCGTGGTTTCACAGAAACTTGGCGGGGCATGTTGTTGGAGACTGTTGCGCTGGAGGCTTATAATGGAGTTATCATGAAGCCATGACAGACCATATCGTAGCTTACCAGCCGAGTGTCCCTGTGGGACGGCTGATTGACAGCCAGACTCGCCAGAGAGAGAGAGAGAGAGCTTCTTTACATACGTGTACACACACATATATAACTATATAATCATATATATGCTCTTATTTTTTTCTGCGCTCCTTTTCTGGTTTGTGCTGGTGTTCATGCCTCCTTGGGCTTGAAACATTGCGGCAACGTGGCCTGCAGCGTGCCCGTGATGCAGCACTTCTAAGTGCCTTGCTTGCTTCATAGCCCTTGGCGGTTGCAATGGCATGGCTCTTGCACTGTTGGCAGTATACTTTGCCACCCGGACTTGCCTGCCACTCTTCATTCCAACATTTGGCCATGGCCATCTCAAGAACCTTTTCCTTTGTTAAGTTGCTTGAGTTTAGTGTTTTTGCTCGCAAGAAGTGTTTTGCACCAATGTTATTTGGAAAAAATGAAAGAAGTGTTTTGGTGTTTCCGTGGCCAAGTCTTAAAACACTTGCACAACCAATAACCATTCGACCCTTCTTCTCACCCTCAATACCCTGAAACACTACAGCCATCAGTCACAAATTCCCAAAGCGCAAGCACCAAATGCCGTTTTTTAAACAAAAAAATGCAAGCAGTCTCACTGATCCAAAGATCAGCTCTTCTTGAACAGCTTTCGCAGGTCTTCAAACAAACTTCCTACAAAGTGTTTACAAAGTTTTGGATCTTAGTTGATGGAAAGCATGTATAGAGCATAGCATTCTTTGACGTCTTCTCATGCATCATGTGTCACTCATCATTTTGCCTACGCGACTTTGTATTTGGCTCAAGCACTGCGGAAAAAGGCGTTTGCGCGTGGTGCTTGCCGTTGCTACTAAACTACCAACTTTGGCTGTGGTTGGTGAGTTTAACTGGTTAACAGCCTCAGCTATTGCATTTTCATATTCGTCATAGGATGGCCTTGAGCCAGCTTTCCTGTGGCAACCCCGCCACTGCTTGTGAGTCTCAATACCTGGATCCAACATCGAGTTAAAAGGATCCTTCTTGGGATAAGCACGTAGTGTGATTTCGGCATCCATTCGTTTGTCAGGCTGCCGTCAACAGAAAGCCGAGCGTCAGATCCAAGGACTGCATCTCGGGCCGTGGGGCGTTGCTTCTTCAGCAACACCACTTCGTAGGATAGGATCCGAGTTAAATCCATATTGGAAGAGACTAGTTCGATCGCATCGTAAGATAGCCTTCACTAGCTCAAGGTCAAAGATCAACTAAAGTGCAGAACTCATAGAGTAAGGAGCTTAATCGGTGCATTTTGCCGATCCCTGGTGCTGCATCCAAAGGTTTGCATTGGTGTGATCTTAAGCTCATTCATTGAAAGAAGCAAGCCGTATTCGTTGCATTGGATCAAAGGAGTTAGCTACTCTTGTTTCACTGCACGCTACCTCGTTCGCTGTTCGGCGTTGAATGCGAGCTCGCTCTCGATCCCCTGCTGTCGCCGCTGGCACACCGCTTCAAGACGTTGGCAGGCGGCTCAACGAAGCTTTAGATCGGTACAAGAAGGTCAAAGCTGAGAAGCGAGCAGGAAAAGATTTCCAGAGACGCCGCAAGTCGTTGGTCTTGACAATCCTTGAATATTACATTCATCTTGTGCAGATCGGTGTTGCTGCATCAAACGGAGATAGAAAGTATATCAAGCGATTGAATCAGGCTCAGGAGACTTTCAGATTGGCGAAGGAGGAGAACAAGTTGCCTTTGCGATCCGAACCAATTCTCCCAGCGTCTATCAGCCACTGTCGGAGGACGAACAAGAGTTGGAGCAGGACTTTGAGGGACCTCTTGATCCACGGGGAGCTTCAGAGTCTTCTTCAGTTGTTCCGGTGCCCATTGCATCTTCAGTGACCGATAGGCCGGCGGAGACATTGCTTGCGTTGCCAAAGGCGATAGGATCAAGGCCAGTGTTTTCTCGGTTGTCACAGAACTTGCATTCCGCCCCGAGTGTTCTTCCGGATCCGCCTAAGAAGGCAAAGCCAGTGTTGAAGACAACTTCGAAGGGTAGCTTACCTAAGAAGGCAGTACCGCCAGTGGTGTTGCAGACCACGTCAAAGGCGAGGGAGGTCCCGACCGTAGATTCTTCAGCTCCGATTGTGAGCCGCGTCACCGATTCGATTGATTGGCGCTATCTTGACACGAACAGGGTCGAGTTGTACAGTGCACAGGGTCAGAGGATTCGTCCGGCGAGCCGCATTGATCTTGGAGGCACTGCAGTGTCATTAGACTTTCACCAGGTGTTGGACACATTTCGT